TGGTAGAAACTAAATCAGTCTCAGAGTCACCAAGTGACGATGTGACAGTTACGACAACACTCTTGGCTGTGACAGACAAAGTGGTAGACTCACCAGCTTCAGAGTTTTCAGACCCGTTGGTTGATGTCTCCTCAGCTGCTGTCCCAGTCTCGGTCGCCTCGGCCTTTTGAGTTGTCTCAGCCGGAACCGAACTCTCTTCAGCAGCTTCTCCAGATGTGGTTGGCTGTGATGCACCAGAAGTCGATCCAGCTGCATCTGTGGTCGCTTGGGCCTTCTCAGAAACTTCTGTAGAGGCATCTTCTGTGGAAACAGGTTCCGCGATTTCGGTGCTCCCATCGCCAACAGTAGTCGGCTCAGCAGCATCAGAGGTAAAAACAGCTTCTGTAGTAGGCTCCGGAGCGTCAGTAGTGGTGGGCTGGGGCTCCGCTTCAGCACTGGTAGACTCAGGCTCAGACTCTTCTGTTGTTACTGGAAGGGCACTGAAATCGCCAGAGGTGGCCTCGACCTGTCCTGTCGTCTCCACATCCGCAGATCCAGTAACCTGCGACTCAGGACCTGATGCAGCTGTGGTGGCAGTCGTGGTATCCTTTCCGTCACAATAATCAATGAACTGGTTGAACTCAGGCTCAACATAGTCGCGAATAGTGTTCTTGCTCTTGGAAGTGTTGTCACTGATACAGTCGCGGCACATATCGTAGCTGCCGCGGAACGAAGAACCTGCTCTGCAGAGCCTGTCCGATTTTCCGGTTGAGAGTGCGATCTTGTAAGCACCATCACAGTCATCGTAGCAAATAGCTGGAGTGACATCTCGCCTGTCGAACATGTGGAGTCCACGTCGCTGGTTGTTGCTGGGGATGTTGTCATAAGACTCTGATACCGAAGTAGTAGCATCAGGCCAGTCACTCAAAGTTGTCTGTGAAGCCCAGTTTCCGGTCGAGAAGGTCTTCAGTTCACCACTCACAGTCTTCTCGTAGACTTGCTTCTCAAAGATATCATAAGAAAGACCGAAAGCCTCTGGGTTCAGGTTGAAGTAACCAGGAGAACGGGGATAGAAACCAGTCTTGTTCTTGCGCCACTTAGCCTTCTTGACCTTGGGAGCCTTGATACAGTATTGAGGTTCACAGAGGTAGTCCTCATCAGGTGGCTCCGCCCAGAAGTTGCACCATGCTGGCTTCGGCGGGTTGCAGACGTAGCCTGGCTCGCAACCAAAGGTGAGATCAGACTTGCGGTTGAGTGGCGCAGATCGACCTGTAGGCTTGGGGCACAAGGTGATGCGTCCAGGAGTGGCCGTCACTGTGGTAGGAGGGAGCTGTACTGTTTGGCCGATGGTCAAGGTAGTAGTGTAGACAGTTGTAGGGCCTGGAACCACTGTGACAACCGTCTCACCGTCCTTAGTCAGGGTCACAGTCTCTGCAGGCAGTCTCTCTGTGACGACCGATTCAATGGTGACAGTAGCCTGCTCTCCAGGGACAGTAACAACAGTACGCTCTCCGGGAACTGTGACGGTCCTTTCCTCACCAGACACTGTGACAACAGTTCCCTGGCCAGGTAGAGTCACAGTCCTTACCACAGTTCTATCCTCACCAGGCTGGACAATAGTTCTGGGGATAGTCACTGTCTCGTCTTCTCCAGCCTCAGTGATAGTAACCCTGCTTCCTGGAATAGTAACGACGTCGGTAATTGTCAATGCAGGTTCAGTAACGGTGGTTCCAGCCTCGGTGACAGTGCTTCCGGGCTCAGTGACAGTTTCCTCGGGGAGAGTAATAGTTGTTCCAGCCTCAGTCACGGTACTGCCAGGCTCTGTTATAGTGATTTCAGGAAGCGTTACAGTAGTGCCCGGTTCAGTCACAGTCGTTCCAGCCTCGGTAACTGTTGGTCCTGGTACCGTAACAGTACCCCCATCTTCTGTGATTGTTACTCCAGGCTCCGTGATTGTGACGGGAGGTAGAGTCTCAACAATAGTCTCCCCTGGAAGTGTTTCGACGAAAGTTGGTCCGGGCACAGTTTCTATCACTGTTACCGGCTCTGTCTCGATATACGTCGGTCCAGGTCGAGTCTCAACCACAGTAGTTCCCTCATGAACTGTTTCTGTGACTGTTGATGCAGCTTGAGTCTCGGTTACCGTCACCTTCTCCGTGACTTTTTCCGTCACCTTCTCAGTCTCAGTAACGGTGACCTTTTCGGTGACCTTCTCTGTAACCTTTTCGGTGACAGTGGTGATGCCGCCAGGAGCGCTTCAAGCATGTTAGTGAAAGCTATTTGGATCATCAATAGCGACTTACCAAGATTGAGTTGTCTCAGGTGGCGCAGTCGTGGTGGGAGGTTCAGAAGCCTCAGTGGTGGTTGTCGGAGGCTTAGGGGCCTCAGTGGTAGTAGTTGGAGGCTTCCACGGCTCGGTCGTTGTTGTTGGAGGCTCAGGAGCTTCAGTAGTGGTTGTCGGAGGCTTAGGGGCTTCAGTGGTAGTAGTTGGAGGCTCAGGAGCTTCGGTCGTTGTAGTCGGAGGTACATACGGCTCGGTTGTGGTAGTAGGGGGCAATGGGGCTGCACTCGTTGTCGTTGGAGGCGCAGGAGGCTCCTCGCTGGTGGTTGAGGGCCCATAGGTTGGAGGCGGAACTACGATGTAAGTATCTGTGATAACCGGGGGCGGTGGAAGCGGCTCGGTGGTGGTCTCAGGCGGTGGAGCTACTGTGGTTGGATCGTTGGCAGGATAGCTGTCTGTGATAACCGGGGGAGGAGGAGGAACCACCACGGTCGTCGTCACGGGCTTAGGACAGCCGCACCTAGCATCCCAAACCACCATTGTGCCGTCCTCGATGTACGGGGTTCCTGTATCGGCCCCGCCAATACTGGCCTCGTCTTGCTCAGTCGGCGCGGCAGTGGTGTCTTGGGGTGCCGGAGCCGCTGTTGTTTCTGGCTCGACCTTAGCTGCAGAAGTCTGAACTTCGGGAGCGCTGGCGAAGTATCCATCTTGAGCGGGCGCCTGCGTATCGGCAGCAGCAGGTTGTATACTTGCTGATTCACTCCTTCGATGGAGACCTTCTCCAGCGTTCTGAGCTGGAATCTCAACAGCTACAGCGCCTAAGGCACTGAGCAATAGTGAGAAGCGCATGGCAGGCAACTGCCTTCAATGCAATGAGTGAGTGATACCAGCGTCAGAGCCGTCTGGACCCAGTAGCGAGTGTGGTTGAAACGAACGTCAAAGTCCAACTCTTCTTGGTTGAGATGTTAGAAAACGTCAAACAAAGAGAGTTAATGCATTGAGCTTGAAGAAATATCACAGATATATGATAGAGGAGCTGGGACTGGGTTGGGGGCTGAGCAACAGAGAGAGCCTTACCAGAAACCGGCAATGCGGATATTCAAGCCCACATACATCGACATCCACAAGTAGAGTTAATTTACTCTGGTAAGCCACTCCGCAGTATAGATACGGCAGGGGAGCAGCTGAGAGAGAGCCGAGTTGCGGATCGATGTAAAGCAGAGCCGATTTACCAGGTGGAAAAGTTTGTATGTAATCAAACTCAACAGCCAAGCGTCAGCCAAATTAAAGAGATCCTAGTCTGGTCACCGAAGAAAAGATGACTCAAGACAAAGAGCAAGGAACATCACAAAAGATCCATTGAGAGGGAGTACAACACTGTAGCTAAATGTGCTGGAAGAGTTTGTGGGTACCTCGCCTGAGCTTGCTGACCTTGAGCAATCCGTAGCATGAGCAACAATGCATTTACATGCATAGAACATGGATGAGAACAAGGGTCTGACAGGGGTATACACATTAAGATATGCCTCGATTGAGAAAGCAGCACGACTTTTGAAGGTCCACTTGGACAAGGGCCTTGTTCTGATGCCTCTGAGAGACTCCAATATCACGCACGCACACTCTTAGATCCAAAGCTGCGGGCCGCGAAGGGGTGGAGAAGTGACAATATCACATCACAACCCACGAGGGTTATGCTGACAACAAGGCCACCACATGACAGACAAGATGGAATATCTGACATGGTTTGGGATTATAATTGACCGAAAACCCATCGAACGGTACTCCGTTCTCCGTTCTTCAGCCTGAAAGCCAAGGTTTGACGCGCAAGGCTGCGATGTTGGCACGGGAGAGGAAGTTTGCGGAGTGGTCTGTGATAATAATAGACAATGCAGCAAGAGTGTCACCGATTCGATGTGTAAGGTACGCCAATGATGCTGTGGCTCACAGAAAGCCGGATCTCAAAGGATGTTGGGGGCATTTTGGGTGTAGAGGGGTTCAGAATTTCCCGTATTAAAAGTGTAAATTGACTAGTCACAGTGTGATTCGGCGAGTCATTGGTTGTAAAATTATGTTGCGTAAATACTAAAGCAGAACAAGTGCAGCACACAAAGACATGCGTACGTGCTTTGAAGTTGGATGTCAAAGATGAAAGTGGAGAGGCCTTAATAGAAGTTGACTAGTCGAGCGAGTGAGGTTGAGACGGGAAGTTCGAGGCTCACTTCCTCGGAACCAAGCAAGCCAAGTAGAGTTAGTGGGTGGCTTGTAGTGAAACGGGCGGGCAGGTAGACGCCACAACCTGATTCTCAGGGCATCTCGTGTTGTGATTGGTGGGAGTCTAAACAAAGCAACCCAATCCAGGGCGGAAGTTTTTGCTTCGGTCCAGCCCTGTGAGAGCGGGAGAGAGTGGAGACTCCCGATTTCGTCACTTGTCACTGATTTACGATCCGTTTTAACACGGGCGATCATTGCAGGAGTTTTGTCTCCCAAAGCACTGAACTATTGAATAAAAAACCTGTTTTCCACGAGACGGAGAAAAAAGAATGCAGATTCTGTACTAGGCTCTCGCGTACCTGACTACAGAATGGATGTCTGTCTGTCGGTCAATCGAACGTCGGATACCAGGATAATTAAGCTAAAAGCTGACTGCTCGCTGGGATACCCACTGGGTCGACCCTGAGCCCCGCTGTAGCCCACATGCCGAGCCTTATTCAACTGTAGGTCTCTCTGAGGCTACCACAACAACAAAACATTGCAATCACGGGTCGACGGTGGTCGGATCAGATTTTGTCCTTCGCCGACTTGACGTGTTGGCAGATGAATCATCATCTGAACCGTTTCTTTGTTCTCTAAAGTCCACACTCATTTAACAACTGCCCACCTTAATAACCAAACATCGCCAAAGCCGGATGCTGTGTTGCCTACAGTTCATCATCTCCTCCCTCCCCCACGCCTGGTCACAACCTCGCATTCAATCTGACATCTGCGCGACTTTTGATTCATCATGGCCACTCCCCGTGGCTGCGGGGGCCTCGATGAGTTGCGTCCGATATGCAGCGGACTAAGAGACGTGGATGGTTAGGTTGCCAGCACAGCGCATGAGTTGATGGAGAGATCATCCTTGCAGTGCAAAAATAATACCTTTTTCTGTGTGGACGGGGGCTCTCCTCTCCTTGGCTTCACGGAGAGAGGGTCCGATGGGTGAGATGTGGTCTTGTTACATTGTCTCCTCCCCGACAGGTGCCAGTGCTTATTTTTGGCAGGGATGTGGATGGTAAGATCGGCCATGTCAGTCCAATCCTGGACAAGCCCAGCCTCCAAAGTCTCTTTACCCGTCCTTCGACGGATGGCACTTTTGGATTTGCGCTTTCTTCTTGCGACTCTGACATCTCTGCCAGAAAGAGCCAGTTACTCCGTTCGGTCATGTCCGTGTCCGCGTTCCGGCGCTGACAAGAAAAACCACAAGAAAGACAAGGCAAAAGTCTTTGCCCCGAGCCTTATCCTCATCCAACCCGATCAACTGGTCCAATCAACTTGAAACCTCATGCGAGATCGCCGTGATTCCAACTGCCTGGGCCACTTAGCGGTTGTGGCTGTTGATAGTCTGTGAAACGAAACACCACCAACGAGCTCCTGTTGGTTCGTCTGCTTCTCAGTCAAAGCTACTGGTTCTTTGTTAGAGAAAACTTGACAGCTTGCATCTTGACTCGGCTGTTCATCTATTTCCTCTACCGTCATCGGTTACCGTCCGTCCCATCGGGTGCAGAAGCTGAAAGGGCCTGTTCGGAGCAGTGTCTACACCCTGGTCCAGTCCCAGGTCGATCCCAGATCAAAAAACTCCTCGAGGTCAGCCCTTAGCAACAGAATATCCACCTGTTTACCGCTCTGAAAATTTCCACACTTGAAGTGGATGAACCATTTTCAACGGTCAGCCTAGCTCCTCATCATTTAGCGGCAGAATCAGGCTCCAGAGGATTGAGGCTGAGTAGAGAGATATGGAGTGATCCTGGTCAAAAGCAATGTCCTTACAGAACGGTGTCAGCTCGGAAGCATAACCCTGACCGTAGCCAACGCATGCAGAGCATGCTGCACCGCAGTAAGATGGTGTCCATGTTCGCATGGGCGGCCACCGAAGAGCATGGATGTATCTCAATGGCTCTTTAACCCTCTAACCGACGAATGTGCTGTCTTGACATGAGGAACAGCTGATCCCTCAGCCCTACCCATTCCCCATCCCTCCGATCTCAACTGGTCTCAGTGGCGAACGTTTGTTCGACAGAGAATACTGTCCACTTGCCTTCCATCTTAGCATTGTGTCTTACAGACCGTTTTGGATTCTCTCTGTACCGTTTGCTTTCTCATCTTACAATCATTTTGCCTTTGCTTCTAACTCCCTGATCCTTGCCCACTCATTCTACGTGCATATTGCACAAACCCACCAAGCATCGAGCTGCTCGGACACTTTAGTGATCTTTGATTCTAGGCCGAGGCTGTTTCTTTGTTCAATAGGGATTGCTTACCTTCCCGAACTAGCCTTGTTACTTGTGTACACTTTGCCTCCCAGCGGATATTCGGTCTCTTTGCCGGTCATTGGGAGCGTCTTTAGGACAGAATAAGCAATGGTCCACTAGCATCTTCTTGCAGTTAATTTCTTTCAAACACCTGCTCTGTGCGACGCCCTCTGAATAGCTCATGATTGCAGTCATGATGTTTCGAAACGCTGCACCGTGGGCATTCCTGGCCGCGACCATAGGTCCAGCCGTCGCCCAGTTTGATGCCTGGCAAGATGGCCAAATCAGTACTGAAATATGTATTTGGAAGCAGCCAAGAGGTGAGACTACCGTCTGTTAATCTAGCCAAGGCTTTGTCTAATATCTAATCAGCAATTATGATTCGGGATATGGTGTATCTAGACGGCGGTGATATAAAATGGACTGCACATATGAATGATGGCAAAACAGTTACGGGACTTGACACAGGTTGGTCATTCCGGTCTATTTACTTGGACGAACTAACAATCCAAGGTAACAATGAGGGTATTATCCTCAACTTCAATCTGAGCACTCCATTTAATACGACGACGAATGTGACGCAGATTCTTCTCGACAAACCAGCCATGTCAAAAGCACGAGGCGGTTCAGGAAACAGTAACGGCGCTGCGCCTAACTTTATCGACGGCGCTCTTCTTGGTAATGATGCTGAATTCTTTCTTTACGGTGGCGACCTGTTGCGAAACGACGACTTGTACCAGGCACCCGATAAGGATGAAGTTTTGGGCTACCAGGCATACCAGTATGGACCGGACAAGCCGACATGGAAGCCAAGTTTTGTTGATGACAAGCTGGACAAAGACGTCACTAGATACGTCGCGTATGGAGGAGCTGCAAATGTACCATCTGAAAACCTTGCGTTCTATTTCTCTGGCCTGAGATCACCGACATATGGAGCTTTCTTCACGAACGATCCCAAGAACAAGGCCACGAATGTTTCCGACACGCTGATTACCTTGAACATGGAGGAGCAGCTCTACGAAACTTGGACCAACACAACGTTGAAAGGGCCCAAGGGACGTGCCAATGCAGAGGTCGTTTGGGTGCCTGTGGGCAAGAAAGGTATTCTTGTTGTCCTGGGAGGTGTTGTCTATCCTGAATGGGCAGGACGAAGTGGCAAATCCGCAAATGAGACAGAGAGTGTAAGTCATATCCAAACTTACATCGATATGGAAGTGACACTAACACTGCACGATGACAGGAAAAGCAAAGCCCTGAGTTTATGCAGACAATCGACGTCTACGACATAGACAGCAAGAAGTGGTACAAGCAGGAAACCAAGGACGGTCCAGGCGCACGAACTCGAGGATGTGCTGTTGTCGCTACGGCTTCAGATCGTTCAAGTTTCAATATCTTCTACTATGGCGGGTTCGATGGTATTCATCCATTGGACGCTTACAGTGATGATGTCTGGGTACTCTCGTTGCCATCCTTCACGTGGATCAAGATTAATGAAGGAAAATCTCTTCATGCTCGCGCCGGACACAAGTGCTTCATGCCATACCCTGACCAAATGCTTGTCTTTGGTGGTTACACGTCTCAAGCTGGAAGTTCGATTACTTGTCTTGACCAGGGCCCAATTGTGAACTTTAACGTCACCAGTGGACAGTGGTTGGACGGATATGATCCTGACGAGTACAGCGATTACGGCGTTCACGAAAAGATTCATTCTGAAATCGGAGGTGATGCCAAAGGTGGCGCAACGGCGACTGCCCCTGCAGACGGCTGGTCGACATCCGCCCTTGAAGATATCTTCGGCACTAAATACGACACCAAGAAGATCAAGGAATACTGGCCTTATACCAAGGCAGTCTCAACCGGCAGACCTCGACTCGACAGCGGCGACAGCAATGATGACGACAACAAGAGCGGCGGCTCTGGTCTTCCAAACTGGGTTGCACCAGTTCTTGGAGTCGTTCTTGGACTGATGTTTGTGACCGGTATCCTTGTTGTCTTCTGCCTCTGGCGCCGTCGCAAGATCTTCAAGAACCGATCAAGCGACGACGGTACTGAAGATCCAGGCTCACGTATCCGATCATGGATCAGGGGCCAGCACAACGAGAAGGCCCCTACAGTCACAACAGACGAGACCCCTACAAGTCCTGGAACTGAAGTTGCCTCAACTGCGAGATTCGTCGGTTTTTCACCGTCACCGTCTGATGATCCTGCCTATCCTGCCTCTCCCGCTGAGGTAGCCGATACCCAGATCCACGAGATGCCTGGTAGGTTACAACTATATTCTTAAGTGGTGACAGTTACTGACAGTTTTAGACACCTCACGACCCCCTGAGCTCCATGACACAGGCCTCTCACCCATCGATATCATCCAAAAGTACTCCCACTTTGCCAAAGACGGCAAACCTCGCTCCATGTCAAATCCTTCTAGCAACTCTTACTCTATAGGAGGAGAGCATGCAAGCACCGTTTCGAGGTCGACAGGACCTCAATTATCGCAGCCTGACTCTCCCACAGCAGGTCATAATCGCATGACATCAGATGTATCCGGTGTAAGTGAAAGCGACGGCAAACCCACTCGCGTAACATCCGATGTTTCTGGCGTATCTGAAGGCGATGCCTTGGCACTCCGGCATACGACCATTCCTGTAAGTCCAAGGACCGACGATGCGAGCTTGCCCTCGCCGCCACTTCCCTCTCCTCCTGCAGACCCAACACCCAATTCACCCATTGGTGAAGGGCCAGTATCCCCTGCACCAGTGTCTCCTCCCAGTGCCGGCGAGGCTCCTGGTCGGGACTACATCACAGCCAAGGCCTCAGCAAGCCCTATCCGGAAGAGTATGTTTAAGGAAAGTGATGAGGATATGGGTCATTCTAAATAGATATTTTAATGTGAGATAAAATCAGAGGATGGCGTTTGAAATGTGGTTTATGATGGAACGTATGGGCATACATATCGATATCAGGCGGCAGGACATTCTTTCACGGGCTCAGCATTCTAGGAGTACGATACCTTGGTTTAGGTTCATGGCGGGATTACACTCGTTTTGTTGCAAAACATTCAATGTCTATATACGTTACTTTTGAGTACCTATATTCATAATATCCACTCCATATGAAAGAGCTCTCTGGTCTCTGTTCTTTCGTCTAATCTGACCCTGTGGTGCCTTTCCAAAATTGAAGCCTTGTCTCGTTCCTTGCATGGATAAACGGCATCAAGTTCACCTTTTTAGTGAACCTGGTGAATCTAGACCTCAACCAGTTGATCATCCTCGTCCTCAACCTCTTCCACCCGTCCATTGGTAGCCTCGGGCTTGTCCTCAATGGCCTTAACGTCATTCTCCGTCTTGCCCTCATCTTCCTCATCTCGTGCCAATACCTGCACCAAGCGCTCACAAGCCTCTTGAACACCTTCATCGTTGACTCGTGAATGTGTCTCCCGGATGACAGGATATACCTTAACTCGGCGCATGAGATCTCGTCCTTCTCGTGTTGTTGTCAATAGTGTGAGTGTCTCAACATGTGTCTGCACATTTTGGTTGTCTGAGTCTCGCTTCTTATCGGGAGGTAGCAGTTGGAGATCAGGCAGCATATCCATTGTCTCATCAACATCGTACTCCTCGTTACCCATGATAGGGAGCAGGATATAAGGTAGGATATCGATCTTATCCTCAGATAAGAATGAAGGGTGAGATGAAACCTCAAAGGCAACGTTCTTGATAGTGCTAGCAACACCTTTTCGTCGAATATCGGACTTGTGTTCAGTGAAAACCTTGAGCTTGGTAATGGGAATGACCTTGTCATAAGACTGCTCTTCAAGGAAGTGCCTTCGAATATCAGCGTGCTTGGAGAGATCGGCGAAGACGTAGGCTAGATAGTCAAAGTCTGCGTTCTTGTTGTATGTGCCGTCTTGTCCCTTGACAAACAGATCTAGTAGTTGGTTGAGGACAACCTGGTCTGAGCCTAGTTCCTTTGGGGGTTCTTGCTTTCGCTTGAGGAAATCTTTCAAGCCATCCCACTTGGATAGGTTGGCCACAAGCATGGCTAACAAGTTGGCATTAGCCTCTTCGGGGCTCTAGGTGCCGTGTTAGCGACTGATAATAAGTCTCTTCAGCCTTTAAACATACCACTATGAGATCGAATACGATGCCGAGGAACTTCTCGTCTTTTGCAAGGAATTCGAGAACCTCTTGGTCACTCGATAAGTTGACCAGCATTGTGATGGCATGTTCGGCAATTTTCTGAGATATCATTAGTCTCAGGGAGACCCTTTTCATTCTTACAGGCCCGACTTACAGGATGGTCTCGGACTAGGAAACTGAGATGCTTGACTGGCTGAAGTTTCTCGGCCTTGAAGATACTGGGTTCTGACAATGAGTAGGGGACGAGGTTCTCGGCAGCAAGCAGACGAATCTGAGCGTTGGGGTTGGCGATGAAGCCGACGAGCTGCAGTCGATATATGTTAACCGAGGATTCTGCTATAGTACGTAGGGTAACTTGCCTCTTCTAGTTCAGTTGGCATCTTCTCTTTCTCTGTTATTATCTTCAATATGTGTTGTTGAAGTGAATTTTTAGAGTTGGTGATGATTTTGGAGGGGCATGAGAGTAGTGGGGGTAGAGGCCTGAAGTCATCGCTGCTTCAGCAGGACTGGGCATCATTTTTAGTGGTCAATAAGTGAATTTTCAGTTGGACCCACATGCTGAAGAAGTTTCCAAGGGTCTCTTTTTGTGTCATCATGGTGGCGGGGCAGAATCGGCCTGGTTTATCATATTTTTCAAGAACAAGACGAGGCTGTTAGGAGCTTTAGCTAATTTCTTAGCCAGAGGTATCAGCTATTTTACTTCGCATTTATGAAATGCATAGCTTCATTTTCTGCTATTTAGTAGCAAGAGAATAAGGTACCTAGTAAAGGAAGACAAGAGATACAATGGGGGCAATAACACGTAGAAGTTCTAGTATAGGTTTCCATGAACAAAAGAGAGAACTTATAGATCGATACACGAATAGCGTTTCCTGCCTTCTCAGGTTGAATTATTCTGATAAAAGTTATCCAATTCATAGACAACTTCTCAACCGAAAGCGGTGAACCACCTTTGTGAGCCGATACAGCGCACTAGGCGAATTCGAGCAAGAGGGGTCCTTATCGATAAGGCAAAATTTTTGAAATTCTACCCAAACTACGACTCCAAGCCCACATTGTGTGCCATCTCCAAGTCAATACGCCCAAAATGCCTAAAGCCACCACTCCCTCTGCCTCGCGGCAGACACGACGACACAACCCTCTCGAGGATGACATCACGGCCACTGGCATTCTCAAGAATAAGTCCTCAAAGAAGAGATCAAAGGGCGGCGACGATGAGGAGGAAAGCTTTGTCGACGACCGCGCTTCCAGAACTATTCTGCGCATAGGTCGTGAGCTGGCCGAGGAGGAAAATGCTGGCAAGGCTGTCGCTAAACCTACCATCGACACCTTTGGCTACGATTCGCGATTTGACGATGAGGCTGAGGAGGAAAACAGGGTCTATGAGGACGACGAGGCTTGGGGCGAGGATGAAGAAGTTGTGGAAGAGATCGAGGTTGACCCCAATGACCTTGACATGTACCGAAAATTCATGCCCGATGAGGAAGATGACCTATTGAAGCACGGCTGGGATCTGAAGCCTACAGGAGAGGAGCAAGGCGAGAGCGTCAACCTTGCAGATCTTATCTTGGAGAAGATTGCTGCTCACGAGGCGGCGCAAGAGAGGCGAGAGAACAACCTGGGGCCTCCCGATGAGGAGGACTATGAGCTTCCTCCTAAGGTTATCGAGGTCTACACCAAGTAAGTTCCCAATTGGAACCTGAAATGACGACATAAGCTAACAATCCCAGGGTCGGCCAAATTCTTTCTCGATACAAGTCCGGACCTCTGCCAAAGCCCTTCAAGATTCTCCCCACAATCCCTCACTGGGAAGACATCATCGCTGTCACCGAGCCCGACAAGTGGTCTACTAATGCCTGCTACCAGGCGACAAGAATCTTCGTTTCTAGCAAGCCCCATGTTGTTCAGCGATTCCTGGAAATGGTTATTCTCGACCGCGTTCGCGAAGATATCTACGAAACCAAGAAGCTCAACGTCCACCTGTTCAACTCGCTCAAGAAGGCTCTTTACAAGCCTGCTGCTTTCTTCAAGGGCTTCCTGTTCCCTCTCGTTGGCAGTGGAACATGCACCCTCCGCGAGGCTCATATTATTTCCGCCGTCTTGACTAGAATTTCTATTCCTGTCCTTCACTCTGCCGCGGCCCTGAAGGGTCTGTGTGATATTGCTGCTCAGGAGGCGTCTCATGGAACCGAGGGTGGAGGTGCCACCAATATCTTCATCAAGGCCCTTCTTGAGAAGAAGTATGCTCTCCCCTTCCAGGTCATTGACGCTCTGGTTTTCCACTTCCTGCGATTCCGCAGTGTCGACCCTGCCTCTGTTCAGGTTGGCGACGCTATGTCAGGTTTGAATGAGGGAGATGCCAGAACAAAGCTGCCCGTTATCTGGCATCAGAGTCTGCTCGCATTTGCTCAGCGATACAAGGGTGATGTCACAGAAGATCAGCGTGAGGCCCTCCTGGATCTTCTCCTTACACACGGTCACCCGGCCATCGGACCTGAGGTGAGGAGGGAGTTGTTGGCTGGACGAGGCCGTGGTGTGCCGCTGGAGCCCCAAGGCCCAGCATTGGATGGTGATGACACTATGCTCATTGACTAATGGGACTGATGTTATCGATCAACGGCATTTCTAATGAATCAAGACAAATTTGGCGTATGGCGTATTAAAAATGGTTTCAAGCTGGTTCGACTTGAGTGGAGATAGAATTGAGTCGGTTGGAGACAAGAAGCCCATCTCGATACCAATTATATGATTCTTTTGTTCCATCTCTGCTCCCTCTATAAATTTTATCGTGAACTGTCCGCCACTGCTAAGCGCCTTCCCTTATCAGTGGGCGTTCTTCCCATTGGGAATGCCATGAGCCTGCCATTCACTGGGCATCCATAACATGTGGAAGGAGCAGTGACAGCGACTGCCATGCATCTCTAGAAAGTAGCGCAACTCCCTCTCCGAATCTGATACTCTGATCCTTCATCCTCCTAAGTTTCTACCTACGGAACAACCCTTCTCACTAGTATCTTACGATATACATTGCTATGTTCTCTGTCTCAACCTCCCAGTTGTCTGTTTTAAGCCATTATATAATTCTTTTCTAACATAGGTCTGTTTCACCACAACATTGTCGCCCCGAAGTTAGGTACATCATCTTGACCGAAGGGCGACCTCGCCTGAACAGTGCTACTCCAAGCCTAAATTGCCGGCGCAGTCTCGTTCAGACCCATCGTTGCCATCAAGTCGTCATAATATGAACGAGCCCAAGTACGATACCACACTATGAGATCCCGAGCGGCTATACTGATGAGTATAGTTACTTCAATGTTCCCCATGGAACGCCAGCATCTCCTTCCTTCGCCGCCGCGACGTTTACGGCATCCAAACCAAAATATGAAAACCTAATGAAACATCATCCGAGCCTTCCTTCAATGCCGGAGAACATGTTCTCGGCTCCTCTACCCTCGAATAGTACTACGCCTCGACCAACATATCGGCAATCGTTATCCTCTTCTAGTTTCGGCGTTGATCCTCCACGGCCTCCTCACGACGGGTTCGAGTAGGTCTGGTTCCCTCAAGGATACTGGGCAGAACGCCAACTTATGGTACCACGGAAGAGCACTTCTGGGAAAAGTTTCTTCAAGTGGAGGAACCGCTCGACAAAGTCTGCCAGTGAATCAGACGTTCGAGACCTTTCATTCGCATCTCCTTTAACATCCCTTTCAGCGCCACTTGCTTTCCAGGGTTTCGAACCAACACAGCCAAGACCACCTTCCAGTCCCTTTGTGTCGGAATCGGCGCACGTTCTCTCTTTGCAGCATCCTGCCGTCACGCGCTTCTCAGATCAGTTTCCAGATTCCAGCGATATCTCCCCCAGCATGAACAATAACAGCACCGACTCGATCTCGCCGATGAACAATTCTGGCATAAACGGACAGACGAGTACTCCTCCCTCTTCGCCCCCGAGCTCCATGGGCTTTTACGTCAAAGCAAAGAAGAGTCTCGAATCAAAGCTGAAATTGAAGGCTCGTAGAGAGGTAATCTTGTTTCGCAGTCAAAGAAATGGATCGACGCTAATCTTGGCAAGGAACCAATGTGTTCAGCTATCCCACAACATGTCCATCAATGTGCAACAATGGATGGCACAGGGAATTATTCCAGCGTGCTCCAAATCACTAAAACAGGTTCCTGGCTCAAAGACGACGTAGGGAAACCCAAGCTCCGAAGAAGGCTCTTTGGCAGGGCACCGTGGGTCCGAAAAGAATCAGCAGATTCTTTTAGCAGCGTATCAAGCTCTATGAGGGAGATACTCAAAGGTGAGACCATTCCTCCCTCAGCAGTCTCAATTTATACTTCTTGTATGTTATTTACAGCATGTACAATATCTGAGAAGCCGAGGCTAACAGTCAAGTAGTACATGTGAACTGCGTTAATGACCAATTTCCTGGAGGGGTATGCTCCTTTGAAGTGATCCGGGCGTTGGCAGATACTAACTGTTTTCCGTGACCAGGAGGCAAGACGAATGAAGACACCACCTCTGGCCGAAGACACTACGAGCGGCCGACCACGTTCATTCTTCACTGAGACGGTTCCTCCCACAGAAGCCGATCAAATGGAGCCTCCATCCAGAAGGAATTCTCTCCAAACGGTTCGTCGCCAGAGCATTGTCGCTGACACATACGAGTGGTGGGAAAAGATGCCCAAGAAACCTGTTCGCAGGAGTCCTTTTCAAGATCGAATTCCTTTTGAGTTTCAGCTACCAGAACATCTACCCAGCAGCCCAATGTGCCCAGCCAACGAGAAACACGTCAGTGGTGGAGCTGGCATCTGTGTCTACCATGGACGCAGGAAGGGTGCATCGAGATTATTGCCAGTGTGATTCAAATCACCTTGGGGAGGAAACCCGGAATAGTAAGGAACCATGCCTTGGGTATGAAAAGGCTGTTGGTTTCGAGTACCGTAGACCTCAACTCCTATTCCTTTGATATGTGTATTCTGATTTATTCTTGTAGTAGGTTACTGATGAATCGAGTAATACAATCAACAGCAAGATGGGACACGAAATATGTAATAGGGTTGGCAGCACACTCTTGTTCAGTGCTTTCATACTGAATGTTTGCATTGATTGATGGCATCGAGTGATGGTAGTCTACTCTATAGCATTCTTATATTTATTCCGATCCCTTCAGTTTATATGATCGCTTATTTGCCCGGTTTAATTGCAAATTCGACTTGCTTGAATCGAATATGTTGCTCAAAACACCCATCGCGTGCTCCAAGAATTAAGAAGTTATCTAGACGGAAGACCTAACCTGGGTATTTGGTGCTCCTTTATACGCCGTCTGTCCCTCTGCAGGCATGACATAGTCATAAGTTTGCTGGTTATTCTTCCTTCTGCTCCAGAAGGACTGACTACCCTTGAAGAACAAAGGCGGCGGGTTGCGAATGTGAGTCAGCACAAGAACAACGAGCCAGACAATAGTAATAGTAGGGAGCATCCAAGAACTCTGCTGATATTCGGTGGAACGTGTTTCACTGTATCTTATCAATGCGACGAGACTTGTACCGAGGCCGAGGAGAATGAAGATGATGTGACGGGTGATGGCCCATTTGCTCCATGGTTTTGTTCGTGAGATGACGGCGAGGGCCACCATGAGGATCAAGGAGATACCAGCGGCGATATAGGTATAGTTGAACTGCGGCATGGGTTAGAAACCGAAGTATATACGAGGACATTGCGTGAAGATCGACTTACGATAAGTTGGAAACGAATCCACATCTTCTCATTGAGTTCAGACTCAAAGCCAGAATCGGTCTGCTTGATGCCTTTGCTCTTGTTCTCGTCGTCAACTTCCTTCGCAAGGTTAATCTTGAAGGTCTCAAGCAAAGCGTTCTCCATGGCACTCATGAGTCCAATCATGGCGTCGACGAAGGTCTGGTAGTCGTTCTGATCAGGAAAATCCTTATCCTGATTTGTATCAGAGTACTTGACGATCTGTGGCCAGAATGTATCGTTGATAGTTGAGATATTCTTCAGCGCAGCGTCGGCCGTGTTCAAGGTCGTGATATACTGAGGTGTGTAGGTCTCGAAGAATTTGGTGACAACTTTCTGTAGCTCGTCGACGATCATCTTGGTTGTTGCCTTGGCCATGAGACTGGTGTTGTCCAGGAGTACTGAGCTCGAGTTCAGGTGCTTGAAAACATCGAAGATCTTGGTCCAGATGACAAGCTGAGTGAACCCCTGAATGAAGAGGCAGAGTGCGAGATGCAGAGGATAGTGGAGAAGAGTCCAGAGCTGCTGGCGGAATTTGGGCAGATAAGGATTCTTCATCCAGTCGAAGTAGATGAGGAAGACGGCATAGATGGTTGTCGCTGCGGCGGTGACAATGCCAATCGTTTGAGCATCTATTAATGTGTTAGAGGAGGCCTCTATTCGAGGAAATAAAATATCAAAGGCTTACTCCATGCATCAGGGCTTTCGACGATAGTGACAACGCTCTTTGAAATAGTAATGATTCCATCACCAACAATAATGACAGTCAACAGACCAATACGCTTCATCAAATGCGTACCCTGGAAACTCAGAACCGGGTAGATGTACGCAATGGCGAAAGTGAGGATTAGCTCTACACCGGCGAGGACATACCACGTCATGAAGACATTGCTATTGTGATCAGTAAAGCGGAATGTGACGCCGAGATAGATCATGGCAAGGGCAAAGTTCAAGCCAATTTGAAGCATCATTGGCAAGACCTGCTTCTTGTACTTTCGGACGTGCCAGAGGATGCTTCCGTATTCGACAGCCAAGCATAGGCGGGAGACCATAAGAATGATGGCTACAGAGTATTAGGCATAAAGTTAAGGGGGTAGGATGGGGTTGAGAAACATACACATTGTTCTCATGGTCTTCATGTTTTGATCGTGAGGTGTGAACTTGGGAGCAACGACGGCGAATCCAACCATGACTCCGAGATGAACACCTCGAGCCGCACGTTCTATCTCTATTAGTATCATACAACAAGGAATTCCAAACTGGCATACCGAAGAGACTGTCCGTTACGAATCGAACATCATACAAACTAGTAGTAAGCCATGTGATCCACAGAATACTTTCTATCTGTTAGCATCTTCATTGTATTGACTCTCCTCCTATTCCTACCTGAAGTATCCAACATAGGCTTTGAAACGCTCATGGCTATTAACACCTTGTGTTTCGCAGAAGACAGTGTAGTTAGCGGCGAAGAAGAGATCGTAGAAAAGCTCGAGTAGACTGGCATCTTCGTGCTGTTTCCATGTCAGCAGACATCCCCTGAGTAACGTCTTGTGGTATAGACCTTTTGGAACTGTGGGCAGTCATCCTCGTATCTGTTACCAAAGAGGCTCAGATCAGGAGCCGTGGGACTCCTGGTGGGAAGACCATCGATGCTCGAGTCGGAAGCTACAAGAGGACTCTTGATGAGAGCGAGCTTCTCAGCTGCTGTCGCGCTCTCGTGGTGATCTTCTCTAGCCATTGCTTAAAGAAACAATCTACCTTGTTAAAAGTCAGTATTGTCGTTGCAAGGTTATAGAGTAACATCACGTAGATACAACAACTCTTCACATCTAATAAGACCGCTATACATACCTTCAAATAGAATACTCACAACAGGATGGCAATCCAGTCTACAGCGATTTCCAGGACAGGATTGAAGCCTAGTTATGTAGACTGGACCGAATATTCGGGTTCTAAGGGATTGGCAGGGATTACAGGCCTTAATGATAACTTCAAACGCTGATCAGAGCCATAAATGCATGGACTCTTCCAGCTAAGTAGCTGCAATGCACCCTGATATTAACAAGGACCTTGGCCGTTGCGAAAACAAACATTGAAATGGCTTGATAAGAGAATTTAACCTGGAACTACCAACTAGTGCAGACACAACATCGAACCAGACTCGGTTAGCTCGCCTTGTGATGTCTCTGATTGAGCAATTCCCACAGTAGAGTAGTATCAGAATCTTACGTGAGAGAGCTAATCTTAGCCCCCAACAATATTAAGTGGTAACGAGCTGAAGACACGGCACATGCTAACGGCTCACTAATACGACTTGAACCCTTTGATTCGCCAGGTGATCTGTTTTTAGAGACATCGATAAAGCTTAGCGAGTGTGGTGATCCACAAGGCTGGAGAGTGTTCAGTGGAGCCCGTTGCTATTAAATGGAACGGCTGAACCAAAGTTCCCGGGATGTTTCGTTTTGTATTGGTGCTCATTTTTCGTTCCTTTGCTCTTTTGGGGTATATTTTTCGTGGTGCTGACTGGTTGTAACGCTGGTCATGCATGAATCCTTCACGGTTTTTTGCTTACTGCAGAGGCCTTTTGCGTTTAGCCGCACTATATGCTTTGTGGTCTGATTGACATGTAGTCATGCTTTTAAGCTTGGTTTTACCTGGAACAAACTCTGTTGACAGAGAAATTTCGGAGAAAAATAAAGTCCAAAGTGCAATATAAATATCCTCTGTAACCATGGCAGAGATGAGAGGTTGAGTATGATCTGATAGTTGAGATGAGGATGCTTGTGCCCTCGCGGTCAGATGCAACCAAGTTGAGTCATTAGCGGCTGAAACATATAAATAGACCGAGTCACTGCATGCAAATGCAATGATCCTGGACTCGAATTACGGGCCAACATCCATTGTCGTTGAAGAATGCAACCCAGTTAGGAAACTCAAAACCAACAGCATCGTAGGGCTGGTAAAGTGGGTCGCTGTGCATCTTCCCCAAGTCTCGTGACTTGGCTCCATTCAAGCGCTTAATTCTCATCTCGACGCGTCAAACGCGTCCCCCCTTGGCTTGGCCTGGTAACTTAGCGCAACCCATAATGTCAATGGGCAGCAAAACAAAGTTCGAGATGATGCAATGTTAGATTTCGATACGGAACCGATTTGACAATATCATCTGACATCCGCGTAAACGATGGATTCTCCTACCCAGGACGCAAGCGCTCGAAAGAGAAATCATTTTCAAGACGATCCTGTCCCTACTCCTCCGACCCTCAAGAAGCGAAGACTCGATGAACTTGTACAGGGATCTCCCTCGACTCCGAAAGCCCTCAATGCTATCAACTCAGCACATCCTTCTGCTATATCCAGCCAAAACGCCTGGCCACCGGTGGACAACAACCTTGAGGCGCCCAACTCCAACCCGCAACCTGCAGCTCAACCATCACAAGCACCACCACCAGCTTCTGCAGCGCCCAAATTTCGACCAGCTATCAAACTATCTGCTTTGAAAGGCACAATATGGGACACTCAGGATGCGCCTCGTCCTGTGTCTCTCCCCAAAAAAGTAGGTCCTGGGCGACCCAGAACCACAACAGCGAAGAAACCACCAGGACCCAGGGGCAGACCACGAAAGAAGAAGGTGCAAGAAGGGGATGAAGAGAATCGTGAAGCCACTCAAGCGCAAGAATCCGCCGACGAGTTGGCCACAGCAAATGGAAATCTATCGGTGTCGAAACCCACACCAAAGGGAATTTTGACTCCCACGAAGAGAGGCAGACCGCGAGGACGACCACCGAAAAATGTTAGCTTTGGTGCGGGCCAAGATCGCAATGGAGAGGTTTTCTTTGAGGACCTGCCGAAGAAGGCCAAGACACCACGCAAGGCGGCCAACTCTGAAGCAGACGAGCTTGTATGTGCAATCTGCATCAAACCGCACTCCCAACCTCCGAACCAAATTATTCTATGCGACATGTGTGATTTTGCCGTTCATCAAGAATGTTACGGAGTGCCTGATATCCCTGAAGGCGATTGGCTTTGCAAGTCATGTACTCAAGAGGACATACTCAAGACGCCAAAAAAGACTGCAGGCGTAGAGGTTCCGGCCATCAAGATCGCAGCGGATGTACCTGATATTGCTAATTTGGAACAACATGTGCGATCATTACAAAGAGTTCTTCTGGACCGATGTACAGGAAGAAGACGTTTGCAGTTGCCTGGCCAGCTGGAGGCTGAGGAGAAGGTTTACCAACTTGTGGAACAAACGGTTGTTGCTGGTGAAGGAAACTCGATGCTTGTCATTGGAGGGAGAGGCTGCGGAAAGACTACTGTAAGTTTACTGTTCCCGGGATGAACCGAAAGCTAATTCTACATCTCAGTTATTAGAAAAGGTCATCTCGGATGTATCTCAGGAGCATAAGAACGACTTCCACGTCGTGAGGCTCAATGGTTTCATTCACACAGACGACAAGCTTGCGCTTAAAGAAATTTGGCGACAGCTGGGCAAGGAGATGCAGGTCGAGGATGACTTGGTGACCAGAGTGAGTGTTCTCAACACTCCTTGGCTAGACTTTACTGACAATCTAGACAAACTATGCTGACACCATGGCGTCGTTACTGGCTCTTCTTTCACATCCGTCTGAAATTATCGGTACAGACGAAGGTGTCACGTCACAATCGATTGTGTTTGTGATTGACGAATTCGACATGTTTGCATCCCACCCTCGACAAACACTATTGTACAACTTGTTTGATATTGCACAATCACGAAAGGCGCCCATCGCCGTAATTGGCTGTACGACTCGGTTGGATGTTGTTGAGATGCTGGAGAAGCGAGTCAAGAGTCGATTCAGTCATCGTTACGTCTACCTCTCTCTGCCCAGGAACCTTCCAGCCTACTGGCAAGTTTGCAGACAGGGATTGATTGTTGATAGTGACGAGGCTGAAAAGGAGGGCATCAACACCTATCTTGAAGGACATGCCGAGTTCCAGCAGTATTGGGGCCAAAAGATAGAGGTAAGTCGAAGCGTATCTATGACTGCGTCGGATACTAACACCCAGCCCAGGGCCTCTACAGAGAACGATCCTTCCAGGACTTGCTTCAGTATCACTACTACACAACCAAGTCGACTTCGGCATTCCTCACCGAATGGATCTTGCCTCTGTCGGCTCTCTCAGCTAACGATGTCACACTCAAGATACCTTCTGTGCAAGGAGATATTGAATCCTTGACACCCCCTGATTCCAGACTTCACCTGCTGTCCACACTGTCTGAGCTGGACCTGGGACTCCTTATTGCTGCAGCGCGATTGGACATTGTCGCACACACGGACACGGTCAACCTGGCGATGGCGTATGATGAGTACAGCTCCTTGATGGGCAAACAGCGAGTGCACTCGGCAGCGGCAGGCATGCTTGCTGTAGGTGGAGGTGTACGAGTCTGGAGCCGGGGCGTGGCTGGTATTGCATGGGAACGGTTGATCTCCCTAGGATTGCTTGTGCCGGCCGGTATTGGTGGTGCCCGTAACCCAGGACATGGTGGATTGGAGGGCAAGATGTGGAAAGTCGATGTCGCACTGGAGGAGATCCCGGCAGCGGTGAAGCTAAACGCTATACTGGCGAGATGGTGTAGAGAGATTTAGTGGAGGAGGCGAGGCGAGGCGAGGCTGTTGTTTTACGATATGATGCCCTACTGGCGTGTCTGATACACATCTGTACTCCATTGATAGAGTCAGTATTAATGATGCCCCTGCATCTACATGTCTTTTGTAAAGACATGTAAAGAATACATCGGCGATACTTTGCTAACATCCTTGGTTTGCTAAAGAGTCTTACGACGGGAACAAGACGGCCTTGTAAGAGGATGGTTGCCCCTTGAAGATCGCGGTGAGTTATTCTGGGACCCGAGTTTACGGCATGCGGGAAACACGGCACACTAGTGAAGAGCTGTGAATATTTCGGTGAGGAGAAACAGTTTGAGGTTTCGAATATAGTAGAAATGAGGCTAATAGGAGGTTCGAGGAGAAGATCTCTGTCCGTCTATAGATTTCCAGAATATTTCCGGATTTATTCCATGTTACATTAGGACTCTGCTTTGGCAATATTATGGATATGTTTGAAGATATTGGGGGTTTTTAGGTCCCTTAATGGCATAATATGCTAAAATCTCACGGACCAAGCGAGGGTGCTTCTTAGTGAGACGTGTCAAGTGACAGCTTGAATTTGTAATTGATTTGATGTTTTATGTTGATATTTGAAACAAGTGAAGCTATTTTTATTCACCGCGAATATTTGAATATTCAAATGAATTTTTCTTAAGCTGATAACGTCACTGAAGATGGCTGAGATGCGTTAGATGAGATCAGATCAAGATGAGCTCGAGCTAGTGGCAAGCGAATACAACACTTCCGAGCTTCTTCGGTCAAGCCAAGGAAGGTTCTATAGACCGGCCGGCACCTGCTAGATTTTGTGGCTTACCGCCGTGCCTTCCACAGCTGGGGCTAAAGGATCGCATTTTCAGCAGGAGATGGGCAAGTAACGTAGTAGTGTCGTACTTGCCCATGAGTTAACATGGGTTGGATTGGATACAATAAATTCTTGCTGAGAGTGAATCAACCTCCGTCATCATAAATCTTCAACAACAAAATAAGAGATCGCCAATGTCTTAACCCATAAAAACTTGGAACCTCGGACCCTATTTTTTTCGTTCCATACATATTCTTTGATCATCATCGCTCCTCAACCTTATTATTATTATCATCATCATTCATTCATTACTCAGCATTTCATCATCTCACTCTCACCCAGCCGGCACTTTAGTTATACTGCACCAACTAGAAAAATACGTGTAATATTGTGTCGATCACAACCATCACCAAGAAAAAACATGACTCGGTCAACATTCACAACTATCACACCCTTGCCCTCAGGCATATCCCGAGAGCATGTAGTCGAGTTTCTCCACGATCATCTCGCCATGATCGACTTGAATCCCCTCATTATAGAACGCCACCAAATCCCTCCTCCGCCACACGCCCCGGAGGATGAGAAGAAGTGTGTATGGTACTCCATGACGGACCGTATCGACTATCTCCCCGGCGGTCTTGTCTCCGGCCAGGTCTCTTACACCGCGGCCTTCTTCGACTCTCCTGATGGTCTGCAGACGCACAGCTACGCTCCTATGGGGCTTGATCTCCGTGGGCGTTGGTCTGTAGGTGGCACGATGCCAGGAGAGCGCCCGCAGCCTGTTGAGCTTGGTCTTGGGGCGCCTACTACGGGTCTTTATCTCCGTGAGGATGTTGATATGCGCTGTAACATGCTCATGGCAGGGTTTGTCAAGAAGACTATTAAGAAGTCACACGGGACACTGGTTGAGAAGTTATCTCAGAAGACCTCCATGAAGATGGCAAGGCACTCTATGCAAAACTTCGGGACCAGCTCCCCAGGAAGTCTTCAAACACCAACCCCTACAGGGTCTGAATCCTCAGCAGTACCGCCTATGGGGCCGCTTCTCCCACCTGCCGTGAGCAATGACCAGCGCGGGTTTGCCCCGGACCTATCTTCACCACCTGCCTATGGCCACGGCACACCCTCTTCCTCTTCAAATATGAGCAACATGCATCCGCAGAGAAGCGGCGGAATGGTACCCCCTGGACAACCTCAACGGTTAGATTCGAATCAGTCAAGGCTTGGTCATGCAGGAACTGTCTATCGTGGCAACAGTAGGACTGATCATTACACCGAGTTCTCAGGTCAGAACCCCTATGATAGCTCACGGACTCCATACGATGAGCGGGAGAACTTTGCAGAATTAGACGATGGCACCCATAACCATCCTCGCCACTACGAAGAAAACTCAGGGCCCGCAGAGCTAGCTTGAGGCTTGCATGCGGCAGCATAACATCACCGATCTATGTTTCTCTTTGGTTTGGAGCAGGGGCGTTACTTCTAGCCTAGACTATTATGTCTATCTTTTGAATATCACATCATATCAGGTACGAGCGGAGCACATTGACAATATACAGAATATCGGACGCAGCTTTAATGAGCATAATGATAAAATTACGTTGAGTACTATACGTATTCATATTATACCAACGATAAAAATCATCTCCTAGCAATGCAAATGCCATCCGAAGCTCCCCTTCTATCAAAAAGCCCCAAAAGAACAAAAGAAATCCCCTTCAATGTGATTTACCCAACCCCGGGAAACCCTTTTAGTGGGGGATGGGATTCACAAAGAAGATCACCAGCTCCAAGCCCCTGAACAGATGGTCTCTCTTCCTCATCCCTCCCTTGATCAATCTACACCCAAGCTTCTAGTGTCTGAGACATGAGTGGCGTTTGAACAAAGAGATGGGAGTAACAAGAGTCTCCACTCTTCAACGGTCTAAATGCGAGTGCATGATGGCCCAAAGAAGTCAAAAAAAAGGTTGTCATTAATACGTTGGTGATGAGAAGCGAAGCGAAGTTTCCGTTGAGCGCTCGTAATGAATCATAGCGTTGTGAGCCGTAAAGATATACCAGTCTCAGACGAAAGGTGGCAAGCTGACGAGCAGGTACTCGTTTTCGGAGACTGAAGATACTCGTGAGAGAGTTTGCTTGTCTTTGCGAGCTTACAAAGCAATGAGGCCGAGCATGGCAGCCAGGCCGAGACCGACCTGGACAGCACCGGCGCCGGCAACGACGACGGGAGTCTCGGGGACATCCGTACCCTTGGCGGGCTTGGTGGCCTCAGGAGCCTGAGGGCCGGTGGTCTTGGCGGTAACCACAGGGTGCTCGGGCTGGGCAGGGTGCTCAGGCTGCTCGGGCTTGGAGGGGTGCTCAGGCTTGGGGGGAGCAGGGTGGTAGGGCTTGCCAGGGATCCAAGTAGGGCCCGCGGGGTGAGTCTCAGTGACGGTGCAAGGGCAGTCAGTGATGGTCAGAGTGCAAGGCTCAGTGACGACGTAGTCCTTGCCTCCGAGGTGGAAGCTGGTAGGACCAGCGCAGACAGTGGTGTAGACATCGTACACACTGGTGACGGTGACGGTGCCGTTCTTGACGCCGGTAGGCTGAGGAGCAGGAGAGACAATGGCGGCCTCAACAGCGGCGAAGCCAGCAAGGGCAACGAGAGCGGCGGTGTTGAATGAGTACATCTTTAATGACTTGTTTGGTTGTTTTGGGACTTGAAAGAGTGAGTTCCGGAAGAGCGAATGCAAAGTTTGTTGGGGTGAAGGACAGTGGTCAAGCGAGTGACTTGGGCGAGGTTTGTTAACGAGTGTGGGTTGCAAAGAACGAGAAAGATGCTGAGTGCTGAAGAAGAAGAAGAGAGTGTTGATGCGGTTGACGAGGCTGCCTTATATCTGTAAGTGAAGCCTCAGAGTCAGACACTGGCCAAGAAGAATCAATGTGTTTATCTCGGCTGCCCCCCCTTTGTCTGGACCTGTCTCTCTCAGCTTGCGACAGTCTAGCCGCCACATGAAAGAATGGTAAACAGACACATCGTCATGCTGCTTCATTCCAGTGCGCAAGGGAGAGGCACAAGGAGATTAGGGCTCCGTAACTAGGGAGTTTTTGACCTTGGTTACGTGATGCAGGGAGGGCATTTTGTGTAATTGCACCTGAGTGAGATGAGTTGTTCTGAGACGTGCTATTTTGAGAGATTGTTGAGATATTTTGTTTCTGTGTAATTTTATATTTTTCTCTGGCTGTGGTTGAGTGTAAGTGGTTTTTGAGTCTTGATAGCAGGTGATATCTTGGCATCCAATGATAGACTGCATATAACAACAGAGTACACAGTTACGCAGTAGCGTGTAAGTGGTGTTCAAAACATTCATGTAAACAAACCACAAAATAAACAATTCAACTATAATCTTAATTCTAATCCAACAAATCCACATGATTCGACAAAAAAGAGAAAAAAGAAACGATGGTGCAAGAATCGGTCGATCTGGAAGCCCGTCTCTTGTCTCTCTCGAGTCTCCCTCCCTTACTTGACTCATCTGCCGTTGACCCCCACATACCTCAGACACAGCACTAACATAGACATTGTCAAAGATTACTTCAGCTCGTGATGGACAATAACAACATGAAGCCTCTCTTTGACGCAATCTATGGCTAATGAGACAATACTCGGATCAAGAGTGCCGAAATATGAACGAAGAACAAGCTTTTCTCAAGACATCACAAGAAGGAGAGAAAGGAGAGAAAAAGAGGGAAGAAAATGGAAGAGGTCATTTTTGTCTTGTAGTTTAATTAAGAATATGTAGTTCAACGTTTCTGCCCCTACTATATGCATCTTTTTCTTATTAAACTTTGGGTATCCGTAGATCGTGCATGCATGAGATTGACCGTTGTTAGACATGGCACATGCAATCGAATCGCGACATATCGCGTGCTCCTAAGATAATTTAAACGAGTGAAGCAATTCTTATCAGAAACAGACACAACATTCTTTGGTGTATCTGAATTATGGCTACACATTCCTCAAGTTCTTTAGCCGATCTCTCTATTGTGGTCTATTATACAAACTCTTCACTATCCATACCAGTTACAAGCACAAACTCATGATTCACGAGATATTCAGATCATGCTTGACTCGATTCATCTCTTGATCTTTATTCCTCCGGACAAAATCCATCGGAGAGACTGCTCAGATTTCTTTTTTTCTATGTACAATTGTCTTTCAGCGCTGGCCCGCCGTGTAATGTTTGGTAAAATGTACCCGACTCCTTCCAATGCAATGCATTACTTTCGGTTCCTCGACGTGGCCCCGTTCGTAGCATGATAAATGAGTAGAGACAAAGTGAGAGAGAGAGAGGTAGAGAAGAAATAGGACCCTCCCCTCCCAGAGGTAGAAAGAAAGAGAAGAGAAGAACACAAACAACAAAGCTAACAAGAACATAGATGCCGTGAGTTTTGGTCGTCGAAAAACAAAAACCATTCTTCGCGCTGTACAAATCAATCGATCGATCGCACACTCAAGTCCATCATATATCCATAGTCATGATTCGGAAACTCAGTCTTCGAAACCCAATGCAGCGCTTCTCGATTCAACCAAGTACTCGACATAGGTAGGTAGGCGATAGACATCACATGGCTGTAATATCACTTCTACCATATGCTCCCATGCCTCGCTTGGCGATGCCGAGACCTCATATCTCCCGACCATATATCGGCGGCCGACCCGAACGCGATCTAGTCCCGTAAAAGAAATTTTTTTCATCGAGGTCCATAATCGATGAGCAAAATAGGGACCGAAACTAGGAACCGGCCGAGTAAGATCGGAGGCATCCGAACTTAAATAAGAGACCGTTGTCGGAAAGGTAGAGCCGGGCCGGGAGGCGGAGACTTTGGCATAGCATAGTATAGCCATGACCCCATAGCGCTAGCCTTGGAACAAGGAAGCCGAGGCGACAAATAAAATACAACAAAAGGCAAAAAAATAAAATAGCTCGGAAAACCCAAATAACACCGATAATGCTTGGAAGGTATGGCTCTAGGTGGTATCGTTTTGATGGTGGCAAACGCTCGGGTAGCCAAATCTGTCAAACGTCTCTATGCAAATGACTCGTTCGTTTAAAAATGAGGCAGATGATGGATGTGAATGCTTGCTCACGTCACTGTAGGTACTGCACTCAAGCGTTGCGAGGAAGGCGTCTTTTTCTGGTCATGGCGGCTCGCTTCTGGATTAGGCTTTCATTTCCTTTCCTTTCAAGCCTAGCCAGTAGCTAGCCATTAGCCAAGTGCCAGCCCTTCCTAGTGCAGTCTGAGGTCAGATCCCTTGGAGATCATCACTTTCGGTTTGATCTGCTTTGGCTTCGCTCAGGTCCTCGGCCGACCACGTCAAACTCGTAGTTTCGCAATTGCTGCTCGTACTTGGGGCTGCGAAGGAATTTTGGTACCGAGTCCTATTTTTTCTTGTTAGCATCTGTTATCCTGCACATCATCGCTCTGATCGGCATGTCCGAGAACGGAATTGGAGGCTGGAGGGGCGGGTTTTAGTCAAAACTTACACTAGCCATCAGCTTGAACACTGCGTTTTGAGCGTCCTCAAACAGCGACGTCACCTCTTGCAGCGTGTCAATCATAGCCACATCCTGTCCAACAGCCTTGGTCATGCGAGTTGCCAGGTTGTTGCGCAGTTGGTGGTCAATGTTGAGTTCGCAAGGCGATCCTGGGGCCAGGAAAGCGTTGTAGATACCATATGCCGAGGCCATAATCTCCTTGATTCCGTCCATGGCATTAGTGTTGGGCGACTTTTGAGCTGCTCTTGTGGCAGCCTTGCAGCTACGCACAAACTCGTCAACATCTTGGTAGAAGGACAAGTTTTCTTCGCAGTGAGTATCTCGCAGTTGCTCCCGGAAGAGGAGACGTAGCGCGGGGTCGTTGAGAATCTTATCCAGTCGCTGGGTGTTGGAGTCCCTAGTGATGCCGTTTCGCTGAGATGCGGTGCCGCCTTCGCTCTCCGAAGGTCGGCCCCGAGAGGCAGCACCACTAACAAGATCCTTACCGCGTTGCGACAGCTGGTAAATGGCGTATTTGGTGGGTTGGAACAGGTTGCATCCAGGGTTTTGCGACATATAAGCACGGTCCTGGGCCACGGGCTCCATTAATTCGTACTCAACGAATAGAGTTGCCACCTCAACAGTCTCTCGCTTGTCCACGATGGTTGAGCAGTCCATGAGCCAGTCAGTGGCAGCCTTACCAGTGAAGGTGTCACGATATGTCTTCCCATTCACCTTGCGCTCGGCAGCCATCTTCACTCCAGTAAGGCCATCTCGGTAGTCATGCAGCGAGTCCGAATCGGCGGCGTTAACGGTAGTCTTGATGTTGCGGCCCTCGGAGCCAGCAAAGCGGCGGAAGATGACCTCGATTGTTCCTTGGTCGTGAAGAAGCTTATCAGTCTGTGGGTCTCGCTCCAACAGCACCAACTGGGTGGAGGCGAGGTTAGCCAATTCCGACACTTGCTTCTGTTGAATGCCGTTCCTAGCGCAGAATCTATCCAGAACAGTGATACCCTTGGGAGTTAATTGCCAAACAGAGCCCTTCATCGTGTAAACCTGCTGATATTTGCCGTCTGCCGATTCGATAAAGCGAGCCTCCAGAAATCGTTGACAGATAGAACGGGCCATGTCCTTAGCCATGGAGAAGGTTGTGGTTGTGGTGGTTGTGACGATACGAGAAGGATCCTTGGGGTCTGGCATACGGTTGGATTGAGAGAACTTTAGGGAGCCCAGGTTGTTGATGGCATCCTCGGACAGAAAAGTGTACTCAACCTTGGTCAATCGGACACGGTGGGCTGAGAGCGGCAGCAAACTGACAACAAGAGTTGAGAAGAGATCCTTGAAATCCTATTTGTGCAACTGTCAGCGGGTGTTTTTTTCTTTTTCTTTTTTTTTTTTGGAAAACAGGGTTTCAGGAATACGCAATGGCGCAGAGGCTACGCGTGTGCGCGCACGAGGTAAAACGGCGTCTTAAAGCACACCAAACAAGGTTGGGTAGGACAACACGGCGTACCTTTGTGAATGGACGGTCATCGTCCGTCATGCGCAACAAGCGCGAGGATGTCTGATGCATCTTGTTTGCTGTGGAGGACTTGATGGGGGGCGGGAGGTTCGGGTCTGTGGACGTGTAAGGCTGGGACGGCGGGTTGTTCGCCTGCAGAGTCTGGGGAGCGACCTTGCTGTCCAGATATGCACCCGAGGAAAGCGATTGGTTTGAGGAACTTCGTAGACGGTGGTACTTGTCCGGACTAGAGGGTTCCGACGAGGGCGAGGAGCTCGTGAGCAAAGAGAGTCTTGAAAGAGCACCAGAAGACTGTCGAGGTCGAATAGCTGGCTCTGAAATAGCAGCAATGGCGTTTTGTGTGCGATCAAAAGCTGAAGCGGCCAGGGCAAAGAGGCTAGTCGAAGAACGGTTGTTCAATCTCGAAACTGAGGAAGCCGTATGGCGATGATGGCTATGCTGCGGATGATAAGGGACGTAGGCCGGCTGGTTTGTATTTGAAGTTGAAGTTGAGGTTAAAGAATTACCGGAGGTAGCGGAGGTGTTAATGTGTGCTGGTGGTAGTGGAAGAGGCAGAGGTGTAGGAAGAGGCGAACGATCCGAAATAGAAGAGCGTGGTGTGTTCGTGGTTGTATCCTGGTCCTGGTCGTGGTCTAGTGCGAGTGGTGTATCAGAAGGAGAGGCAGAGTGAACCGTGGGCCTTTGGTGTTGCGACAGAGTGGCCATCTAACGGGAACGAGAAAGGTCAGAAGGAGGGGAGTTTTGCGGTGACGGCAGTGGGAAAGGTTCAAATAAGAAGGAGGATGGATGTGGATGTGCAAGTGAAAGTGGATGTGGATGTGGGATGTGGATTTTTTGGTTTGGTTTGGGTGAAGGAAAATCAGTCCAACTAAGGTCAAAGCATGGAAGCAAGACCCAGGTGTAAGTGTAAGTGCAAGTGGGACACAGACTGTGAAAGAAGAAAAGGATTGATATCCTCAGGTAGGATTAGAGCACCTAGAATAGGACAGCCTAGAGAGGGTAGGTAAGGTAGGGTGAGGGAAAGGATAGGATAGGGATAGGGATTGGCAGCCCCAGAGTAAAGAAAGAGGTAAAAAAGTTGAGAGAGTACAGGTACAGGTACTGGTACTGGTACAGGTACAGAACCCCCCAAGACCGGCCGACCCTACTAAAACTGAACTGAACTGAACTGAATTGAGGGGAGGGTGGGGTGTCAAAAGGGGTTCCTTCTAGCGAATGCACAGGCGTGACCCTAACGAAAAAGGTCCCCTCCTAGGTAGTGGGTCCCTCCCGACCTCCGTTCTCTCGTCTGTCTGAGGTCAAAAGGTGGGCGCTGAGAATAGCGGGCGAAATGGAGATGGTGATGGTCTTGGCCTTGGCTTTTCGCTCTCCACAACCTAAACTAAACAAGCAGTAGCAGAAGCAGTAGCCAGGGTCAAGGTCAGGGTCAGGGCAATCACAGGCGACTAGGCAGGTAAAGAAGCTACCAGGGCAAGGGTTGAAAATCTCCAGCAGCTAAAAAAGAATCAAAGAGCGAGCGGAGACAGACAAACAGACTGACTGCCAAACGAGAGAAGAAAAAGAAAGAAAAATGCAGACAAGGGTCTATTCGATGTGGGCTTGCTTGCTTGCTTGCTTTCATCCATCTTCAACACCGCTGTCTCTCATGCTATGCTGCAACAGCCCGTCTCGGAACGCCGGGGCCTGAGCTTGCTTGTCTCTCTCACTCACTCACTCACTCAAGTCAGTGATAACAAGTCTCCAGAGCAAAAGACCCCATGTCCTGGGGCTTCAGCGCATCTTCGCGCTGGAGTTGATGTATCGACCTGTCGCCAGCCTGACTGGTCGTCTCATTCTATGTGAGGTAGGCAGGTCGGCAGGGCCATATGTATGCATGTTCACCACGCCGTGTCTACCGTAGCGTAGCGTCTCGTAGCACAAGACACCTACGGCTTCTTTTGCAGAATTGGCGAACCAATTCCCATAAGTCGTGAAAAGAGGCTTTTGGCAACCTCTCGGCCAACAGTAGTCCCTCTTCAGTAGCGCCATTGATGCTCCCGGTACCGTACCTTTGGTACAGCAGATTGCCTGTCGGCTCCGACTGAAACATGGAGAACAGAGAAAAATAGAAACCAGATAACAACTAACGTTGTTAGTTACTGTATGTACGAATACATACCAACAAGCTGGGGAAACCCGTCAGCAGCTGTGCTGTAAGCGAACAGGGGCGTTGGCACTAAACAAAAATCCATTGATATCACCAGCCCAATGACATTGTAATCTTCATATGACAAATGAAATGAAGATTTGTGATCATGATAACATGTCATTCTGAATGACATAGGCTCACGTCAATCCGGTAGGTATTTCTTCGTCAATTTCTTCTCTTCCAGTGCCAATTCCCGTCAACACTGCAGCTGTGAAAAGAACGTAGGGTTTAAACCACCAAATCCACCTTCGTTGGCTAGACTTTCAACATACAACATACCCGCTTCCAGCAGCTTGCATGTCTGGTGTTGACGCTGGGGCCCTCATAGCTCACATGCGCTATCGTTGCATTTGGGACTACATACATGCACTAGAGCGCTGTACGTAACGCGTTAGGGCATCAGACTTGTTGAGGGTTCACAGGCTGAAACCATTCGACTCTTTGAGCTTTGCGGAATGCCTGCACCATTCGTTACTGATCTGCAAGCGGTCTGCAAAGCAAACTGCAGCACCTCCGCACCCTGCAACACCATACCATGTATGTACAGTACATTGCTTGACTGATCTGATCGGTTGGCGTGCAACAATCAGCCCGGACGGCATTGGGAGCGAGACACAACTGATTGACAGTAAAACGGCGGTTTTGAGGCGTTGTATGACGACTAAAGCCGGGATCAAATCTCCATTCTCAAGACCTTGCTCGAATCATTTCTGGAATATGTTTTCCACCGCTGTAGCGATCCGTACGGATTCCGCCGGTGGCTTGCCCGCCATGAGCGTCTCTTGTGCAACCATGAGAGGCGAGTGTCGCCTGGGTCGACGCCTCATTGCAAATCACAGCGAGTGAAAGCATTGCCTCGCCAGCGCCAGAATCCTTAGTCCATCCAAAAGCGCTTTGTCGGCGGCAATGCACAATAGCAGACGCCTAGACAGGAATGCTTACTTGGTAGATTTGCGCGAAAAGCCCGTTGCTGTTCGTCCATAGATGAGACAGGTTTGTACTGCGTACGAAGTACTCCGTACTGTACACAGATTCCTGCCGATGAGAAACCAAGCGCCGGGCTGCTGCATGCTGGCATGAACCGGCACGTCAGACCGGGACAGCCACAGGCAATGGCACAGCAGAATGGAGGCAAGCCCCGGTCAAATGTGACCTGTAAGTCAGCGAATAATTAGTAAAAAGGGGAAATGTTCGGAAACGCTGTGCTGTCCCTATCTTTGTTCATCTCATCGTTCATTCCATTTGGGCTGCTGGGTAATAATCTTCTCTCTCACATGGTGAACCAGTGAGTGGCTGCTGAGCCGCGGGCGTGTGCATGGCTGTCTCACCTCCCACAGTCAGTCAGTTCTCAGCCGGCCCCTTGAATGCGCGTGGCTCCAGGGATTCCATTCATCATGCTAGGCTGTTTTCGGCTGGCAAACTTCCCTGTAGCCATGCTCAGTGCCTCCATCCACCGCATCACGTTGCTGCCATGCGATCAAAGCGCCCAAGTTCCTGTGCATGCAACCATGCCGCGACTGGGCGTGGCTGCCCCTTACTCTGCCCCACGCGGCCTCTTTCACCAACAAAGTGCTTCCAAATTGCATCGGAGCGTGCATCCGAAGCTATGCCAGAGTTATTCCACCTCATTTGATGGGCATGCTGCAAACTCTCCAAATCTATGCGTAGATTGTGAGTCATTGGCTTATTACTACGCTGGTCTTCAGATTAGTGACAGGGTTTTGTGTCTGCCGTCGGTTTTGAGTGTGGGATGCTGATGCTTGTTCATCTTGCCAGGAACCGTCAATCACCTTGAATAGAGGTGACACTGAAACACATTTTTGAAACGACCTGGAGATGCCCGAATGGATCAAACACCAAGTTCGTCTTGACGCATGAATTTGGCCTTGTCAGCGTCCCAGAATTGATACTCCGATTACTTCCTTGATTGCTACCTCTGTCGTTGTATTTGTTGCCACTGCCATGTCATGCTCAAGCGCCGTAGCTCGACTCCCTGACTCTTATTAGAATCTGTAGTCTTGCGCCTCATAAATCCGGCATTCAGGGCTCTCGCAAATTGGCCAGATTTTGGACAAAGTGAAAAGACTGGTGGTTGCAAATCGTGGCTAACGAACGCCATAGATCGCTCTGACCTCGTTCTGGCTCTGTAGTGGATAGTGTGTGTGTCTCCGTCGGAGATTGATTATTAGAGTGTCGCTGAACCTCACTAGTCTACCACCACGCTTCCCAAGAGCTAAAGCCATCCATTGGTGAGTGTGTCAAGAAGGTTGTCAGAAGGATCACTACGGTGTGCGGTGTAGTCGTGTAGGTGCATGTAGCACTCAGCCTTGGCTGGACTGTTGCTCCAGATTACCCCAAAGCACTAATTAATGCTGGGTTCAACGGGCAGGGCAGATGTGCCAGCCCAGCCGCATCTCACATGAAGCCTGTCACTGTCAGTATACATATCTAAATTATCCATCTCGGCTTTGTGCTCACGTCACGCTCGGCTCACGTCCCAGCTTAGAAGAACGCCAATGGATTTGTCTCTGCCGAAGCGAAATTGTGATTCGCAGCACTGCGGCTTCTTTGGCTCCGAGCTCACTGCTTCTAGAAGGTTTCTGGAAACTCGTCTCCGCGGCAAGGACCAGGGTCTTTGGATCCTGACTGGCTGAGCAATTCAACTCGACTCAAAGTTCCGTCCAGGAGCCAAGCAATCTGTCGCCGATGACAAGCGTCTCGGTCGTCTTGCCGCTAGATCAGCTGATCTACTCTTGCGACGTAACCTTGAACAATATGAGAAACGTATCCGCAATCTTCAGCACTCGTAAGTCTCGTATGGATCAAGGCGAAGCTTGGAAGGGCTGAGGCTCAGGTTTCAGAAATAGACTGCCTAATGGAGAGAAAGAACGGGCGACCAACAAGGAAGCCAAAGACCCTGGTAACTTCCTGGCAGCCACTAACGTTAGTCCAGGGAAGGAGCAAAGCATTGGGAGTGACTGTCTGACTGTTCAAGACACCCATTCATTAGAAGGCTAAAAGCCGACAGGACATAATTAGAGAAGGAACACGACAACACCATCAATTCACAACCGCGGCTTCCGATTGCGCCTCTTGGGGATAAGATATCTACCTTTGTCCTTTATCTCCGTGTTAGTCTGTTTGATACATTCCTTCGCTCGGGTACATCTACCGTTTACAATGCTGACTCTTAGAATGTCACTTATTCAAGCCCAGTACAGGGGCTAGAGGGGTAATGACTAGGTACTTCTCAGTGGCACGGTTATCATTAACCGTTAACCGACCCTGTCTAGCCTCATCAATGTTGGATTGAATCGTCAAAATCTGATGGTGTTGAGGCAACCTGCACGTTGATGTCACTGCCTGATCGATCTATGCTGAATCGATAGCAACAGTCTCAAGTTTCAAAGGTATGTAGACAAGGAGTCAAGAAACTCTGCATGTCTTCCCATCTTACATATTACAGTGACTTTATATATAAGCAGACAGGATGCTGTTACGCAAGATAAGGTATGTTTCGGGGATTTCTCATCATACACACGAAACTGCACAAGTGTTGCGAAACCCTTGACGATAACAAGCAATCCCAACTGTGGGTGGGTGAGCTGGGGCAGCTGTCAGAGTGGGAATAGTCGGGTTTGATGACCAGTCAGTCTGGCAGATGAGGATGAATCCTCATGACATTCATCATCCTTACACCGCAACGTAACTGAAGATGAAGGCTGACAAAGCCAGCCAATCCGTTCCCCTATCACGAAGTCACCTGAGCCACGATCACCAAATTCAATTCATGGCTCATTTGTGAGCGCGGCGGGTATAAACTGGGGACGCAGGGTTCGAGTTCAACAGGGCACCATCCACAACTCTCATGTGTCTTGGTGTGACTGTGACTGTGACTGGTCACCTTTCCAACCATGTCGGCATTCCCACGTGGCTCCATGACTGAGCTTGTCGTGCCGTGCAAGGAATCCGCTGCACGTAAAACTGCCATACAGATACGAAGCAATGGGCCCCTCCTTCGCTTCGAAACACCGCCTCTCGAATGCGCACGGAGGACACGACGGTGCAACTCCGCTTTATTGTTTCTATTCTGTGGATATATGATCTGATGAAATAGGTATTCGCTGAGTCTCGAACAGCGGTATGGGACAACAAGGCTATCAATATCCCTGACAAAACATGACGCGTTTACGCGCGCATTTCACACGTTTGTCAGCGATCAGCGCTATCTAAGTCCAGTACCGGAGAGGAGGTAATGAAGTGGCGGTATTGACGATTTGCAGATCCCCAGTTGAAGAAGCAACAGCACAAAGAACAAAACGAAGAAAAGCAAAAAAGAGGGTGTGAGGCGTGATTTTAACAGTATTACCTGGTTGGTTCTGGCGGGGTCCGCCACGTGGGTTTAGAGGGAGCCACACGTTTGTGACAACCAAGCTGTGGAGTCGCTTAGGCATCTTTTTTCTTTCTTCACTGTAACCTACGTATCATGCTCACGTTCTAGGCCTCATATCAGCCCAACAATCCCGGAAACTTGTCACGGCAGTTCAAGCGAGGCTCTTCAACTCACTAATTGCTCCGGTACTAGTCGACGCTCAGTCAAGGCGTCACCGTTGATTTGCCTCTCTTTTTCTTCAAGGCCCTTGCTATCCGAGAGTCTGCCGACGTCAAAGCTGCTTGTGCTACCACGCGATCCACTCCAGCTCTTCAAGCTTCGGGATGACTTTTCGTTGGTTGGCCTTACCTGAGCGGATTGTTTTAATCGTTGAGAACGATTGGTTATCAGAAGATGGATAAACCGCTATGTGGAAGACGTGCATGAAAGGCTTAGACTGAGGCGGGTGGTTCGACTTGACGTTTTCAACCCAAAGTCTCGTTGCGGTTCTGCATTGAGAGCCATGGACCATAATGAAACGCCTTGCAACTCCAAATTGAGCACCGCATGACGCATCATTCTTCGGTGGTGGAAGTTTCGTCGTTGGACTTGTCCACGATACCTTAGTCAAAGTTTCACATGTACCGTACATCCCGTACTTACGGAGTCTGCGGAGCCCGGACGCCTGGGTACGAAATCGTAAACAAAGCGCCCAATCCGGTCAACAAAACATCCAGCCCTCTCGTGGAGTCACGAAACTTGTGTATCATGAGCATTGTTTCGGCAGATCCTTCTACGTACCAACAACATTCGCGAAAATCCAAAATCTGCAGGGTTCCAAATCAATCTGATTCGGTCCCCCTGTTCATGCTGCTTTTAAGTTGCCACGCGAGAGGGTACAATGTACTTTGCCATGTGCCTTGCACGAGGTAAGCGATCACGGAACAGATCCGTCTAACCATTCCTGGATGACGATATCCACAAAATCTGCAGACAATCCCGTCTTGTTCAAAGCATCAGATCAGACAACCAACAGTTTCGCTCCCGTCACTTAGACCAGAGGCTCTGACTCGATATCCTAGCTTAGCTACGGATACAGCTGCCCGATGAATGCTCTCTCATAGCAGATCAACGGTCACGTGTGACGCAAATCTGAGCTTCCAGCACAATTCATGCTCATGCCTACAGCCTTACCGTTATCCTGGTTCGCCTACAGAGACAACGGCCTTGTACGATCGCCAACTAGACGACTAGTCGGCGTACTGGCGGGAGCTCCTGTGGTACGGCACTTGGTGGTTACGAAATTGTCGGCATTGTGATAGACCCTTGATATCGGCACTGAGTACAGGGTTAGGCACGGCGAACCCCGAACTCCAGTGCAAGCGTAACTATATCATATCTATTATATGGTCCCTCCACCGGATATGAAAACGAGCAAGGTCAGGCTGCGGAGGTACGAGTTTCTAGTTGGCGAACTAATTATGACTCCTGTACAGCACGGCAGGCTAGGATACGCCCTTGTAGAGTGAGGCCTGGCCATTAGCCCTGCGGACCGCAGTACGCGGCTAGCGGGCGATCTGGTAGACAGGAGCCAACATTCGGGATTGATTTTCCAGGTCTCAATCGCATCTTGGCTTGATGATATGTGTATCTTGGTATACAAGATATGCATGTCGACAGGTATGTCGCTATAGGGCGCTAGAGGTTGTATTTCTCAGCCGCGTGATCCAACTCGTGTGAATGGCTGCTTCAAACATGCAGCAAGTGCCCCTATTTCTTGGGCTGAAATCCGTGCTCAACCTCTTTTCCAAGCGTACTATCCACCAAGTCCACCCACCGCGGGAACCCATCGTGCGATTCCACTCACTAGAAGCCGTCGGCCGCCAAGTGGGCAATGCTTGGGCGCCATTTCTCTTAAACCACGGAGCATTTCCTATTCAACATGCTGAATACTACCTTATATGCGGTGAACAAGAATGCAATGATGTGAGGTCTATTGCGGCTGTGCTCACTGAAAGAGCTTCGACTCCTGTATCGTGGCTAAGGCCTCATTACGCTACTTGTCATCATTGCCCCAAGACGCAAATAGCCAAATACGCGCCAGCATGTTCGAATTTGACTACCAGCGGGATGAAATTGCTAGGGCTTGACTCAAGTGCACCTAGTGACCACCTGATACATAGCTCTGAACACGTTTTCGCACGAGTTTATGACGATCTCCCAGTCTGACAGCCCGGGAATATCTTGGACCTAACAAAAACGACTGACTCGTGTGCTGCATCTCTTGACCTCCCCAGACTCGTCAGCAGCAAGCTCTGTGTGGGGAACAGTCTAAGGAATAAGCTGAAGATTTTTAGATCAAGATTGGTCCCCCAAGTTCAAGCTCGACATTGGATAGAAGCTCTGGACCAAGAGGTTTTGTCTTGGGGGTGTGCAGTGTCGATCGACAAGGTCAAGCCCTACTTGCCGCTAGATACTGACACAGACAAGTCGCCGTCATGTAGCTACTGGGGTCTTTGTTGCGGGCGTAGATACGGTAGTTTCTGCAACCTTTCCAGCCTGTAGGATCTGTGCAAATCGATATGTCGTGACTGGTCTCGCGATGCGTTGCTCTGCTTGGAGAGCTTTGACTCAGTGAGCTATAGAGTTGACTAGAGAAGCATGTGTGTGCAATTGATATATGACCGTCCAGTCGGATATCATGGAGGAAGTAAACTATTGAAAGGATGCAGTTTCGTGCCAGCAAGTCGATGCTGCTCCCTGGGTATCATCGTCGATAACGAGGGTAGAGTTTGGCATCGCGGAGTCGGAGACGTTGAAACGATATTTACATGCCGCTGACACTACAGTAGCCACAGGATAACGTCTGACTTCGGAATGAAAACAGTTCAACGCTTGCTGATGCTATACTAACACCCGCTGTGAAAACGAAATATCAATTGACCTGGGTTCTGAAATCCTGTATGCCACTCGCCGCACATCATACAACTAGACTAGATAAATATGTCTACAAAGCAAGAAACCGTTCTAACGCCATCGCTTTTAATCCCCTGTACCTCGCCACCCTGTAGGCATGTTCGGTACAGACGGGAATGCAAGTCTTTTCTCTCCCATTTGGACCATAGCTCCATTCTGTGAAGCAACCATCCACAGGGAGTCTCGTTTTTTTTTTTTTTTTAGCAATACTTCATGTACAATAGAAATGTGAGTCCTTCGACTATATCGATGAGGGAGCCCTGTCCTTTCTCCAACCCCTGTACCGCATGTTCTCTTCAATGGCCCTCCAGATCTGCTCCACGATCTCCTTATCACGGAAACGCGAAGCATCATGGCCCTCTCCTCGCCATCGGTCAATGCCAGTGGACAGAACGCGGTGACCCCAGTTACGGATATTATCCGGAGCTGACTCTCCTCGCCATCCGACATAGATGCCCAATGTGTGCTTGAAGAGCTCGTTGGGGTCACTCCACTTATAGTTCTTGAACTGCCAAGTCTGACCAGTGGTGAGAACTGCCACAATTCTGTTCCAATACTCAGGCTTGAACGCTTCAGGACCCTCTACGAGAATGAAACGCATTGGGCGGTTGGGGTCAATGGAGGGGATGATACGCTGCACATGAAGCATGTTGCTCAACGCACTACCTGCATCAGTAGGCACAAACTTGCCGTCCTCGAGGAACGACCGAGCGTTTGATAGGCGAAGCAAAGAAGACGCGGAGGGAGATAGGAGAATAATAGGGTCTGGTCGTCTTGTAGGAGGTTTTTGGTTGAGGGCGAGTGATGGGTTAGTAGGGATGCTGGAGCTAGACTGGTATTTCTTCTGGATGAAAGGCGCAGCAAGTTTGCGAACATGGGAGAAGTCCTAACGAGGTCAGGTAAAGCTCAAGAATTTCTCAGGTTGCAAGGACTTACCGTAGGTTTGATGCCCCTTAGAACGGTGTTGCGATCGCCCATCTTTCGTTCGCTATTGTAGATACCAGCCAGTCTCGGGTCCATAGTACCACGACCAGATCGCGACTGAGCAGTTGAAGTCACTGCGCCCATCTTCGCAGCTGCGGTCGCGCCAGCAGCCGCTGCATCTTTGTCACTAGGTAAAGGCTTGATGTACTCGCTCTCCTCGCTAGCACCCTCAAGCCAGGTAATCAGATCCAGACGCTCAATGAAACCCAAGTTTTGAACCTTCCCCGAGCCACCAGCGGCTGCCAGTTCTTCGTTGAGCTTTGTCGCAGAAGCATTGTATTCAGGGATAGCGACTTCGCGGTTCAGCCAAGCAAAGTAGATACTGCGCAGATCGACGGGCTTGTCTTGCGACACAAAGCGCGTTGGGTTGTCGATAGGAACAGCGACATCTCGATCGGGGAATCGCAAGTACGTCGCCTGTGATAGAGGAACTTCGGCCGCAGAAGCATCAGCTGATGCCGTGGGGATGAAGGGCGCGTTGGAGGAGATGGATTGGCGAAGGAGGACGAGTCCGTCGAGGTCGGCGGCGGACGCCATGATGAAGATGGACGCGCGGGAATAGGGAGCACGGCTGAAAGAAACTCTATGTGTTTGTACTGATCAAGGGATACCAATTGACGAATAGTAGAATCTAAGTGTTTCGCGATTCGAGAGTCTAGCGCGTTTGTTGCTGGTGGAGCTTTGATGAAGTGAAGATGAAAGGCTGAGGCTGAGGCTGCGCCTGGAATTTTGGCAAGCTCACTTAGCTTCACCCATGCCGCGCTGTCATTGGTCAAGCACATATATGGCCAATCAGCGATGTATAAACTCACCTTCAACTTCAACGTCAATTGACAGCAAAGTCAGCACCAATCCACGTTCTGTAGAATGATGCGACTGGACGCCCCGTGTTTTGCATTGTATGCATCCAGTAGATCATGTTCCTGGTGGTGTTGACGTTGATCCGTTATTACCGTCATACCCGGACTTGACTCGACTACTCGACTGCCCTAGGGTAAATTACTCGGGGAGTATTGCTAGCCAGAACGCTATTGAACAGCATTTCATGTGACTGTAGTATTGAATGTCACCTACTGCGTGGCAATTCGTCTATGCATGTTTGGCGTGCTTACTGTGCATGGAGATGTTTTAATTGGTAAGTTGTCATGTTTCTCTTGAGTAACTTGTAACTCTGTTTCAACTGCCGGTATAGCCACAACACCACGGAGATGCAGCTAGAGAACTTGCATGTGAGGCACGTCATAGAGCACATAAAGCAGTGTTTCGTTCTCTGGAGAGGTATGAAGAAAAGGTCCATCAGATTGACGATACCGTCTTGACTTGTCAATTCATAGCTCACCTCCACCTTCTCGTACTTAACCCCAGTCTCCTACGTCTGAGCACAAATCCTCTAAAATCCAGGGATCACAACCACTAACCATCGACGGATAACTTACTTAAAACCCCCATGTCCAACTCACTCATAAGTACATATACTTCTCATCGATCTAACCCCAACTTCTAGAAGCCGTCGCCCACCCACGATTTCTAGTCCGCATCCAGCCAAACACCAGCACTTTGGCGCCACGGCTACCCTTCACGCCCCATCCATCTCGAGTCCGCACAGCCAGAATATGACATCGAAAGTCCGTGGAAGCCTGGCACGTGCGGGCGAGCTATAACCGCAAACTGCGATCCCTTACCCGGGATATGCGTTAGCTTTCTCAACGGCGTTAAGCCAGTTCGTGCAGATCACTTACTCGCCCCGGCTGTTTGGTCTGGTGAACTTCTAGCTAGATGAGTAATACGACGACATCCCACGCAAAGGGCGTCGGGTTCCCAGATCTAGTAAGAGTCTGAGAAAAGAGGCGCTTTTTAGGACGAATTACACCACAAAGATACCACGGAGGCCGCCGCCTCATCTTATAGCGCGTGGCAAAGGCACCGCCATGAAACAGCAAAAGAGCCTTTATTCTCGGATATTGAACGGGAATAGACATATGTCCACACGTGAAAACCTTGTTGATAAAGCCACAAAGTATTGTACTTCTTGTTGTATGTACACCTAGCCGTATGCCCCTATTCGACTTCATCAAAGACCTGTCCCAAAAGATGTGTGCAGTTCCGCTTCCATTCCGCGCAATGACTCCGTCAACGCCAAATCAATCCTAACCTCCAATAGTCCTGCAGGACTCAAATACATCTATATGCCAAAGACAAGCTTCATGCGCTCATACGTGTAGAATGCGACCGCTGCCATTGGGAACACCTTGACGTATCCAATAGTGAGGCCAACAAAGAAACCAGGAATACCCCTCTCTCGGAAGATCATGCCAGCGGTTTCTCCTATCCTCAGTCGACGACCGTCACCAACGGCACCGCCAACTTGCATTCGTCGTCGAATCACTTCAAGAGGGTATGACGCCGTTTGAGAGATCAAACCGGCGATTCCACCAGCAGTAAGCTCTGCCCATGATCGTAAAGGCGCTGGCTTTCCTTTAGGGTGGTTTGCCTTCTTCGGTAGTGTCGTGTGCTTCGCAAAACGTGGCGATCGGAGGATATCACCAACAGTATCGTGAGTTAAGAAAGACATGCCCGCATATGGAAGCATGCCCATGACAGTGGGAGCGAAACCTCGGTAAAAGTTGATAAGTCCTGTTTGAGGAGCAATGGCTCCAACTGTCGCTGCTGTTGCCTCTGCTGCAGCAGTCACTGTCGCAGGAGCATTAGGTAATCGAGTTGTCGTTTTCTGAACGGGTTGTTCGTTGTAAATCTGACGACATATTGATGACAAAGAAGAGTGACCATCACGCTTAGTCTCGAAAGCAAGTCGTACTCTCATAACTTCTAAAGGATATGTGAAAAAGACGGAAGTGACACCAGCCAAACTTCCACTGAGTAGTCTTCTCATTGGTGTCTCATGATGTTTATCGGGTATAATAATGGCTCGGATTTGTTCGTATGCGAGAAATTTAATACCGGCGTAAGGAAAGATTCGTAGTAAAGTCGCTGAGTGCCCACGGTAAAGTCCAGTGATGCCTTCATATCTATGGATGTCCTTCATGGCGCTTGCGACACCAACCCATGATCCTGTATATTTTGCGAATCGTGGATTGCTGGCCTGGAAGAGGATTTTTACTCGATCCAATGGTGCAACGACAGTTTTGCCCTATTTCAAACAGTCAGAATCTTTCGCAGGACTTTCTTTTCAACGTCAATAACTTACAGCGCAGCCAGCCAAACCTCCAGCAACTCCAGATTTCCAGACATATTCCAAGCTATTCATTTGTGCCTTTGGTGCTACCGCTTCCTGGTCGGTAGGACACACAGCAGGCTCCTTTGGCGACTTGCTGAGGGTATGAGAAGAGGCATGGCTCTGAATATTTCTATTGCGCGCAACGTCGGCCATTGAGGCATGCTCCATTTGAGCAGCGTCGGCAGAGGACATGGCCCCGAGGCTCGCAGAAGCACGTGCCTGACCTTGTTGAACGGATTCGAGGCCTACGGGCGCGACATGCCGTGGCAGAGTCGAATGGGGATCAGTATTCGAAGCCAACGCGACTGAGGTAATTCGGTGGTATCTTGTCAAAAAGTTGGAGGAGTAGAAACAGGTTTTGCGGGGAGGATGAAGAAGTTCGGATATGGGGAGGACTTTGGAGATGATACCGGCATGCGGCGCGGCAGAATTTCCCCGGTCAGAGGCGGCTTGGACGTCATTAAACCGACGCTCAGTGGGCGAATACAGGCTCCCCACAAGTTTTTTACAAGTGAATGACCTAGCGAAGGTGGTCACGCACGCGGAAATGGAGATCCCCCAGAACCCTAGAAAAATAGAGGAATTGGGCCATCAGGGGTTCAAGACTTGTCACTTCAGTGGGTTAATGCGCTGATAATCCACTGAAAACTTGTCGTTTCTCAGCAGATTCACAGGGCAGGGCATAGCGAAGCTTAACGGTCCCGGTGATCAATAACCGAGCCGAGGTTTGCCGACCTTCGCCGCGAATTTATTATTTCAACCGCGGGTTAAGCAAAGCCAGTCCCAGGTGGAAGAATAGTCATCCGAGTCAGCTATGGAGGCCAACAGCCACAGAATCTCATCTGTTCTCTTTGAGAGTCCAGACAAGAGCCTCGTTGTTCTAGACATCCCCACGTCTCTAGAAGAGAGCCAGGTTCTCCCGTCTCAGATCCCCCGCCGCCGCATCGTCTCCGCAGAGCCCCCCGCAACTCCGTATCCGACCCCGGAGCCCCGGCATGGAGGAGGCGATCACTCGGCATTTGCGACTGCGTCTCCTGGCGCGCAGTTGGCTGAGCTCATGACCACTGAAACGGTCAGCAGCGCCTTACAGGACCTTGCCAGCACATACTCATATTCTGGACCTTTCCATCGGGACCGGTTTGTTCAGCCACAACAACCACCGTCAGTATCCGCTCTGCCGCCCTTGATACCAGACAAAGCCGAATTTCTGAATGGCTCTATTGAGGCTATGCGTGATTCTTTTCACATGTCAGCCCCCAAGTTTGATCTTGTCGTATTAGATCCTCCTTGGCCAAACCGATCTGCCAGGAGAAAGACAGACAAGTATGCTACTGTACCAAATCTCAAGGAGATGCGCAATCTCTTGCTACAAATTCCTCTAGCTTCTCACCTTACACCAGATGGACTCGTTGCCGTCTGGGTCACTAATAAACACAGCATCCACGACTTTTTGACTTCCTCAGCAGGGCTATTTGCTGCCTGGGGTCTCGAGGTTGTGACTGAATGGACGTGGCTCAAGGTTGCTGCGTCAGGTGAACCGCTCTACGACGTTGAGTCAACATGGAGAAAGCCATGGGAAAAGCTCATCATAGCGAAGCGCTTCGGCAGCAAGAAGCCAGATGCTCTTGAGTCCAAAGTCATCGTGGCGGTCCCTGATGTCCACTCACGAAAGCCCAATCTTCGCGGTATTTTTCAAGATGTCCTTGGCAAAGAATGCCTTGGCCTCGAGATTTTTGCTCGTAACTTGACTGCTGGGTGGTGGGCTTGGGGGGACGAACTCTTGCGCTTCCAGCAGCCCGAGCACTGGCACGACATGGAACAATGAAACAAACAATATACGAGTTTTCAGCGTCTATATTTGCGCTCATAGTCTTTAACCCGCCTTCATGCATTGCCCATCCAAGACTAGTTACAATAATGTACAGTTGTGATGCCCGCCATCCTACAGAGGTCCATCATCTGTGGCTCCTCATAGAATTGCCGCCTCTTTCATTAGCAGTGTCCTGCAGTTTCAAGTCGTAATTCGCCTTTCGTAGTCGTTTAAGCTTCGTTTGCGTCCTTCTTAACCTCTGCTTCCTCCTTGCCCAGTATCTTCTCCCATTTAGGATCCAGAATAACATCGTTGGTCCACTTCTCCTCTCCCGATAACAGCTTTTGTGCCAACTTGGCTAACTCTTGTCTCTCCTTCGACGGGAGCTGTTTGCTCTTGAGAGGAATCTCGAATCGCTGTTGCGCAATATGCTCCTGGTTTCGCTTCTCCAACATATCCTCGCGCATCTGGAACAATTGGTTGCTCCAGGGTGTTTTGTCCTCGGGAAGTTCGGGCCATTGGAAGGGCTTTGCCAATTCGACAGTCATAACCTTGAGGGGTTTGGGGCGGTACCACGAGCGCGAGTGGGAGTTGCGCTGGGTTAGAGGTTGCTGCTTGACGTATGATCGGACCTTTGTGACCTCGACATTGTATAGGTTCCAGAGGTAGTCTCGGAGATCGAACTTTGTGAATCGTAGAGGTACCTGGAAAGTGGCCTCGTTTGGTGGGAGGTGATCTTTTCGAAGAAAGGTGATTACATGGTTTGGCCTGGAGATGTCAGAATTGTTAGGTAGAGATGGATCAAAGGTACCTACAGAAAAACCTGCTTCTGGCCCAGCTTGAAGCTGGGCAATTGGCGAGCTAGAGTCTTTGCTACCTCGGCCATGGTCGTCGTTTTGCCCTTTCAAAAGTGGTCGGCGACAGTTGATTTGGGATGTGAAGAAATTCGATGACTGGCTCTGATTGGCTTCTACGGCGAAAGTGAACTTCCGAGAGGGGTGCGGGGATTGGAGATGTTATAGGTGCACACCCCGCATCCAGCAGTGTAAGAAGATAATTCTCATTTCACTTCACAAGGTCATATTCGTGACTGGAGTAAAATATTAATTATTTAGCACTAAAAGAGGCTACTTTAGCACTTCTAGTATCTTCCTAGCTGCGTATTATAGCAAATCAAGCGAAAATCATTGGCTTGGGCGGAAGTGACATCTCCCCAACTCAACTGTCTAATGGGTACTCGCAGCGCAACAATTACTCCTTCTCACCAACACAAAACAAAGCCTATTCTTTCTCTCCACAACAAAAACAAAACAACAAGACCATCGATGTTCAGAGCCGCCCTCATGCCCCATAAACACCCAAAATGCAACAACACACCAAATCAAAGCGTTCTTTGAGTCCGATGACTCGGGTCTCACCTCGTAAGAGACTCAACTATGATGCAGACGCTCGCAAGATGCCGAGTCCCACGAGCTATGATGAAGATGTTCAGCTCAGCTTCCTGAAGATCGATGAAGAAGATGATGACGAAGTTCCTTGTACTAACAGCATGGAAGAGTTGATGAAGTTGGAAAAGGAGCGATATCCTGGTGCCAGTAGCTGGGCTCCTGCTGAAGAGCGACTCTTTGAGATATTGTACATGCGACAGGATCTACCCATGCTTCCTACAACCTGGGATGTCGATCTACGAGGAGTGCCCATCTCAGATATCGTCTTCCAGACTTCGGATGATTTTCCTCCTATAATCTATGCTCACTCAAAGGACTTTCGAGGTATGTTTGTCCTAATATTATGGAGTATTTTTCTCACTCTTTATAGCAACAACCGCCCTTATTCGTCTCATGGACCTCACAGCAAAGACAAGGACGAGCATTCAGAGTGGCCTTCGGAGAAAGGTGCCGCAGCTCATCAAACGAGAACTCGACAAGTATCTGAGCTGGGCAGCACAGGACGGCGATTACCTGCATTTGCGCATTGTTCCGAATATCCTGACCGAAGTGGTAGATACGACAATGCCAGAAAATGAGATCACTGAGCACATCCAGAACCGTATGAGAGCTCTCGCAAAGCTTCAGCGCGAGTTTCTCCGAGAGGATAGAAGCCCTCACTTCTGGGATGTTATCAAACCCAGTGTATTCGCGTCCCCGAAAATCAAACTTGAGCCGGAGGATGGGCTGACATCGTTTGAGGGGTGGCTAACGCCTGCTAAGAGCCGACTTGGCTCACATCCTCGAGTTGGAAACATATTTCCAACCACCGAAACCCATGAAGTCGCTGTCAAGATCGAACCTGGACTTAAGAGCCCCGGCATCTCGGCAAGAGTACTCCCCAAGACAACGACGCTTTCGAGGAAATCATACCCTTCACAGTCCCCATCGCCCTCTCTACCCGAAGAACCTCAGACTCCTCCTCGACACACCTACCGTCGCCACCCTTCTGTGGTATACGGTCTCTTCATTCTCAACACCTCGGTTCTTGTTCTCACAGCCGATTCCTCCAAAGGATCCGATGCATATGTCAGTTTCCAGGTCCAAGTCGATTTCCAAGATGAACATCAGGGGATCTGGAATGCTCTAACCATCGCTATTGCGGTGTGCCTTGCTCGTGATGAGTTACGGACTCGTGCATCCGACTTTGAGGAGCTGCCTTGCGTGGAGGATAGTGATCCGGATGCTTGATTTGAAAGATATTTGAACGATTATTATGATTATTGTGAGGAAAGGAATACCAGAGTTCATGTTTCACTACTGTTTGTTGCTAGTGCGCTTTGAAGTTGTGTTTTATACCCCCGATTTTACAAAGGAGTGTTGACTCGGAGTTTCGTTGTTGTTATCAAGAGGTTTTCATGTACTAATTATCAAGTCCTCAGCGCCATCTTCCCTATCGGAGAATTTCTTGAGTCGTTGAACCAGTCATTAAGCACTGTGCCCTTATTGAAAAGTCATAATTGTAAAGTCAATCGAGAGCTTCTATGCTTCATGCTCTCATCTCTATTCATGTCCTGATATATCTTATCAGTCATTCCCTTCTATTCCCAACGCCCAACAATGACGGCCCTCCGCAGCCCCAAACATCTCTTTCTATCTGTACATAAATGCCCATTGCGATTCATCTCATAGAGTCCGCTTCTCTAATGCGTGAGTTATACAGGGTGAGGGGTAAAGCGGGGAGGAAACTTTTTTGCGACTGCGCGTGAATAAATGGTTTTAAAATCATAGCAAGTAAGGCAGTTAACGACAAGGTGAGAACAGGATGTATGTGTATGTGTATGTGTATGTGTGGAGATTTTTACATTTCTTCCCGTTCGACGGGCATCAGAACCTCAAGCTGTCGGAGGAGTCGCTGGTACAAGAACAGCATGCAGCCACTCTGGATGAATGTCCATACTCCTCGGGGTCCGACACCGCGGAACCATCCTGCGACACCCTCTGTGCGGTAGATGACCCGTAGGCCGGTGAAGACGGAGGAGGTTTCGAGAGCAATGGCGCCAGGTCGTGGCCGATGTGTGCTGGGAGAAGAGGTGGAAATGTGTCGAACTTGTGAGTTGGCATGATGGTCTTTGGGATGTCGGGACTCTGTTGGTGTGTTGACTTGAGTCTGAAGTCGTGTCTTGACAACGTCGAGGGGACAGGTAATAACACCGGCGAGACCACCAGCTGCGGCACCCGTAAGAAGCTCTAGGGAAACTCCGATGTCGCGGCTCTGCTTGTATTTGCGAGCCCAAGTGGTGAACTGTTCCCAGAACATGAACTGCAGTGCTGAGAAGGGCAGATCACGGTAGAGAGTGGCCTTGTAACCGTAGAACAAGGCGGAGGCGCCTTCCGCGCGCACGATGGTTCGAGCAGCGTCGACAGTACCGCGGTAGTTGTAGCCAGATTTGAAATGAGGGTTGTTGTAGCGGCCTTGAAGCTGGAGTCGTGTCTTGAGAACTTCTGAAGGTACGTAGACAATAGATGCTGCAAGATCTCCAAGGAAACCTATGAGTTTGTTAGTGTTTGTACTGCTGCTGGATCTCATTCGGGTGCCGTACCTGCTGTGAGATATGAAATATGCTGTTGCACGCCGTGATCTATCAACAATCGCTTGCTCCATTCATATGTGCCGAAGAACATGACCGTTCCTGGGAATGAACCTCCAAGCGCAGGAACCCATCCACCATAGAGACCCCGTCTTATACCCTCCTGTCTCCATATCGTGTAATAGGATTGTCCTAGCGATGTGTATTTTGAAGGAACGTGAGGGTCTCCCTGTTGTCTCGTCTTAACAGTGTCGAGTGAGTGCATGAGTAGATCGCCTGTAGATCCTCCAATACCACCTGCGATCATGGCCTGTCGTGGGGTCCCATGTTAGCGCACCTGGAAACGAATAGGTTGAAAACGCTTGGCGATGCAATAGTAGCACCCTGGTAGTCTGTAACATACATGAAGATACGGCGGTCGCCCCTCGGCCTCGACATCTTGTGCGGTCATGTTCTGGTCACTGGCCTTGCTTCTGCTGCTTTCCGAGCGACGACCCGTCCAAGCAGCATGACGATGCTCGGGGGATGGCGCAAAATCGCTCGCCGCAGTCGTCGATCCGTCGTTCGTCGTCGTCGATTGAGCGAAGACGAGGTCAGAATCTTGTTGTTGAAGATCCAAGGGCATAATCCGGGTTAAACAAGAAATCGAACTAGGATCGGAGGAAACAGTTGAGCGAGTCGGTGACGGCCCAAGGCGGAAGACTTCGGAAGCAAAAAAAGGAAGACAAGAGGATCCCCAAGAAAGAGAGAAGGGTAAATATTAAAGAGGGATCGCTCTGTCGCGATGTTTCGTCGAGGGCGAGTGGGCGGGCGTCGCAGGGTCGCAAAGAATAGATAAGAGCCGAGAGTCTGGGCAATGTCGTTTTTGAGAATTTTGATGAAGGAACCTGGTCTTGGCTTTTTACTGGGTTAACTAATCGCGAATTGCGGCTCTAGTTGACTCTGGTCAGCGGTTTCTTAGTGGCCGATCAGGGACCGCACCTGGATTTACAGCGCACTTTACCTTAGGTTGAGAGCACGCTAACTACGTCAATGGAAGAATGCCCGATGAAAGAATTTCTTGAAATGACCGAACGGGCTTTCGGTCTGTTATCTTATCTCACCTCATCATACGCCACTTCTGCCCGCGTAATCCATAGTGAGATCATATGAGTTGATTGTCTCATGAATAAAGCCTGACGTATGGCTGGCTACCTTACTGTTCAAATGGAGAATCTAGTCGTAGTTAAGGTTGAGTTGATCATAAGGTCTATGCATGTCTTCATGAGTTTTGGTACATATAATACATCTCATTTCCTACTCCATCAATGGCCTCTGATGATCCCGCCATGGAAGAGCTCCAAACTTGCGAAAGGGAAACACAATATGAGTAACCCGCCCTGTAATCAACTGCCTAGATACCGGTCCATACGTATTGCTATCCAGACTTGATCCAGGTGGTCCATCACCCTCAACCCACACGTGCCCCTGCGGAACTCTCACTGTCGGCAGAGGATGAGGCGCTTTTGTCTTGATCACATCGTTCTCTAGCGCCACTACGCGCTTGACTGCGATTGTCTCGGGATGTAGCGGGCTCCTTTTGTAACTTTCATGTTAATTCTCATCAATTGCTTATTTCCAGGCTTTGAGAAAGGTCTGCTCGTACCGTAATGTCACAACCATGCCCCTCTCTAGATTCTCTTGAGGAGACCACTTCCAGTTGAGAATCACATCTCGTCGCAATGTTGAGTCTTTATCGTCGTTGATTAACGGATACATAGATGCGCCGTCGACAAAAGTCAGTTCTGCGACGTGCAGGTTGAACATGGCGATGACTGGGATCCATGTTGCGAATCCAAAGAGTCTTAGAGCTGTTGACCTGGCCAAGCTGGGTTGGCCGTTGCCTCTCAGACGTGCCCACACTGAGCCGAGAGCCATTGCAAAGGCTCTAACTATTATTCAAAATGAGTGTTGTTGAACGATAACATTCCCGTTGCTGTAAGATTGAGCGTTGTGGTGGGACTATCACTAACTGTGAGTCCAAGTATAGAAATTCTACACCTGAGTCTAAGCTTTTATCGGCTAGTTCCGACATCCCGCCATACACGAGACACGGAGTATTAAACATGAAACTTCAGAAGCATAACTCTAAAGAAACATCATCTAAGTTATGTCCCACTGAAAACAAGCCAAAAACACACACACTAATCACAATGAAAAGACGGTATCTCAAGTAATCAAAGAACTGTTCGTTATCAACGCCGTTTCAGACGCCACTTCCTACCATCGGAAGAACTACATGAAAGTCTGGACTTTTAGTGATGCTTTGCACTCCGGGATACATGCTTCCTTTCAGCCTCCCAGACGCCCTCTATTACACCCTTTTCCGTGTCCAACAACCCGCTCGTGCGCGGGCTACTTTGGCATGGCTCTAACAGTCTTGCCGACTCATCCTGACCTGGAGACTCTTCGTCTGTCCATGACCTAGATGGTCTCAGGGATGTTTTCGTCGCTGTCGCTCATGCTCTCGTCACCGCTGACCTCGGCGTTCTCGCGCTCACGCTTCTCCATCAATGCTTGAAGCTCAGCGTCATCGCTCTCGGTGACGGCCTTGGGCTCCATCTTGACTGTCAAGTTACCACCGGCACCCTCGATGCTCTTTCGGACATCGACGATGGCCTCTCCCAAGCAAGTAATACCAACGTTCTTGTCCAAGGTCGAGCATGTAAGGACGTAGAGAGGCGGAGACACGAGCTTGACCTTGACTTGGGTGTCATCGGTGCTGTGGGCCTCGGCTGTGCGGAGAGCAGTCTTGACGGCGTCGATTCCCTCGTATCCGAAGCAAGTGACCTCGATATCGGCTCGGATCTTGGTGGGCTGGGGAGTAAGACGCTTTCCGATGTATGACTTGAGCTCCTCCTTGGCCACCTCGTTGGGGAAGGTAATATCGTTCCAGACCTCGGGGTTCCTTCTCAAGGTTAGTGCATGTGGTCCGACTTTGGAAAGAGCAACTGACGTGATGGAAAGCTTGAAAGCGTCGATGGCATGTCCGTATCGCTTGTTTAGGGGCCAAGCAATGGCCTCATAGAGGCTCTCGATATCGAGCTTGGTCTTCTCGGCGAGATGCACCATGATAGAGTGGACCATCTTGCTCTTGTTGTATCGCTCCTCGCACTTAACGATATCCTCGGGGGAGACTCGTCGCTTGGAAAGATCGATGTAACCTGCCCAAAAATCAATATCCATGCCCAAAGTTCAGCCTGACGTTGATTTGATGCTAACCCTTCTCCTTGTCGACACGGAGCACCACGACGACCTCGTTGCGACCAACCCGGATGAGCTTCTGGATACTTCGAATACGTCTTCGCGAAAGCTCGGAGAGCAGGATCATGCCGTCAATGTTGTCGTACTCTAGAAGCTTAACGTAGGCACCCATTTCGGCGATCTGAAATTGGTCAGAGGCAGTTCTTTCGGACAGATCAGGTTGCTACTGACCTGCTTGACATTGACCATGACGAAGCTATCGATCTCCGGGTACTTCTCCTCGTAAAAACGGCAATGTTGATTTTGAGCCATCTTGACGGTGTTTTTGAGGATTCAGAGGGTTCGGTCGGGTTCTGTAGAATAAGGTGGGGGTTTATCGATGTCGAGTGCCGTCGCACGAACGATCGCAAGTCGGGCTTTCAAAAAGAGCCAAAAGTCTAATTTTAATAAGCTATTCCTGCGATAGTATCGGTAGTGATTCTCGCGCGATCAAGTCGTAAATCGTCACGTCAACAGTGGATGTAGAGGGGAAGAGTCATAATTTTGACATTTTGCAAGTGCACTCGATTGATGATGGTGGGGTTGTGGCGGGGTGTGGCTCGTTCCCATGCTCATTCGTTTTCGTTCCATTGGTAGGTGGCAGTGGAGGCAGTACCTGAAAATTCGGGCATAATGCCGCCAGCTGCGCCTGAGGTGGCCCGCCCATGACTTTCGTTGCCATGATGGGAGCTCTCCACGTGACTGAACCAAAGGTAAACAACTTCATCAACACCAAGGCTGTCGACAAGAGCATACTTAGCCATGGCTCCTGGTAAGTTCTAAACTGCTGTACCTGCTATCAGGTCGCGAATGTTTGCTAATTGATTTTCAGCGACTCAATACGAACTTTCACCGCCCCCAACCGACGCGGTCTCGGCGATCGCGTTTGCGCTGTCCTCTGGAACCAAGCTCCTTGTCTCATCATGGGATAAGAAGGTGTATTGCTACGATATCGCAGGTGGAGCTGGCGAGGCGACTCTCGTCAACACATACGAACACCGGGCGCCAGTCTTGGATGTTTGCTTCGGCGCCAATGATAATGAAGCTTTTACTGCTGGCGTGGATTGGTGTGTTAACAAGTCAGTGGATGCGAATGGGTACGCCTCGAAACGTTAAGCTGACAACAATGAACAGAATCGACTTGGAGACTGGTGAGAAGACCTTGCTGAGCAAGCATGCTGCGCCGGTGCGATCTATAGCCTACAGTCCAAAGTTTTGTGAGTCGTTGAACCCCTGTGATTGACTCATACTAACAGAAACCAGCAATCTTGGTCTCCGCGTCTTGGGATTGCAGCTTGAACCTCCATAACCTCAGCGATCCTTCAAGCACTCCCATAAGGGTCTCCCTCCCCGGCAAGCCCCATGCGCTGGCTGCTAGTCCTACAAAGATCGTGGTTGCCATGGCCGGCCGTGTTATTAACATCTACGACCTGAAGACCATTGTCGACCTATTCGCAACTGGCTCATCTGACCTGCAGCCATGGCAACAACGTGAATCATCTCTGCGATATTTGACACGCGCAGTGTCCTGCATGCCCAATGATGCCGGCTACGCCACTAGCAGTATTGAAGGCCGTGTTGCAGTTGAGTGGTTTGAGGACACAGCCGAGTCCCAGGCTCGAAAGTACGCCTTCAAGTGCCACCGACAAGCAGCACCAGATGGTGATGGTGATATTGTTTATCCCGTAAATGCTCTCGCCTTCCACCCTGTTCATGGAACATTTGCTTCAGGGGGTGGCGATGGCACTGCTGCTTTGTGGGATGCAGAAGCAAAGCGACGACTTAAACAGTACCAGAAATTCCCCAACAGCGTTGCTGCGCTTGCTTTCTCAAGTGACGGGAGATATCTTGCCGTGGGTGTTTGCCCCGGTTTTGAAACTGGCCAGGAGGACTACAGCGGTGCCGGACAGACATCGGTATTGATCCGTGAGCTTGGTGAGAACGAAGCCAAGGGTAAGGGGGCCAAATAGGCGGGAACGTGTTGGACAGTCTTGTTATCCCAAAAGGCGTTCTGGTGGTTGCGGGGCTCGATTGATTTATTTTGTACTATTCTCGAACTAAAGGAAGTGGCATCAAGATACCCGTCATGGAGCAGCACCAAAATAACGTCGTGAATGGTTGCACTGTTTGTTCTTTGTTCTTTTGCTGCTGACCACCCACGTATAGGTATCTTGGGCGATTTCAGTGGTCCCAAGAGATGGGCTCCTCGGCTTCAGATCTTTGTGGTTTCCAATGATTGGTTCGTGTCCATTCTCCCGTAGTCGAATAACCATTGGTTGAGGATATCCAAGTGATACTTCCTTCACATCAAATCCATCCCGGCATTGGTATTCCAGGCTATTGGATGGTAGAGCACATGGCCACGGAGAAGGCCCAGGAAGTTTATAATCCCGAATTCGAACTCCCTTTCTGATCGTGTATTGCCCCTTCTTCTCAATCAAACGAGGGGCTCCTTGAGGAACAGGCCTCAGTTTTGTCACTACAGGCAACTCAGACGTATGTGTTGTAGTTGGTGATGGAGTATCATGCCGCTGCTGATTGTCTCGTCTCGCTTGAATTTCTTTTTGACAGTCAGTTTTCTGTTGAAGCGCAAGCGTGTCATGATTGTATTTACCTGACAACCGTCGGTTAGGGGTATATTCTGCATCTCCAATAGAATGAATCGACTCCATCCGCCTTCGTTTCGTTGGTCGGCATGTTCGAAGAGGCAGCACCTGCAGTTGACTGACACGGCTTTCAACATCGCTTGTCGGGCTATAAAATAGGGGCTGGCTTGTCTGTCGCTGACGGATAGGTGTTTCTGGGATACTCTTAAGAGTTAATATACCGATGAAGAAGATATGAGTGATACGAAGGCATACAATTCAACATTCATGAACTCATCCATGACAGATTCTGGGCTGACGACATCATCAAGCTCTTCCAAACTTGGGGAGGGTGTAGAGCTTTGACTTCAGCTTCTCTTTCGACTACTCCCAGCGACGTGATTGAATTCTGTCTCATCATCGTCCATAAGGAGCATTTGGTGCATTGTCACTAACTCGACTTGATGACCGGCAACATGGCTGTCGTCCACCTCTATAGAGGGTAAAATTGTTTGAAAAGACATATTTGAGTGATTTGGTGAATCTTTTGAGGCGAACTGTAGTTTGTGGTGGTAATGCCAAGTGCGTCCCGACTGCAGGTGTGAATCAAGGAAGGAACCACTCCGGCCTGTCCCCTATAGTTCTTTCCTGACACTCTCCGTTTGTCCAGCGCAGGCTTCACCGAACAGCTCCTACCTTCAGCAATAACGCCTTTCTTCGAGATTAAGAAATACTAAGTGTTCATCTCCCGTTCACTCCGTTACTCGATTCAAAGTTGTTTATCAGCCTTTATGCATCTGCCAGTTGTCAGCAACATAACAATATATTCTAACAGAATAGATAGTCTGGAATTTGCAAAGCGAATTTATTCTTTGTTTTTCTGTGCTGGTGATATCCCCAATAACCCCTTATTCTGAACCCGTGTGCTCGCTCTCGTCCCAATCTACCAAACAAGCAATCCCGTCTGGTTCACCATCGATAAGAAGGCATCACTGCAGCACCAATTCTTTCTTTCCAGTCCAATTCCATCCAGTCCGATCGAGACCGAGCTGGTAACCATCGCCAAAAGTTCGCTTTGAGGCGGACGCCCTATTCCCCTCGTGCAGCCGGTGAGATGGGCTACAACAAATCAGTATAGGTATTTGTATGGGGTTATGAGGAACGCGCCTTTGGTGGTTGGATATGGTCAAACGTGCCGCCCATCTGGAGCAGCCAAACGTCGGGACCTCCAATAGAGTTGCCCCCACGATACAGGAAATCGTTAGGAAAGCCCGCATCAAATTCATTAGCCCCATCGATCTCTTGAATATCCTCAGGGGAGAGATGCAGGGTGAGAGCCTGAATGTTGGCTTTGAGGTGATCCACCTTTCGACCACCGATAATAGGGAATACATAACTTGTCTTGTGCATGACATATGCCAGTGCAATGCTGGTGATGAGTGTGTTCTTACGGTTAGCGATCGACTCCAGCACTTTACTGGTTCTGATCTCTTTCTCGCTGGCCTCCACTCTGCGTCCTTCCCGCGCATTGCGCTGTTCTTCGGTCTTGAATTTTCCGCCTCCAAGAGATCCCCATGGGGCAATTCCCATGCCCTCAGCTTGGCACATGGGGATGATGTCTCGCTCGAAGTCACGCGAGGCCGCAGACCAACGGCCTTGGTAAACGGAGAATTGGCGGAGTCCATTGCAGCGAGCATATTCGTTGGCCTTGCTACGGGGTTTTCAGCAAGTTATTCGCTCGTAGAAGGCACATTGTATCTTACCTCACGATCCAAGCAGGAGTGTCGCTGACGCCCAAGTGGAGGACCTTTCCAGAGAGTACGAGTTGGTTGAGAGATTGCATCAGCTCTGGAATAGAGGTGTTGCCATCATACCAGTGAACATAGAGCTGTGGCCCTGTTAGCTTAGCATTCTGGGCTTCGCTCGGAAGAAAATACCTACAAGATCAATGTAATCGGTCTGCAGGTTCTTAAGGCTGGCCTCAACTGAAGCCCTCAGACTTTTCGTTCCGTTGCCAGTGAAGTTCACCATGATATTAGGAGCACCAGGTCCGGCTCGAAAGTTGGTGGTGTATTTGGTAGCAACAACTGAGAGAATACGTCAGTTCAGCACCCAGTGTTGAGTGAGAAAGGGTCACAAACCGATTTCATCACGGTTACCGCGTTTCCTCATCCATTCTCCCACCCATTTCTCGGTTTCCTGGAATTGGTAATTGTTTGCAGAGTCAATAAAGTTTCCGCCCTGTTCTTCCATTAGTACATCGTCGATATCTTGTATTCGATATATGGTGTTCACACCTGTTCATAGAAGAAATCCAAAATTGACTCCGACGTGGACTGGTCGCATTCTCCCATCCACTCTTTCCTACGCTACTGTTAGTAGATAGTAGGCATAATTGGATGTGTATCTCACCAAGCATTTCCAAAGTTCATGGTACCAAGGCAAATAGGGGACACCCAAACCGATGCAGTTGGTGACAAAAGTCGGTAGCGCCCCAGAGGACTTTTGGGAGGTGGTGCGAAAGGGAGAGCCATTGTTTGTTGCGGTAGGTTGCTAGTGTTCGTGATACAGAGGTGTGAAGTTGAGGTGAAAAGATGTAGTGGGAATGGATTTGTAGGGATAATGAGGATGGAGTGGGCAGTGAGTGAAAGTGGTGATGATAGTGGCAGTGGCAGTGGCGTCACTGCAGAAGAACAATCGATGGTGGCTGGATTTATGTTATCAGATATAAGAGTTGTGAGTATTTCTCCAGTTGATGGTGAAAGGTTCTCTTCTGACTTTATATATTCAGATCTATCATATGGAACTGGCAACTCCTACCAATACCATCCATACCGTTTGGGAACGGACCTTCTGGACTTAAACGGATTTGTCGGACCCGTACTTACTGAAGAACAGTGACATATTTCGCGATGCGTTCATCAGAAGATATTGAAGTTGACTCACCTTCCGCGGTACATACGAGGTGCATACGGGCATGTAGCAAGAGTTGACATCCATTCATACAACCAAAGGAACAAGACCTCGTAACCTAGCTCAAGCGAACTCACGTAAATATTCTCATTGGTTTCTCAAGATGCACTAAACCGGCGAACTACCTTAATACGTTTAGATCAAGATCAGTTCATGTAATTATTCAGCAAAAGCAGTTGTCAAGATGATCGAAACAAGCAGCTGAGAGCTGGAGTTAACGGACTTAGAACATGGGGAAGTGTTCAAGTTGCATTAGGCACACCTTTAGCATCCACTAGATATGTGGCTCGAGATCGACATGAAACGCCTTGACGTGCGAGATTGTGTAGCATCCTAAGATTCTTACATCAACGCATCATAATGTTTTGTTTAACGTGTAAGTCATTTGTGGGAAACGGCCTCAACAAGTGAAAAGAGCAATTGGAAAGTCCTGACAGCTGAGTGACTTGCCACTCAAAACGTATTGGCCTATTGGAACAATTATCGATATATCGAATAGCATCAGGAACTAAATGAAGTGATGAGGTACACTGGACTTTCATAGAATGACAATGCTACTAACAATAAGACATAAAGATGAGGAAGATGATGCTAAAACTGCCTACCCTGAAGCTGGATATCGACAAGGATGCTGACCTAAAATGGGCTGATGCTGCTGGCCATCGTAGCTCTCTCATTGGTCTGAAGTCCCGATTCCTCGGCCGGGCGGGTACGTACCTACCCTCCAATTCGATTGGATCTCACTCGGCCTAGAATCTGTGCATCACACCACGACAATTACTGCGAGCGACATACCGAGACGACGAATTGAACATCAACCTACAAACCTACGACCTCACAAAGCCGATCTGGGGCAGCATTGGTCCGGATCAAGATGAAGACCGCCTAGAATGGCCACTCCAAGCCCCGCCCCTTCAAGGGTCGCCGTCAACGCTCTCCGTGGTGTTCTCCTAACAACGTCCTGTTCAGTCATTATCCTTGCTGAAGAACGACGTCGACGCCTCAATATCGCTCGAGCTGCTCTCGACAATGCCAAGAAACTTCACACTGCGCGGGTGAACCGCAACTCGGCTGCGCTGGCTGAGAGCTACAGCAGTAGACGAGAAACCTTTCCAATTGAAATTACCCACGACTTCTCGCATGCACCCACCAACAATGCTGTGCGCCGTCGTCGAACAAGAATAGACTCGTTGGAGCATGAATTATCGCGCCCGAAGGAGATTGAGCATATAGAGTCTTTTGAGACAACATTGCCTGAGGATGGGGACTCAACAAGCACGCCTCAGAATCGCCAGAGGAGATGGGACGAGTGGGACGCAGCACGAAAGGAATTATCACGAATATCAGAAAACAGCACATCCTATCACAACGCCCTTTCCATCAGGTTATCACCAGAGATCAGCCTACCAACTACATCATTACCAAGGACACGATCACCCAACACCAGGACGACCGAGGCCAGAATGGACGCTAGCACAGGCTCAACGAAAATATTCACGACGGAGAATACCCCAACGGCAAGCGATGGACAAGTTGGCGTAACAAAATCAGAGCCAGCCGATGAAACCCTGATAGGACAAGAAGAATCGTGGTCACGGCTGGATAATCTCCTTACGGAAATGGAGACCCAAGACTTGCCACGCGAAGAGCGTGTCCAGAATGAAACGAGAGCTACCAAAATGCTTAAAAGGCTGACCTCAGCACAGAGTGAAGAGGCCCAGGAGGTTTTATCAAGAGGTATCCGGATACTTCAGTCCACAGCAGTATCTCGGGAATACGGAACTATCCCTCTCATACTCGAAGCTGTCCGTCCCGCTTGCAACGATATTTGCCTTTTGGCCGTCCCCTTCCTCGACAGTCTTTCCCGGAGCCGCGACGTTGAGGGTGTGAGGCACTTACTGCGAAGTTTATCTCGCTTTGAGCCTCAGTCGAAGGAGGCAGTGAATACCAATCGCAATGAATGGGTCACTCGGCTACTTATGCATTACTGGAGGAAGACGAAGGACTTCCTGGAGGTCAAAACGATTTATACATTACTCCAAAAAGGCGGTCTTTTTGACAATAGTGTATTTTCTTCGTCTACCCAGTATGCTGTCAGACGCAGAATTATCCTCATTGCTCTTGATGCTGGGGATGATGCGACTGCAAGTGCAGAGATGTCCCAGCTCCGCGAGATGAGACCGAAGGCCTCGGGTGTCGATGTCAAGCTTCGTGGGAGGTTTATTGTACGCGAAGCTGAATTGGGACAATGGGACAAGGTCACGGCTGGACTTGAGGCTTTCGGACCTAAAGCAAAGCCATCCGACCAGTTTCAGAATATTCTATCCTGGCTGACAAAGATCTATTGCAAGGATCACACAACCGCAGAGATGGACATTTTTGTGAGAGATCTTGTCAGCAACCACCACATGAGTTTGAACAAGCCCCTAGCTTTCTTTGTTATGGATAGGCACGGCCGAACCCGCAATCTTCAAGCTCTTGTTGCGTGGGTGCAGTTCTGCCAAGATGGTGGCTTGGCAATGGACCAGATCTTCTTCAACGAGATTGCCGACAAGTGCTGCAGATACTGGAACCTGTCGAGAGCTGACGTGATCCGCATGCTGAAGGATGCACGAACTTCTGCACCGTGGCTGAAGGACCCTTTGTTGACCAGCTACGCCAGTGCAGGTGGCCTGCATGATCTTCACAAGCCCCTGCCAGGAGAAAATGTTGACTGCTATGGAATTGCCCCGACCCTGCCTGAACGCCGAGGTGACTCAATATCTATCTATGAGCGAGCAGCTTTCAAGCACATGAATACTCTGGCGCTTGAGAACGACTGGACCGGCGTCTACAGCGCCTACAAGGAGGCAACTAAGAAGGGCCTTGGTGATTCATCACGATGCCTTCGACTTGCTGTTGTCGCCAACATTCACTTGGAAGGACCCCATTCAGGCACAGTGTCGTGTCTCATTAATGAGGCATACATAAAGAATCACGACATCAGCGGTGCTTTGGTTCCTATGCTGGTCGCTCGACTTGAGGCTGGTGACAATGTAAATGATTTACTCCGCGAGAATCTTGCCAAGGGTCAACACATTCACGACAGTGTATACAACAAAGCCGCTCGTGTTCTCACTCAAAAGGGTAACCCTGAAGCCGCGATCAAGGTCTGCGAAATGGCAGCACAGCAGAATGGTATGGGTGAGCTGGCATACAACAAGTTTAACTTTGCCAGTCTCATCCACTCCTATACTGGACAAGGGCGTTACAGAGACCTGATGTCACTTATTGCAAGCTTCATATCGAAGTCAGAATGGTGGCAGGGTAGCAAAGAGTGCAAGGAATCCGTCAAATTGGCTATGAAACATGTCGCATCAAGGGCAGCCAGGGACCACAGGCGAGAGAACACGCATAAGCAAGTACTATTACGTCTTGACGATGCTCTTGAACATATCAAGTCCTTACGGGCGACGAACAAACAAGAGCGGGAGGCCGTTACCAAGGAGGTTGTTGGAGCTTTCAAGACGGTGGAAGAGCCAGTGGCATTTGAAGGAGGCTTCTTTCCAGACACACAATCTGGGCGCCAGACGCCAAAGGATAAGCGGAATACAGACTGGGAGTTGTCTTCAAGACGAGATTCAACATCCCAAGCTTTGAACGAGTCGAGGCATAGGATCGTCGAGGATGAATTGCCTGCTCGACAGCACAATATAGATGAGATCCGAACAGCACGACACAAGCGGACGAAACGAGAGAGGACGCCTTCGCCTGAGCTTACTGAGGATGACATATATTTAGAGAAGGAAATAGCCAGAGCAATGGCTTGAGATTAGAGGTTGTATGCTTAGAAGACATATGCATTGGCATGGCGCAGACATTATGGTTACAGAAGAGGCATTTGGGTATGTAAGCTTCTTGGTCACATTAACTTTTCTTTGTGGCCTGGAAATATGAGAGCATATGATGGTATCTGTTATGGTACTATCTGTAAAAGAAACAAATACAATATTTGAAGAATCTATTTATCTTCTGAATGCTCTCTATGAGTTTCAATGTTCTGTAGTTGAACAGCCTCTCTCAGCACATGTCAATTGATATGGATGATTCTTTATTTTCGCATGTGATTCTGTTTCTCTGCTTCGAGATGAATTGATTACAGGTGGGGCTTGGGTTGATAGTGTCACATGCATCAGCGTATTCGTGTAGAGTTGACCCCGTCATCATGAGATTTGGTTAATGGAGGTCATCAACCAGAAAGTGATTGGCCACTAGCCGCTAAACAGACGCAGGAACATCAAATAAGCATCGACCCCAACCAAAGAAACCCTGAGAGTCGCATCCCGAATACGTATTTTTCTCTTCCTCTTTCGAGAACCTGAACGAAGTAATACCGGACTCGGCAGAGGAGAAATTGGTTCGAATCACGTACGATCTGAATCTCTATGAGACGACGTCTTTCACATGCGAAAAGTCCCGGAACCTGGCGGTGTCCTTTTCGCACATCGAACCATGCCCGCAAGATCTCGTCTTCGTTGGTTGGCTGCTCTTTTAGCGGTCAGGGCGTCTACGGGTCTTGGTGGCGCGATTGCTGCTAAGAAGGGAGACCACAGCGTTGCGGGGTGAAGTGTTCCAGGGGACCTTACAGTGGGTTATTCCCCTGGAACTACGATAATGACAGCCCTAGAGAGAATGCCAGGATCGCCCCATGCCAGCCAAGGGTCCATTTCTCTTGTTGGTGTTTTTTTTCGTTTCTTTGAATTTGGGCCCCCTGACATGACATTCAGTGACGGCTTATAGGCTGATTTGTTGATATCCTGGAGGATTGAATGCCACGAGAATGAGAGGAAAAGGGACCCTATAAACGGCGCATATCCGGTCAATTGCGATCAGACGAGAGGAATTGTCGCCCTTGAAAGTGTCTGTGGTGTTTAAATCGGTTCAATCGCCCAGAATTCCATCTCAATTGATCTAAAGTCCAACTTTCTTATACACTCGCCCCCAAAAGTCGAGAGCGTCATTGTCACAAGCTCTGTGGCCCCCGAAAACCGATTCATCCTTATAAGAGATAAGACTTCACTATTTGTTGGCTTACAACTGAGGATCTGCCAGAATATTGTGTCATCTCACATAAAAGCATTGATCTTGTTCTCTTTGTAAAAGCATTGCCTCTTGTTGCTGCTCTTACTCTTTGACCACTTTCCACCCCCTAATTCCCAGGGCCAATCCATCCAATTTCTCGCCGCCCCCCGATCCGCGATTAATAGGCCCCCCACTCCCCATCGAAAGTCTTGTTAGACAACTCCTCAACTACCGCGACTGAACTTCCTTTCACTTCTACAACGGCCAATAACTTCAACCATGGCTTCAGTACTCACATCAACTGAGTCGCAGACTCGCCGTCGCGAACAATACCATGAAGCCGATGTCGTCGTTGTAGGAGCTGGTGTATTCGGCTGCACTATCGCCTACGCTCTCGCAAACCAGGGCCGATCCGTTCTCCTTCTCGAGCGATGGCTATCGGAGCCCGATCGCATCGTTGGCGAACTTCTTCAGCCTGGCGGTGTCGCCTCACTACAGAAAATCGGCCTCGGCCACTGCCTCGAAGGTATCGATGCCATGCCTTGCTACGGATACACTGTCTTCTACCACGGCGAGAAGGTCCTCGTTCCTTACCCCGGTCTCGACGATAACGGCAATGTCACACATGCTTGGGGAGGTCACAGCACAGCGGATAAGAGACCGTCTGGATGCAGTTTCCATCACGGCCGCTTTATCACTAAGCTGCGAGAGTCGTGTATAAACCACAAGAACATCACTGTTGTTGAGACAGAGGTTGTCAAGACGCTGCGCGGAGAGGTGTCGGATCAGATTCTCGGTGTTGAGAGTCGCACAAAGAACAAGGAGACCGGTGTCAAGGAGAAGGATTACTACTTTGGACAGTTGACCATTATCGCTGATGGTTACGATTCCAAGTGGCGTCAGGAGGTTCTCAGGACCAAGCCCAAGGTCTGCTCAAAGTTCTACGCTCTTGAGCTCATAGACTGCGATCTTCCTGAACCTGGCCACGGCCATGTCATCATTGGCAATGCCTTCCCTATCCTTCTCTACCAGATCGGCACTCACGAGACCCGCGCTCTTATCGATGTGCCTCAAGGTATCCCCGAAGCCTCGCCTGAGAATGGCGGTGTTCGTGGATACATCCGCAACTATGTCCTTCCTGCACTCCCTACTAGCATCCGACCATCAGCTGAGAAGGCTCTTGAGGATGGCAAGATTCCCCGAAGCATGCCCAACAGCTGGCTTCCTCCTACGAAACAGCGCGCCAACGGAGCCATTCTCCTCGGTGACGCTATGAACATGCGACATCCTCTTACTGGTGGTGGTATGACTGTCGCATTCAACGATGTTGTCATCCTTGCCGAGGAGTTGCACCCCAGCAAGGTGTCTGATCTCGCTGACAACAAGGCCATCAATAATGCGCTTGACCAGCTTTACTGGAAGCGCAAGCCTTTGACCGGTATCATCAACGTCCTCGCCCAGGCTCTGTACTCCCTATTCGCAGCCAACGACCGTCAGCTCCGCGCTCTTCAATACGGTTGCTTCAACTACTTCAAGCGCGGCTCAACTGACGGCCCCGTCGCTCTCTTGGCTGGTATGCTCCAGCGCCCCTTCATCCTCGCCTACCACTTCTTCTCCGTTGCATTCCTCGCCATCTGGCTCAACGCCTGCACCGTCATTGGCTGCGGTATCTTGGGCATCTTCAAGGCTCCTCTCGCTATCATTGATGCCGTTCTCATCCTCTGGAAGGCATGTATTGTCTTCCTTCCCATCATGTACCGAGAGACATTCCAGTAAATCTGGAATTTGGAAGAAAAAAAAGAAGAGAAAAAGAGCATGATGTGTTTAAGTAGCGAGAGCTGCGGCGTTTTTGGAGCTTTGGCTTGGGACTTTTATGTCGAATTTTAAAACGAATCTAAATTTCTTTCAGAAATGGGATACATTAGAGCCGAGGGACGATCGTACATATGGCCCCTTCTTTTCATGGGTGGTTATGAGACATTTGAGCATTTCGGAGTGTTGAGCGGGAGTGGGTTTTTGTTAGATACACACACACATACGCATGCTTGATCCCCATACTACCTGTGGTCAGAAATTGGGAGATATAAGTAGATTATCATTTCAAGATTAATATTAATTGCAACTGAACTTCACTTTACTGCGTCTTGTTAGCCTAACCGTGTGTACGGCGAACCGTTTATGTTCATGTACTCGATAAATTTGTTGACTTGTGTGTTTTATTCAACTAGACATGATCATTGTGATTACTGAGCATTTACGCTCATATCCTGCCTGATCCCTTGACCTCCATCCTATGTCAATCGTCTTCGATAGACACCAAACATCCAACTCGCTCTCAGCACCGCAAGGCCAATAGCCATCTTGATACTGTCCTGAATGACGTTGAGCTTGCTGCCACCAACCTCGTGCCACTCAATGGGCACTTCAGCAACCTTGATGCCGGGACTGGTGCCAATAACACTGCCATCGTGGCCAAGAACTGGTGTCGCGGGTGCTGACTCTGCGAGCATGAGCATCTCGATGTCGAAGATCCACCCCTCAGTGTGCATGTAGGGAATGATGTGTGGGAGGGATGCTCGCGAGAAGAGCTTGAAGCCGCATTGGGTGTCGCGGATGCGCGATGTTGCAGGGGGTGTGAGGATCATGAGCACGAGATGGAAAGATCGCATGAGGAAGTTTCGTAGAGCCGAGCGCTAGTTGTGTTAGTTGATACAATTTTCATAGACGAGAAGGTTAGTTTACCTTAACAACGGCTTCGCTGCCGACGAGATGAGCTCGACTTCCAATAGCAACGCCGCGGTACGATCCATCAACAACCTCCTCGCATCCTTCAATGAGCTTACCAGCATCGGAGAAACGGGATGCGCCATCAGCATCAGCGAATAGGACGTATTCGCCCCTCACATGTCGGAAACCATGAGTAGTCGCTCCGCCCTTGCCTCTGTTGCGAGCAAGTGAGACAACTCTAAGAATGTCATGGAGGCCGTGTTCTTGGGCAAACTTGAGGACAACATCCACTGTCTTATCCTTGCTTCCATCATCGACAACTAAGATCTCATATCCGCCGAGATCCTCCTTAGGAGCGTTCCGAACATGTCTCTTAGTCGTAGGACTCGCTCCGCTAGGTCCAGCTTGTTTGGTTCGGCCAAAGTGTTCATCAAGATAAGTGACAGCCTCTTCGAGGGTCGGGATAACGCGATCTTCTTCGTTGTAGGCTGGGAAGACAACGCTCAGACGCACTTCGGCGGGTTCGATGTTTCCAGCATCGGGAGTAGGGAATGCTTCATCGGGGCGGACGTGCTGCTCGCTAGCCTGTCGCTCAGCGAGCCAGCGATCGTACCAGCAGGGGAGAGGTTGAGGCTGTGTGCGTCCTTCAGTGGGATGGCTGGTAAGGTAGGTCTTTTCGGAGGCGTAGACGGGTCGAGGCTTTGGCGCGACGAGATGGAGGATGACATAGAGCTAGGAATGGTGAGCTTGCGATTGCGCGGGGCCCTAGAGGGGTTCAGTGCAGTGCATACCCCAAGAAGTGCCAGCGCAATAAATGCGATAAATAATGACAGAAGAATGTAGACTGGCGTTGCTTCAGCCCAAGCCCATAAAGGCCTGAGAAACTCCGCGGGCGGTTCGATAGCCATGCTGGCGGAGGGGAGAGGTTGTTTGATGCGACTCGCGACTGCGGAGATGCAGCGATGAAAAGGCGAGAGTGTTTGTAGAATTAAAGCGCGCTCATTTGAGATGTCAATTAATTTGGTGCAACGTACACATGGAAAGGAAAATAAAAAAGGCGAACGCGCCCATGGGCGAAGAAAGATTTAGAGTATGAATGCGGTGCGTTGCTTGTGATTGTACAGCATGAGAAGGCCACGAAGCATGAATGAGGCGTTGCATCTAATCTATGATTACGTAGCGACAGGCTCGTGTGCCAAAGGGTGCTATAATGAAGATGGTAGGGATCGGCAGGGACCAAGTGGTGAAATGACCAGTAGGAAACTGCCGAGGCTAATATTTTTAGAACAATTGAAGACATTCATGAGAATAACCACGTTTGATCGTTTACTCAATTATAGTCATATTTCAAGAATTACATGAGACTTTAGATTATATTTTTCAACGTCAGACCATACACGACCTGAAGAAACCAACATGCGATAAGAATATACAGCCTCCCTTACTACCTCCGCTCAGGGAGTCTAAGCTTTGCGACTTAGAAGATCAATCAGACTGAGTCAACTGGAATAACCGCATTTGATTATTTAGGTAACAAACTCAATTACAACCCCTGTAGCAGTGGTCTTCATGACATTCACAAGGATCGCGATCGATGGAAAACAGAATGTGAACGTGAATCGTTGTCTTAGTTTCATTTCAGTAACGGTTGGTTCCAGCCAACGAAGAATGACCTGATGCCATTGCAGCCAAAGCCTAAAGCTAAAAAGTATGTACGTACAGTAAAGGAAGAACCCGAGAGGTTCTAGAAGAAGAGGCTAAACGCTATTATACATGAAGTAAAGGGCTTAGCTCGGTTTAGATTCCTGCTCTGAACCAAGTCTAAACAGAGTGTGGCGTACTTTTTTTTATTTTAGTATAAGATTTCTGCCAAGATGTGTCAAACTCGACGTCGGAATGCCCGAGAGGGGCCCCATATCCAATGCTTGCTTTCTCTCCCCCACAAGACGACCCCTGTAGCTTTCTTTTTTGGTCTTGTTGGGTTGCTCGCTTTCGCATTCTTTCAGAACTTTGAGTACCATGTCCTGCTCGATCTCAATGGAGAGCTTGGTGGACGGATCGGTGTAAGTTGATGGACCTTGCTGGGCCGAAGCGTGGGTGATAGCAGGGAGTCAGTCCCTTGCTGGTTTTTTTGGTTTGTAGCTTGTGATAATGTCTGAGAAATCGCCCTCCAGGGGCAGAAATCTCATCAAGTACAAGCTTAGATCATGACACCAGTCTGGAAACGCTCAGCGAGCCGATCCCGGGGGTCAGGGGATACAGTGTAGGCCAAGCCATACTGAGGACCTCGGACAACTTCCTTGCCCTTGAGAGAAATGGGATGATGGAAAGTTGGCGCAGGAGAGTACTCATAGATGTGCGCAGGCTCAAAGTGATGCACAGGAGAGTGACTTCTAGGGCTGATGTCTCCATCGTAGTCAGTCTCGCTCGGTTGATAGGTAGTGCTGCAGCTACCACTGGTGAAGGGAGACGCCGTTGATGAGCCGGGGAAGTTCATCTGGATGTGGTGATTGTCGTGCATGGCATCAGCAACCGCTTTTGCCGTTCGCTTGCGGTTCTCAGCGCGAACCTTGGAGCGGTCGTGATGACGGGCACCAGCTGGACCGACGTTGACTGAATCGCATGCTGCGTGTGTGGGAACATGGCGATATCTTGGTGTGGGTTTTGTTGCCTTGGGTTGCTCTACTTCTTTGGCCTTGGCGGTCTCCTTGTGATCGCGAGCACGCTTGATGGAACTGAGGATAGACATGGTTGTTGATGGATATATAAGTTGAAGAGATGCTGATGCGATATGATGTGAAGTATATAAGTGGATGTGTTATTATTGTATTGTATTGTATGTTGAAATGGTATGAAGAGAAAGGAGTCGTTTTCTCAACGGGCGAAGTGGTCTAGATATAACAAGAGGCTGAGGAGAGTAATCACTGAAGTAATGCGTTGGAGACTGGCGTCAAAGTTGAGCGAGCATCAGTGTCGAAAAAGAACCTGACGGCCCGCAACGGCGTTGGAATAGCCGATCTTTACTGAGTTCGAGACCCCCAAGACTTACAAGTCAAGCTGAGGGTCTTGGTCTGAAGGGCGTTAAAGCGAAGCGCCACAGACGCACCAACCCCTGCGGATCCGTGAAACAGGCCCAGCCCTTTCTCAGCCAGTGTTTGCTCATGAGGCGCTGCGTTGAAACGACTATGAGGCAATCCAGGGGCTATTGGATGGAATGGAGGAACTATCTATGCAGAGCGTTGAGCCACATGTTGCAGATCTTTTTTCCAACATGATTCAGAGCATGATTATGACTCTCGTCATGTTGAGAAAAATATTATTGTTTTTGTGAAATCTAACTTTTGACGCTGAGGGAGTTTGGCATTGCGAGGGTGGACTCAGTATGTCATCGCCCAGGCCCAGGTCTGCCCATGTCTTAGACGACATCCATGTTAGTTTCCGCCTCGCGTGTGAAGCCGTAACTTCCAGAAACCACGTGTTGATGAAGACGGACAGAATCATTGATGGAGATGTCATCAATCGTCGATTGCAATGTCACCAGTCGAAAAGTTACATATCTAGAATCGACGATTGAGATGTCACCACTCGAGGTTTAATATGTGACCACGCCCACAAGAAATGTCACCAACCGTTCGATTGACAGCTTCTACAACCATCGAACTGCTCATCGAGGTACAACTATCCCTGTCCCTGTCTCTAGCCCTATCCCTGTATGTACTATCGGCAGCCATACGCCATCCGTGTATCTTTGCGGTACCGTGTTCTCGGTCTCGCCCCTTCGGTATAACCAATACGTGAAGAATATTCTGAGAAGCTGTTTGTTAGCTCAGCCAGCCTTTTCGAAGCAAACACTCTGAGTGGTTCGTTGCCGAGTCTTCCAGACCGTGTGTTTAAAACGCCACCAAGGCTGGGGTGTAGCCAGAGCCTGGCGGCGCAGAGACAGCTGAGTAAACCGTGTCAGATCATTCACTTTTACCTGCCAAGACCAAGAATCTAACGCTCCTCGGCGTTTCTGTCACTGCCGATGCCGGGGGCAGTTGTTCAGCGTAAGAGCTGTGGAGAATACTGAGATGATGGCTTCGCTCACTCGGTGATCCGAAGAAGCCGCTGACCCAAAAGCTGATGGAGCCTTTAGGGCCCGATCCAGCGACAGAGCTTACATCAGTTTCTATTTCTGCGTCTGTGGAGGTAAGGATTTATCCGTTGCTGCACTATCGTAGTCATTTCTTTGCCATACGAGGTGCTTTCGTGTTAAAAGACCGCTTACACGTCATGTCGAAACAGTTTTCCCATCTCAAACGCCTCATCTGCGTCAATTGCACAAAAAAACAGTTCAAAATAGACCCTCCAACGGTCTTGTGCCTCTTTCCTTCAGATTATTGACCAAAATAGGTCGACATGGCTTCTCTACAGCCTAGATCTGCACAGAATCCATATCGTGGCGTCAGTCATCGCACCCGAAGTGTTTCGGCCTCATTGATTGTCCGAACTTACCGGCATCTCGGATCGATTCTGTGGCTTTTGAGCCCCTGGCTAAAACACGTAGACGCCTCTTTCGCCTCACTGTTGACTCGCAATTGCGTACTGCAGCTTGGCGTATCATCATTGTGCTTTTATCGTGAAGCAGTAGTCGCAAAAAGGTTCCATTGTCGTGCATAAGCCCAGAGGGAACGTGCTGTGTGTCTGCAGGTTTGACAGTCCGGGACCCCCTGTCCTTGGCTGTCAGAGCAGATCTGCACCAGGGATGTACCCCAGGCCAAGCCACCACGCGACCAAAGAGACTCTTGAACGAATTCTTCTTGGTTGATCTTTTGATTTAGGAGCTTAAGCTCCGTAGCATTAAGAAGATAACGGTAAGCATCGGATCAAAGTGGTACTGTAAATGGGTCAACTCATAAGAAAAGGCACAAAAGATCAATAGAGACAAGATGGACCATGATGATCCCCCACTATTTGTCAGTTTCCAAGAACTCACCCAAACTCGATTAGGCTGTCGTCTCACGCTAGAAGCTTTAGAAGCCAGACCAGACTTCCTAGAAGAGCTTAGTACTTCATCAGCCTTCTGGCGTTGCAATGCCCTGCCAAGGTCAGATCAGATCTAACCTGCCCCATTTCCATTCCACGCTGCATGAGGATGTGGTTAGATCCAGGAAAACCAACAAGGCTTGGCTTGTTTCGCTATCACGAACCCCCCTGGCGGTGAAGCCGACTCGACTGAGAAAACTGCTTGAGTTGTTTCGTTGATGACTCAGGAACTTGCATCTTGGCTTACATCAAAGCTCTTCTTGTTCAACGTGAACGCCTTTTCTTTGATGCACCATTGTGGAAAACCGCCAAGAGATGAAAGAATGTTGGTTGACAATACATTATACCGTAGTGTATCTTGTTAATAGAATAAGCCTCTCTCCTGTATAGACCTTCTCTCCCCAGGCAAGCCTCGTTCTCTTGGCCTTCGCTGCTTTCGCGCTCGCTTTCCTTCCCCTCATTATATCGCAACACCTTCAGCTCTCCAGGCTCAATAGTCTACAACTTTTACTTTCCTCAGTGATCTTGGCGAGGTGTCGACCGTTACGGGAAAGGATGATTCTGAATTAGGTCGTTATGGTCATGAGGCGACCGTTACTGCTGCCTCGTGGATAAATGCTGATGCCTCTTTGGGCAGAGGAAGAGAACCAACACAGCTGACCACGATGTCCACGTTGCTCAACAGTCTCTTTTTCCTATATTAGGAACACTAAGAGACTCGATTGGGTTACTATTGAACACTAAACTGTAATCTATTAACGTCTGGAGGCTCTCAAGAGCTACCAGGTAGCTCGATGGCGCAGTGAGAAGGCTATCATGCGGTCGCATTTGTATCCGGTGCTCGTGCTCGATGCCGATAAAGCACGGTGCCGTGGCTTTGGCCCTCAACTAATAGTTCTCCTGATAAAGACACACAAGTAGATAAGGGCGCCTGGCGTCTCAGTGACATGCGATAAGAATGTTGGGCATGTCACGCCGTCGATGGTGAGCTCTTTCGATTGAGTTCTGTGGCTTCTTAGCTGTCATCAACCTCAACATCGACAAGATCATGATCCCGTATTTGCGTGGCATTTCTCTCTTTGTGTGCTGGCGCTGATATATCTGTCTCATTCCTCCCTTTATTTACTATCACACATTGAGCTTGAAGCTATTTTATGCTCCCTGAACTCACGATGCGGGGAAATAAACCTTGCCCAGGGAAATATTGACAGCTTAAACCACTTAAACCGACTCGGCCCTACACGTTCCTGCAGTAGGAGTAGCGTCATGATTTAACTCAAAAGTTGAGTTTAATTGTCCCTGTCGATCACTTTTCGCATAAATATCGATTAAAGTTAGGAGACGGGAGAATTATGTAAAGTAAGTGGAAGAATAATGGATTGACCTCTACTTATAATTGATTGACAGATGGAAGAAACATGTGATCTGATGCAAGTTCCCATGCCTGATACAAGCACGCAAAGGTTGTAACTGCTTGTCCAGTTTGATTGAAGGATCCAGGCATATCCGGCCAAGCTCCATATTCTCCCGGTAACGTGCATTTACAATAGCTGCTTTCACGTGAGTCTCACGTGAATCCCACTCAACACAAACAAACAAACAATCGAGATTGTCAACATATGACGATGGGCCAGTGCATGATGACACTTGCAAACAATACAGACTACCTTATCTGCATAAGGGCCGAACTTGAGAGCCATTGTCCTGGTAATAAACGAAGCCTTGCCTTACTGCCTAGCAATTGTTGCCACTCAATTCGTATTTCTTGTTGTTGATATTTTCTCGAAAAGTTATATTTAGTTCGTGGTTGCATCATTGCCTCCATTGCGACACTCTTCAATGTCTTGACAGGTTCAGGGGTCTTTTTGTCTCTTGTCGCGCAATTGATAAGAAACTGGAGAAACAAGCTTTGATTGGACGAGAACCACTTGTTTCCTTTTTTTTCACTTCTCCAGACCCGCGTCATTTTTTCAAAGTGGCAACACCAGATACCGCACCTGATTGGACGATAGGCTCCTTTTCCACCAGCCTCACTGTGGCTGAGACGACATTGGTAAGGCAGGGCCCCCTCCCCTCGCCCCCCGAAGAGGATCCCAAGGCCTAAACCCAACACCATCTGGCAGCCTGGTCACGCGCATTGCCCACCTCAATCCGCATTTCTCGACAGCCTCAAACGGTCCCTCGATATATATCGGTCCCTTATCGTTAAAACCGACCCAAAATCAATTTCTTGGCCCCGGATTCCGCCTGCCGCATACCGAGTTCACGGCTCTGTACGGCTGCCTGTCTGTCGCTGAAGTCGCTTTCCGCTTCCGCTTGTCGCGCCTTCCTTTTCCCGCGGTCGTCGCTCCCTCCTTCCCGCCGATTGCTTCCGTGGCGTGTCGCCAACCTACAGTAGTTGTCCAACGCACACCGACCCGCCCGATTTTCGCCCGCGCCCCATCTCGATAGATTCCTATTGCATGGCGCATTGAAGCACCGTCGCTCGCTTTTTATTGCATCATTTCTTTTTTGATAGCGGCGCCGGCTGCGCATCTCGCATAATCAGGATATCCTGACGTTCCACTGTCGCGCACCATCTGCGCGCACCGTAAGGAATCGTGGCGGCGCTTACGATTCTGAGTCCCAACGAACCATCGGAGCTGTCCTTGCAACAGCATCTCGAACTTGCCCCGGATTTGGTTGCGTATACGAACCTCACTGTCGAGGGAGAGCCCGAGTCTTTGATGATGGCACAGCCCGTGCCTCATCAGCCCACCGATAAGAAGCGCGTCAAGGTCTACGAACTCCGCAACAATGACTGGTTCGATCGAGGCACCGGCTTCTGCAGCGCGAGCTTTGAGACTGTATGTTGTTGATATCCTTCCAATTCTGCATTTTGTATGCACTTTTGCGCCCGGGATTAGTTGCTGACTGTAGCGCCTGCAGCTTGAGGATGGTCGCAAAGAACCGCGCGTCATCGTTGAATCAGAGGATCATCCCGACCGTCTTCTGCTAGAAACAAAAATTCAAAAAGAAGATGGATTCCAGAAACAGCAAGGCACGTCACCATGTCCGAGATGCGCATTAAAGACGTCATGTGTCTAACCTGACTCACAGATACACTGATTGTGTGGCAGGAACCTAGTAGTGGAGTTGACATGGCACTCAGTTTTCAAGAAGCTGAGGGATGCGCCATGATATGGTTCGTACTGTTAATCAGCAACATATAACTTGTGTACTGACATCCAATAGGCGTTTTGTGAGCAATGTTCAACAGACATTTCACAACCATCTGCCAGGAGCCGGTATGCAAGACCACTCATCACCTAGGGACTACGATACTGATAACCAATGCCTAGATGACGGCCTTTCTGACGATCTCCCTATCGACGCTCCGCCGGCTATCAACTTGCCCACAGCCGAACTTGGAAATCTCGGAGATATCGAACAGACTATGCGGATGATGAGCACAACAGCAAACGGACGTGATGCTCTCGCCAAGGCAATTATGGCTGAGGACTTCATCGGCAAAATTGTCCCCCTGGTCGAGATGGCTGAGGACCTCGAGAGTCTTCAAGACCTGCACCGGCTTTGCAACATCATGAAAACAGTCATTCTTCTCAACGACACCTCGATTATAGAGCATGCGGTGTCGGACGAATGTGTTTTAGGTGTTGTTGGTGCTCTGGAATACGACCCTGACTTTCCTAGTCACAAGGCTAATCATCGACACTGGCTGGGCAATCAAGGTCGATATAAAGAAGTTGTCCCTATCGAGGAGGAGCAAATCCGCAGGAAGATTCACCAAACATACCGTCTACAGTACCTAAAGGATGTTGTTCTGGCTAGAATACTCGACGATCCTACCTTTTCGGTTCTCAATTCTCTTATCTTTTTTAACCAAGTCGACATTGTTCAACACCTGCAAGCGAACGCCGCTTTTCTTAATGAGTTGTTTGGCATCTTCAGACCCACGAACAGCGATCAGAAGAGAAAGAAGGAAGCGGTGCTCTTCATCCAGCAATGTTGTGCTATTGCCAAGAATATCCAACCACCGGCGCGTCAGACGTTATACAACAACTTCATCGCTCACGGACTCCTTTCTGTCATCCACTTCGGGCTCAGACATCATGACGTGGGAGTTAGAGTTGGGGCAACTGATATCCTGATCTCTATCATCGATCACGATCCCCAAATGATTCGTCAGACTTTGTACCGTCAACTGCACGAGAACCAGACTCTCCTCACCGACTCTTTGATTGATCTTCTGCTGGTGGAAGTTGATCTTGGTGTCAAGTCTCAAATCTCAGAAGCACTCAGGGTCTTATTAGACCCTGGTCCTCAACAAATGCAAAATAACGAGGCCCTTGCGAAGGCTAATGGCGAGTTTATGGGAAGACAGAGACCTCAAGTCGCCCTTGACCCTCAGCAAGAGACTTTCCTCAACAAATTCTACGACAAGTCGGCTCCAAGGCTATTCAAGCCCCTCATGGACCTGGAGAAGCGAACGGACATGAACTTTACTGTGCAGCAGGCATCGATGTTTACGTATCTTATTGAGATCCAAACATTCTTTATTCGCTGTCACTATTTACGCGTCAAGTTACATGTCATGTCTCACGATATCGTTAAGCGCATTGCTCAGCTTCTCACATGCCCTGAGAAATTTTTGAGATTAGGTACGAAATACTGACCCGATATGTTTGACTTTGCTAACTTTCCATAGTTGCTATTCGTTTCTTCCGGTCATTGATCGGAATGCAAGATGAGTTTTACATCAAGCATCTCATGGAGAAGCAGGTCTTGGGACCAATTCTTGAAGTTCTTATCGAGACCGTGCCCCGAGACAACCTCTTGGGCTCAGCATCACTGGAATTTTTCGAGTTCATCAAGAAAGAGAACATCAAAGATCTGATCAAACATCTCGTGGTCAACTATAGAGAACAGCTTAGAGCATTGAGCTACATGTCGACATTTCGGGAGATCCTTCTCAGATATGACCAAACTCAGGGTTACACGTCTAACGTCGACTATTTCCTGGAAGCCGAAGACGAGATGGGTAGGAGACCTCTAGCGAACACAAGGATGGCCGAGCAAATCACTGTTGAACAAGAGCAAGAGGAATACTGGGCAACATCTGATCCTGAAGATGATGATGACCAGTCAAGTAAAGAGGGAGAAAGGACACCATCCACGAATGGATCAATCACCTCGAAGCTACTAGTCGACTACGCATCCGATGAAGAGACTGACGAAAATGCCGACCCTGAAGCAACACCAGAAGCGGACAGCCAACACAGCGACGTCGCATCGGACGCTGTGCACTCGCCTATTGATTCGAGCCTTGGAGGAGGTATCCCACCACCTGAGCGACTTTCAGAGAAGCGTCGACGCGAAGAGGAGGAAGACGAGGATGAGATGAGCAAAATGATGCAAAATAAGAGACGCAGCAGCAGCGGTTCTGTCACAGCGATCTCAGGCAACTCTCGCGGCCCACAAAGACGCAAAAGCTTCAACGTCAACTCTCCCACTGGAGGCAAGAAGATCGCCATCAGTCTCTCTAGCGGCTTAAAAACAGGCAGCGGCCCAGGTTCCAACGAGGAGTCATAAATTCTCCTAACTTCTTTCGGCGATGGCGTACCGGTTATTGGTCTGTTTTTGGTTTATCATGAAAGGGGGTTGCAGACTTGAGGCCTCACTCCCGCACAAGTACATTTAGCAAGTATGGCTTGCTGGTTAACGGAACGGTCAGGTGGTGAGAACCGGCGTTGATGTTTGAAATATCTTTGTGGCATCCGTCACTATATTCTTAGTATCACATGCTTTGCTGCACTTAGGCACCCTTTGACTAGGCGTGTCCGGGTGTTTGCATTGCTTGGTCTGGTCTAATGGGGCTTTATCTGGACCGAGATTCTGCCCCCTTATTTGGGCGATAGAGTCGTCGAGAAGCGACGGCACAGCACGTGGAATGATGTGTGGAGGAAATCAGGGCTTGCAAGTTGAGATTGGCAGGATTGTAAAAAGGGGGAGATTTTGGAAGCGGTCTGCTAGCTGAGCAGTAACCGTAGTGCATAGGGGTGGTTTATTGAGTTGTCGAGCTGTATCATAAACTTTATGACTTCAATGGCCCTTGTGAGACGAGCAAGGAGCTGAGTCGGGTTCAGGGACGATAGTTGGTGCTGATCCCAGGCCATTCGTAACGAAGAAATGAAAAAGACCCGTCTAGATAAAGAACAAATATTCGTCATATTTGCCCAGTTCTTATCACTGGATCTAAGCTTCCATGGTAATATCCATATCTAAACTTTTATGAACTTTTATTGTATCATCTAAAGCAGCATAAGTTTAGTCTACCCTTAAGTTGATCTTTATAAATTTCATCTAAACTCTACACCTTTTTGAACTGCCTTGACCACTTTTCATACCCATCAATCATCTGCTTTGTGATATTCCGTGGTGTTTTCTCAAGAACAGCTGTTAAATCGGCCATGGTCATTTCGAGCTTGTTGGCCGTTCTATCATCGTCATAACGCTCCTGAACAAGCATGCAGGTCTGATCGCATATAGACTTGATCTCGGCTCCGGAATAGCCCTCAGCGAGTCGAGAAAGATCTGCGATATCGACATCTGATGCAAGTGGTAGGCCGCGGAGATGCACATTGAAAATAGCCTCTCGTGCGGCTCCGTCAGGAGGGCCAACGTACAGGACTTGATCGAATCGGCCCGGCCGCATTAATGCTGGGTCCATGGCCTCAGGTCGATTGGTAGCTGCGAGGATAAGTACCCCTGAGAGAGCCTCGAAACCGTCCATTTCAGTGAGAAGGGTTGTGAGCATATTGACAGAGCCAGTGCTACGGGTAGCGGAGCCACTGCCTGAACGCTGCCCACCGATAGAGTCGATCTCGTCGAAGAAGATGATAGACGGAGAAGCATTGCGAGCACGTTCAAAAAGAGTACGCACAGCCCGCTCAGACTCGCCGACGTACATATTAAGAAGCTCGGCACCCTTGACGGCAAAGAAGTTGAAGCCTGACTCTGTTGCGGCTGCTTGAGCTGAGAGAGTTTTCGAGCAACCAGGAGGCCCGTAGAGCAAAAGGCCTTTGGGAGGGGGCCGAAGAGAGTGTTCTGGGTTCTAATACATAGTTAATACCTTTATGAAATGACTGATATAATTATCGCATCGCACCTTTGTATACTTGATCATTCGGTTGAGTGCCTTTTTTAGTATATCTTGACCACCAACATCCTGCCAATGAATTGTAGGAGGGTTGAGATTGATGTCGCGCATAGCCGTGGGACGAACTGCCTTTCTCGCCCGTTCTAGATCAGACTTTTCCAAGAAACCCTCCTCGCCGGGATCGGCACCTGCCTTGAGCAGCTGGGTTTTGCGGCCACGGACAGCGGTTTGGATCAAGATGCTGAGATCCTTGGGGCTGTATGCATGTGTCATTTGTGCCAATTCCAAGAGAAGTGCTTGTTTGTCGCCTTTGATCGGTGGCTCAAGGTACTCAAGTATCTCTTGACGCTCATGGGTTCTGGGAATAGGTAGAGGGGTGTGTTCAAGAAAGCGAGTGGACGATCGCAATTCTTCGGGGATATCAGTATAGAAATCGGAGCAGGTCGCGATCACCACGACTTGAGTGTAGGCGTTTTTCGATTGTGAGATTTCGGCCAAAGCATCCAGTTCTTCGCCTATTGTTTCGATGACGGTATCACGATTTGAGCGATCCTTGCTGATTAGAGACTCAAAATTATCCATCAAAATGATGCTCGGCTGCTGACTCTGTGCAAGCTTGAAGGTTTCCCTGATACTCGCGATCTTGTCCGAGGGCTTGATCCAATGCACTCTGCCCCATTTCGTTGCCGCGATGCGTTTTAAAATGAAAGTCTTGCCAGTGCCGGAGCCGCCGTGGATAACAAAAGCAGCCGACATCTTATCTCCTTTGACATTGCATGGCTGAGTGATGAGGAGCAGGAATTCATTCAATGTGTTGATCTGCTTTGACATTCCAGGTACACCAGTCACAACCAAATCGCCACGGTCTTGGGCGTTTGAGTCAGTGATTGTTGAATCGGCATCAGTGATGATTATGGTCGTTGATTTATGGCTGAACTTTGCAACGCTATTGGTCTGCGAGTTTACGGAAACGACCTCGAAGTTTCGGCGTGCCTTGCAAGTGTGTATTGCTTCCACAACCATTCCAGGGAAGATAAGATCAGCACGATCTTTGGAAATGGGAGTTAGCATACTGGATAACGAATTGTATAACAAGGGTTAAGCTTACCAAAGGCAGATGCAAGCGAATTCTCCCAAGAGAAAGGATACTTTGCGTCTGTGTCTAATCTCTCCATCCTGTCGAACTCGGCGGCTGCCTTGTCTGTTCTTTCAGTGACATCCTGTACAACCACTTCTTCTGCCTCTGGTGTTGTGCCTGCAATTGTGATCCTAACAGCATCACCGATTCTGAAACCTGTAGCTTCTTGGAATGCCCTCGTCATCATAACGACATTTGGGCTGAGGTTCTTCTCTGGGAGGATCCATAGCGAGGCCTCTCGCTGCAGTTCTTCTTGGGGAACATCTTCCTTGTTGGCGGCAGATTCTAACCGTGTGACAACGCAGTGTTTTCCGTTTTCTAGATTTCCATTCAAGGACAGAAGAGTATCTTTGCTGACATAGATACGAGCGGCACCCAGAAGACTCGACTTTTCGAGGCTTGTATTGGCCAAAGGCCTAACCTTTGCGTCGACACTTTTCGCAAGCATGACAAAGGAAAATAGAAGAAAAGTCCGATGTGATGTGATGAGATTAAAATGGAAACGATAAGAAAAGTAACCGCCTTAAAAGTACTGCCTCTGAATGTGGTTGATGAAGGAAGGACGTTACTTGGGCTGCTACTGCTGTGTTAGTGCGCAAGAAAATACTCTCCACTCACAAATCTGCAAGTGCGACTGAAGGCTCTTTCCAACCTAAGTTGAAGGGCCCAATTTATAGAGCAGGAGCAGATATACTGGCCTGTCTCCACTCTTAACGACATATATCAATGTGACACATTAAAAACCATCTCTTTCTTAGTTATACTTTAGGCATCATTCAGGGTCCTCGAATCAGATTGCTATCAGTTCTGCTTGATAAGTCACCGTATTGACCTGCCCAGCATCCACAGCCTTATATACACAGCAAAGCGGGGTGGAAAGTATCATCGTAACTCTCCAGACAGAAAACAAATGCTCACTTGGCCCCCTGAGTCACAAATCTGCAAGCCATGGATAACATAATTTTCTTCTATTTTCGTCAGTGTATTTCACGTCAATCAGTGAGTGATTGAGAAACTCATGTGGCGCCTTGGCGCGGAGACACAGCGGCCAGTGTAGGTGTAAGTGATTTGAGGTGAATCTACGTCAAAGAATTGACCAAAAATGGAAGAAAGAGTATTGTTGGTAATGTTTGTAATTCTATACCGTCTTTGAAGATATCATCTTTTCTCCACTCATACCTCTCTAAGCCTTTAAGCTTAGGAATATCATCATCATGAGTCTGGCTCAAACATACTTTATTCTCAGTGTCCCTCTCATGAGAAAGAACCCCGCTAAGCCAAATCGGATCGGAACTCGGCCGAGTCCCGCATAACAACCTTCACTCAATTGCTACTCTGCTCCAAGATGCTCTCAAACTTCCCCTTCCACCAACCTCAAATCCCATGTTTCCTCACAATCCACCGCCCGGATGATCCGCCAAAAATGGCTTCCCAATGCCAGGGCCCTCTTCGCCGCCCAGAAAAGATGTCTTTCTTCGCCAAGCGCCAGATTCCCCAACTTCGCCGAAAACGATGAAAGCTGGGGAACTCTGCAGGAGAAGCTCAACTCTTCTCTGCCCAATGCTGGTGCGAATTCGAAGCCAGTGCCTGGCACTTCGCTGAAGGGTGCAATGGCTCAGGACCATGGTTCCCGATACATGCTTGTCATGGAGGGTCTGCCAACGTCGCTTCGCGCTGCTGACTTCCATCGTCTTGCGCCAGGTACCCTCTCTGGCTGGGAAAACTTCATCACTAATGGTACTTCAAACCCTCCACACATTCATTGACTATTGAGCTCACACAAATACCAGTCCATCAAGAACGCGATCCCTGGACTATGGAACCCCTTGGCACATACTACATAACCTTCCCCTCCAGCGGCGCCGCCTACATCTACCGCGACAGAGTCGAACGTCTCCTCCGCCTCGCCCAAGCAAAGATGAAAGACAAGACAGGCCTCTGGGTCACCAAAGTGAACCCCGTTCTCATCAACAAAAAAACCAACCCCGCAGTTGAGGTCGAGCGCTTCACACTCCTCCCGGGTTCATACCCATCCAAGCTTGAGATCAAGAGCAAACGGGTCAGAAAGATGGCATGGCAGAAAGTCATGGACCGAATCGTTGAAAAATCGTCCATAAAAAGGAATCCTAGCCATGTGCTACTTGAGCTACCGCAGGCGAGTTTCTCGGCGTCGGAGCTCAAGGCGATCATAAAGCAGGATGGTACAGAAAGTGGGCACAATTGGCAAATAGATGTGTTCAGCCTGAGGGAGACTATGAACTTTGATAGGGGGGTTACCACAGACACCCTTCGAGTACCTCTGACTCGAGGCAGTCCTGAGTTTCGACGCAAGCTCGATTCACGGTTTGTCCTTACCTGCGCGACTCCTGAAGTGGCATGGCGATTCATTCGTAGTTGGAATCAGCGCATCCTTGAATATGACGGAGGAGATGAGGTTATCCAGCGTAACCGTGTAAAAGCATCGTATATTGAGACTTAGCGACTGTATTATATCATAACGAATAGATTTAAAGAGTCAAAGACGCTCGCTCCACAGCCCATCGAATCTCTGATCTTTTTGAAAATAAGACATCAACACTTTCACAAAGGAGTCTTCTTTGGCTCTTCTTGACCCGACATTCAATCGCAAGCAAAGAAATCAAAGACTTCAACAACGACCACTCATGCACATAACGAAAGCAATGTATATTAGACCCAGATCAAAAACCGAAACTCCAGACCGGACGTGCTCTCTAAGATGGGGTGGAAGGTCGATCGGGGGAACAACAAGACATGACCAAAACCTCTCGCAATGTCGTCACTCATCCTTTTGAACGTGACTGAGATTTGCCGCCCAGCTCAAACTAACAGCCATCCATTCCTCTCTTTCGGCTCCTTTCCTTCTTTCCTTCTTTCCTTCGTTTCCTTTCATCCATCTCTCATGCCCGAAGACAAGAGCACAGGTTCTCTTCCCATTCTCCCAATGGTGAACTCTCCAACTCTCTCATCTCACGCTGACCCGTACACAGCGTGTTCACCTCCCTCGAGTTTACAAAGTAATAAGCTTAAAAAATAAAAAAATAAAAACGACGGCAAACGGAGAATGACAGATAAACGAACTCCTTAGGGTATTCGGTTTAGCAGCACTTGCTGCCGCCGCCTTCGCTCTTATCGCCGACGTTGACACCGCTCGCTGAGGGTTGGTCGTTCTTGGAGTTGTCGATAAGTCGCTTCTTGATGTCTGCGGCTAGGCTGTAGAAGGCCTTGTCGATATTGATGTTGCTCTTGGCGGAGACCTCGAGGAAGGGAATGCCCAGCTCGTCGGCGAGGGCTTGGCCTTGCTCGGTGGAAACAACTCGCTTCTCCTCCCAGTCGCACTTGTTGCCAATTAGAATCTTGTTGACACCCTCGGTAGCATGTTGCTCGACGTTTTGGAACCAAGTTCGGATGTCTATAAAAAAGTTAGTTAGTTGCTGTTGGTATATGTGGCTCGATAGCGCATTGCTTTGTTGGGCCAAGGGCGCTGGGCGACTATTTGACTATCGGGTAGGAGAGGGGCAACACAGCAACATATCATGAAATGTGTATATCGAGCCGTGTCGTGAAGAATAGTAAGACGTACTGTTGAATGAGCGCTCGTCGGTGACGTCGTAGACAAGGAGGATTCCCATGGCACCACGGTAATAGGCGGTGGTGATGGTGCGGAAACGCTCCTGACCGGCGGTATCCCAGATCTGCAGCTTGACGCGCTTTCCATCGAGCTCAATAGTTCTGATCTTGAAGTCGATACCGATAGTGGTGATAAATGAAGGGGTGAAGGAGTCTTCGCTGAATCGCAGCAGACAGCACGACTTGCCGACGCCGGAGTCGCCTATCAGGAGCAGCTTAATCTACATGACGGGGAGGGTCAGCGAGAGTTATCAAGAGGCGGTCGCATGCAGTGAATAATAGCGACCACAGCGCGATGCGAGTTGGGATATTCATATTCGTCGGGGTTTGGCTCAAGACAACGTGAATCCAAGGGACGCAGGGGGCGGATTGGCGGGCGGTGGGGGTGAGGAACGGTAGTAGATTGGATTGGATTGGATTTGGATATCGTACCAGGAAATCATAGTTACGATTACTCGACATGTTGACCAAGAGTGAGAGTAGCGGAAGAAGCTACTGTGTAGTGAAGCGACAATAGCGACGAGTTCGGTGGTCGAGGATGCGGAGGAGGCGAAAGACAAGGCTAGTGCGTGGGTGATTGAGGTCTGATGGTCGTCGAGGGTTGAAGATGGAGATAGAGATGGAGTTGGAAATGGAAATGGGGACTGGGAGTGAAAGTGGAGGAGGGAATTGGATTGGTCTTTGAACCGCGGGACTAATCCGTTTGCCTGTACCTAGAACGGCAGGCGAATGAGATCCCGTTGAAGACCTCTACGGCACAGGCTTAGGCAGTGACGAACTAACTAACACTACGTGTTTACAGGGGCTTTCGCCTCCACGGCTCTACTGGTTTTAGGCTGTCGCAGCGCCAAAGGACTCCAGTTGGCAGTGGAGGGAGGTGTTTCAGCAGCGGACAACGTTTAAAAGAGCCTACGTGTCAGGCTGTACTTTAGTAAGTGATGATTTGGAATTCTCTCAAGGTCATTTCCATTGTATTTTCTCGTTATTTGTCTGCCTAACTCATCTTACCTACTCAAACTTGAAACTGGCAGGCGAATGTCCTCCATATTAACAGAGACTATAAATACATCCCAGCGCATAAGCTGTGTTATGCATCCATCCGTAGATGGTTTCAATTATATATTCCGATATCCCTATACAGTACAATATGCATTCTGAGTAACACGGACGGCTACCTTGCATAGAGAAAGCCTTTCAACATCTGTAACTGTGGTTAACACTCAAACAGTGTCTACCCCTGAAAAATGAAAGATTGTGGCGCCTATCTTTGATACTCAACGTTGACTTTTCTGCAAACTCGGGTTCCACAGCGGCTTTGTCCCCTACAAATCTTGGCCCCTTCACGCTTTCCAATACATTTTGCCCCTGGTACACGACGTCATCTTGAGAGACATCATCACGAGACACACTTTATCAAAAGGTCAGCCACGCTCATTACGTCCAGCTTTGCCACATGAGCACAACTTGCACGACAAGAGAGAAATCAAGTTGGAGGGTTGAACTCAATAATCAGGTTAAATGCGTTCTAAAATGTTGAGGCTCGTTGTGTTTCACGATACTCCTCGGCCTACGCTCTCGCTGTATCAGTCACCAACTCAATCAATAAAGTGCGTCATAAGAGTAATTTAATTGATTTCTCATAGATGCTTCCAAATGACCTCGTTGAACATGGTCAACCGAGCCAAGTGAACCTTCAGCTGTTCAATCATTCATCCATCCAAAAGTACATAAAAAGAAGTGAAGAATCTCAAACCACAATCCCCATCATAACTTGTTGTTTACTTCTTGCAAATGCCAAATGCATTCTGGCAACCACACTCACACTGCTTGGCCTTGCGACCACATTTGCCTCCGCGAGAGCAGCAGTCACCAAACTTGCTGCCCTCACAAGTTTGTCCAGTCTCACCGCCGCAGCGGCCGTCCTCAGAAACCTTGAGTCCAGAGCTTCCCTCTTGGGTAGGTTCGCTTGTCTGAACTGGCATGGGGTACTTGATAACAGGAGTGTCCTTGTACTTGGTGTTCTTCTCATACTTGTCCCACTTGCGGGTCGCTGTCTCTTGGGTGGCCTCAGTATTCTCAGCAGGCTTCGAGGCCTCAGTCGTAGCGGCGGCAGCCTGAGATGTCTTTGATGGAGCAGCGTAGGTCTCCTTGCTAGCAGGCTTGTCGTTGGAGTTGGAGTTCTTGCCATCGGTGGCTAGATCACTACCCTCAAAGTCGCCATAGGGAGCAGGAATAGGACCAGGAGCCTCGGCAAAGTACTCCTTGCCAGTGAAGTTAGGAGGGCCCTCAAAGTCCTTGGCTTTGCAAGCGGCGTTGATCTCCTTGCAGTAGTCATTCCAGGTATCACAACCCTTGCCGCCAGTAGGGGGAGCGTTGTCCCAGCAGTCACCAACAATATCCCAGCACTTCTTGGCCGCAGCCCAGCAGTTGTCTTGTCCGGAGTACTTCGCAAGAGGCTTGCCGCACCAGTTGGCGTTCTTGGCAAGGCAGTCCTTGGGGACAAGACCATCCTTCTGGGTCTGCTTGGTGCCAGTCTCTTTAGAGGTAGGGTTCCAAACCTCAGGTCCAGGAATAGGGTATTCACCCTTGTCGCTGTAGATGTTGTAGGTGACACCGGGGTCCTTCTTGTCAACATAGCCTGGAATGCTGACTTCGTACTTCTCAGGGATCTCAAGAGGACCTTCAGGACCATTTTCGATGAAGATCTGGGCACAGCTGTGGTAGAACTGAGGGTCACCTGAGGGAGCGTTGTGGAGGGCCAGGACCTCGGGGCGGACGAGGTAGTAACCGGCAGGGAGACCAGTGGGGAGGTCAACTGAAAGAAGACCACCGTTGGATCGGAGAGTGTCGGTACACCACTTGTCCTCCTTGACGTTGTAGCCATCTTCCCAGACCTTGAACCAACCATCACCAGCAGCAGAGTCCGAGTTCATATCATCGACCTTCTTCATGTAGACGGAGCAAGGGCCTTTGTGACCTTCGGCAATGGCACCAGGGTGGGAGTAGCTGGGGGATTCACGGAATTGGAAGGTCAGTTGAGCACCGCCGGGAGCCGGGCAGGTGAACTTGACTGGCTTGTCACCATTTTCACCTGTGTTTCTCATCAGTTACTGTCTCTAAGTTAAGGTCACCGTAAAGATCTACTTACCGCAGGCCATGACACCTCCAGTAATGGGGTAGATGGGGCTGTTGGCCTTGGAGGCATCCTTAGGCTGACGAACACAGGTACCGTCGCCCTGGTTCTCGCCATCGATGAAAAGAGTAGTGAAGAGGGTGTGGGCATTCGCAGCAGTAGCGAGGCCGAGAACAGTAGCAAGAAGCTTCATGATGGATAGTTCAAAAGAAAATCGTTTCGATAAACACAAGTGAAGGAGAGCAGAAAGCCAGTTCTGCTATAAAACCGCTAGGGTTGAAGTCGTTGATTGATGTCGTGAAAAGGGAGCGTATATGCTTGAAGAAGCAGTAAGGAATGTCTTTCAATCAATGAAGGAATGAATAAGTGAAAAGAAGAGAAAGAGTCACAGTATAACTCGAAAACACCGTGGTGAGGAAGAATGAAGGTGAAGAGAGAAGAGGGAAAGCATCACGAACTTGTGGCCATGCCTCATATATATTGCAACTCCTCAGCTCACGATCAGGGATGGCCATAGCAGGCATCTCAACCTCAGCTAGGGTCAGCCTGCAGATCAGATCCTCCAGACCTGGTTCTATACAAGGATTATGGTGATGGCCAAGCTCGACGAGTTACACCAAAACTGCCCAACTTTCCAATTATTCGGTGCATAGGCGACAAACAGCGCCAGCACCTCAAACGGTGGCGTTCCTCCTAGCCCGACCCTTTCCATTTCCACAGCGTGGTAGCAAGGGACGGATAATGCTGGATACCCAGGTGTAATCGAACAGGCCGCCAAACATAGAGGTCAAGGCCACAGTCATGATCCCTGTGGCGCATCAGTTGGAGTCAATCACCGAGTGCCAAGATATTCAAGGTGAAACGTAGTGAGAAGGGCCTAAGTCTAGGTCTGCGGGTGCTTTGATGAGTGTAAGTAAGATTGAATGGTTGAAGTTGGATTGGATTGGATGGAGGCTTAAGCTAAGTTTTGGTACCTGCGTCTAGGAAGCGCCCAGATAAACGGGCGTTTCCGTTGTGGATGTAACCTCCAACACCCTACCAACGACCGCAGCCAAAAGGGTCTGCTTTCTACAGTTCTGGCCGTGTATTACTATCTTTTTATTCTTTACCCAGATATTATGCTAATAGTTCCCGTTAACCTTAAATCATAAGCATTCTGCTAATGCTTAACTGAACTAAACGGCATCGTTTCAACCCTAATTCTTTCTAAACGCTGGCGGGAAACAAAAAGCAATTCTCAAGTTGGCTCAGAGAAACAAATACAGGGGTTATCCATGATCATCCAAACTCATGACAGTGACTACAGTGACAGTCTACTAATCATGGTGCGACTCTTGAACCCAACTCCTCTCATCCTTTCGATCCCTTATTCAAGATTGTCTATCCGTATCATTCATGGACGTGCTCATTCAATTCTAGGTTTTCATCCTTCGTGGGTTCACAACCCTCAGGGGTAAGCTTCAGCCGCAAATCGCTCGGGGAACCTTGGTGAGTTAATCGGGGTAGTTTAAATCACAAGATCGCTGTCCAGTACCCAGTAAGAACCACATCTGTAGTATACATATACTATTACTCTTCAGCCGTCCTCTTCCTGATGGAGAATACTGAAAATCAACTCCTTTGAAGGTCATGTTCATATTTGAAGCTGCACGATTCAAGTCCGGGGGACAAGGATCATGTCGATCCTCCCCTCCACATGTTTAATACCAGGGGTTTCATAAACCTCCCTCATCTCATCCCATCACCCTTTCGCCACCCTGTTCAGTTCGAACCTCAGAAAACACAACCAACACGCTTGGAAAAATGAGGCATCTGTTCCGCTGTCATCCCATCATATGTTGATCACTTATGAAGCTTGTTTTATACCCCTGCTATTCACACATTCCGACTTGGCATCACCAGACTGCACGGTACATTACATGCACACTAACATACAGTCTGGCCAAGCTGCATGTTTTCTCTATTCCCAAGTGATTACTCAGCTTCAGTATCGGCCTTCTGCAGCAAAGTGTGTTTCGAGAGAAAACAAAACAAAACATCGGCCCTGCACAGGTCGTACAAGAATAACCTCGTCAGGCTTCGGCCTTCGCTCTTCGGCGCTTCGGTAGCCCAAATGCCGGCCCATTCACCAGATCGACTCATAACCAATTGATCCTTTGCCTTCCTATATATGCGACGTCTAGCTGCTTCACCTGCCGAAGCCTCATCCACGATACTACTATCACACAATACGGGTAATGATTCGTAAAATCATACAATTGAAAGGGTAAGAGTGGAGATTTGATTCTGTCCTGCGCGGCCAACACTTTTAAACTTCTCATACACACTTATACAAACATACATCTTGAATCCTTGCATAATTGGTCTGTCATTTTTGCGCCTACATTACAATCGTCCCCTCCCTCTTCCCCTCCAAAGCGACCTCAGAGCTCCATCTCTTGCGTCCGCCGCTCTCGATATGGTACAGTATGATACAAGTAGGCTATTTTTGATATATGGGTATCTTATTCGTTGATCTTGGCCAGGATCCTAATTATGTAAGTCAGTATATCTGCTCCCTCATGGCAATGTCTGGTGGTATGTGGCCACTTACTCGCTGTCGCGGAAGAGCTGGAACTCCTCCTCGCCGGCCTTGACGGGGGAACCGCCGAATTGAGGGATCAGAACACGGTCACCAACGGCAACGCCCATGGGTAGTCGGTTACCCTTCTTGTCCATGGCACCGGGGCCGACGGCGAGGACCTTGGCCTCGTTGAGCTTCTCAACGCTGGACTCGGGCAGGAAGATGCCGCTGGCGGTCTTGGTCTCGGCCTTGATGCGCTGGACGAGAACACGGTCAAGGAGGGGAGCGAGAGCTCGGATGGACTTGATGGAGGTGGCCTGTAGCGTTGGATGTCAGTCCTAGCGGTTCTTCCTTGTCTCTCATGGTGCTCATGCGCCTGAATGCTTCAATCCCTCCCATCTTGGCCTCCTCATGGTTCCTAATTGCCGAGGATAAGAAGCTAGATAGTCGAGACTGAAGCATTGGCGGGGCTGCTTCTGCAATTTGTTACAGTAGCAATCATAAACGTACCATTGTGATTAAGTAAAAAAGATGGTTGGGTATATGATCAAGAGAGTCGTAGATTCGTAATTGGAGAAGTAAACAAGAAGAAGAGTTCGGCTTCGGTGTTCAACGGAGTTCAAATCGGCGGTGGATCTCGTCTCTTCCAACAGCTTCCAGAAGAAGGTCAGCAATTTTTTCCCCCAAGCTTCCCCTCGGCTCTTGATTTCCCCGGTTCCGAGAATCGGCACTACACATCCAATTGCCGCCCAAAAGCGGTATATCATGCCGAACGACTTACACCCCGAAGCTCCTCATTATCATTCATGTGATCTATACTCAATATTATTTTTTATAATTCAACGCTGTCTTTCTCTCTGAATCGCTGAAAAGCTTTAACAGTCCCGTATCCATATTCTGTGACTGTTACTAGTCAAACACTGTTACCAAGGAACTCTCGACAGTTGCTGATCCTCCATCTATCTGTTCGTCATTCATCAATGCAGCTCATAAGCGAATCCGTTTCAAACAGCCCCCAATTTATGTCTTTCATTGCTCTCAAAACGCCAAATGCCGGCCTCCCTTCAGGAATAGTCAATTTGTGTTGCGGTCGTAGCCAATCGTCTAATGATCACTTCTTCTCCGGTTGTTGCGAGTTGGCTGGCGGTTCCAAGATATGAGTGTGATTGTCAGCTGGGACAACCTCACCGTGGTCAAATTGTTGGCAAATGACTGTATCTGCAACCCATGGCTCCTGCAGAATCTCATCCATTCGGGCACGAGTCTTGGGGTTAAGATCAAGCATTCTGCTAATGATGTGTCTGCTTTCCCTAGGCAGCAGACGCAAAATACGCCATGGGCCACGGATGACTTCTTTCTTATCACCACTCGACTGTGTCTTAGAGTCCTTCGAGTCGGTCGTCGAGCTGGCCTCTTTTGAGGTTGCCTCTTCTTTTTGCTCATGATGAGTATGTTTCTTTGTCTCATCCTCAGCCAAAAAGTCTCGCGCTGGCGTGGTGGTCAAATCATTCGTTGACTTTGAGGGTACAATTAGCTTCCTGGGGTCGTGTCCTGGAGTCGGGTCCGCCGCGAACAACTTGAAGGAGTTATCTGTCATTCGTGGGACCTTCCATGGGAAACGTCGAAGAGTCATGCAGCAGAAAATGATAGCCAAAGACCAGATATCCACAGCTACTGCGTCGTACTCCTTAGAGTCGTAAACCTCGGGTGCGAGATAAGGGTCAGAGCCGACAATACCTGAGACCAGTTAGCCAATGTCCTCACACTTTATTGGTGAAGAAATCTACCTTTTGCGGGTACAGTGTCTGTCTCAAATGGGTATTTGAAGACGTGGGCACTGCCAAAATCGATGATCTTCATGATACCCTTGGAGCTCACCACCACATTATCCAGCTTCAGATCGCGGTGGGCAAGGCCCACGCTATGCAGATAAGTCACGCCATTGAGGATTTGCAGGAAGCAGCACGTTATCTCTTCCCGGGACATCCGACCGGTCATGACGATTGCAAAGAGATCAAATGGCGCATATTCCATCACTTCATACCAACGCCCCTTTTCTTGAAGAATGTCCAACGTTTCGATGATGTTGCCGTGGTGGAGGGTCGATCCAACGCAAAATTCGGCTGTCACTTTCTTGTTGTACTCTTTTTCGGTTTCGTATGTGTGTCTTGCACGGAACTCCTTGACTGCAAATACGGTACCGTCGTCCTTGCGCTTCATCAGTCTCACCGAGCCACCCGCGCCGGAGCCCAGAAATTTTCCGAGCTTGCCGTACTTGGAAGACAACCCATGATCATCTCCAAAAGGCAATTGCTGGGTCGATTTGGAAGCTGCAGCTTTCGTGCCGAGCTTGATCGATGGTGCTGGTGACGACTCTCTCTTCTTGTTGTGATGTCCGCCCTTGCGGAAAAATCGTTTTAAATCTGCCATTGAGCCGTGTCCGGGGTGAAGATTGCCAGTCGAGACGCTATCATTCGGTGCAAGCTCTTCACTACTGTTCCTTGCACTACCAAAGATTGACGATCCGCGCTTCTCGTTCAGATTTGACTTGGACCCATGGGGAGAGCCATGCTTCTTCTTCCGCGAGAAGATGAACCTGGGGTCTATTGAGTGCTTTGTTGTATGTGCTGCTGGTGCAGGTCGTCGGCCTTTGGCGTAGGGATCGTTGATGTCACCGCCAGGAGTAAATGGCTTAGAGTAGAAGTTTGACGCTGAGCTTCGGGACGGACTAGATTCTCGAGAAGCAGGCACAGAACCAGGTCCTACTCCAAACATGCCTCGACGATGGGGCTGGTGCTGCTCTTCAGCGGAAGAAGCCCTACGGACCGCATGATCGGAAGCAGCTCGAGGAGCTGAAGGTCTTCTATCGGGAGCTGGTGAAGCCTTTTCATGAGATGACGATGCCTGTGGGGTGATAACCGGGGGTTCATTCGTCTTGGCCACCTCCTTACCCTTCTTATCCGAACTAGCCTGGCCGGATCCCGCGGGAGTTAGGGGAGGGGAAGCCAACGTAGAGACTTGAGGGCTGGTATGCGGGGATTGGAAGGTGGCAGAGGTGGGTGTGGGCAATCTGGTAGACTGTCCGGATTCATCCTCATGCGATGGGACCTACAATGACATCAGTTAGCGTTAGTCACAAAACCTTCAATTATGGCAACGCAGTGACAACGTCGCAAAGCTCAAATGCCACAATCATATTGCCGGTAGTAATTAGAGTGGAATTTGATCGAGAGCACTCTCCAAAAGCTGGCGAAGCGTGAATACACAGAAAGGGGGACATACTCGGGAAGGTGGGAGCGAGAAAGCTTCAAATTGGCAGTTGTTCAAGCGCAATTCTTGTAACGGTCGGCCGTGGAGAGACTTTGTGAACGCTTTAAGCTGATCGGCAGTAACTTCGGTGAAAGGACTTGACTGGTCGTGCTCTTCATGCTCTGGGTTCGACGATGACGGGTCAACGGCGGCGGGTTGGGTAGGTGATATCTCCTGAACGGCGGATGAGAAGCGAACGCCGGAGGCGTCTTCAGACGCATCGTCCTTGTCTCCAATTGACTCTTGAGGTTTCTGAACAGGCTCCGAAGCTTCTATCGTATCTACGATTAGCGATTGTATCACAACCATCGTTTCGCAGTGCTTCAGTGCGCCGAGCAGAAGATCAAGGTGGGGCAGAATAGGCTCGGCAGAACCGGAAGATAGACTTACCAGAGACACCCTGGGAGCGAGGAAGCTCCTGGGGAGGATTTGAAGAACTCATCGGATTAGAAATGGATGCTTTGATGGGATATGGACAAAGTAACCAAAAAGCAACCACAGTAGTAATATGATGAGGGTGGTAAGAAGAAGCGAGACTGAGCAGACTAAGAGTTGCGACGACGATGATAAAAGAGGACGGACATGGCCCGCACTACTACCTCGCTATGTACCTAGTGGGGGGATCCACTTTGTTTCCTTCTCTCCCACCTTTTGAGGACAGTCCGAGTGGTGGTCTTCCCTTTTTGCTGGGCTGGGCTACGGGCAATAGTTAGCGTTTAGGAGGTCCTTCTACGGCAATGCGGGTGCTAGAAACACGCTAGATGTGCGCTAAAAACTGTTTTCTGGCAGCTGGTGATTCCCTCAGGTACAGTACGATGGGGGTCAAAAGCTGAGGCTTGTTCGGACATATGCGAATATTTAAGTTGAAGATGAGTCCGTGTTGATCGTGAGTCAACGTGTACGCCGTATTCATCTGATCACTTTTCCCAACAGAAGCACCCCCTATCGTCAGCTTTTAACTTATCTTTACTGCTGATAGCTTGACTGAAGTGGTATAGTAAGCACCGAGTATCATGTACCTCGACTTACGAAGCTCTCCCTGATCTCATGGTCCTGGCGCATCACTAGACAGGGCTCCTTGTCAAGAGAAAAATTCAACATATGAGTATGAATAATGGAAGCAGTCCAATGCCCACGGATAATCACAATTGCATTGCATTGGGTTACAAAACAATTTCCTCGTTGGGTTGGAAAACCTTCTTGTGACCATGACTCAACTCCTCTTACACTGAGGGTGCCACCAACAGCCATACATCCATAGCATGTGCACTAACGATGCAGAGATCGGGAAGACGGTTAGTTCTCCGGTATTGAAGTTCACTTCACACAAACATTTCGAGATCCGTGAATATGACCCCCTGTCAAACTCAACGATCTGACCCGATTTAGGCTCTCGCTCAGCTTCGTTCCCTAGTCGACGTATCCATAAGGATCTTTACAAGCTTGATTGATATAGCGGTGTCTTGAAGTAATACGATTAACACGAGAAGCTCCAACATGGATGATATCTAACTTTACTTGAGCTACTACGAGTGTAAACTCCGTTATGGTGCCGCGGCCTTTGTGTAAGTGACCCATGTGTCAGTGAGCCTCAACCAAGAAACCGTGTGAGACACAATGTGTGACAATGTCGAGTATCACCTGCTTCTAGAAACATGGAAGGCGAGAATTTTTTATCCCTTCAAGCTTAATACGTAACATAAAGCCAGGTCCAAGCCCAGCCCAGTCACAGCGGAGCTCCCGGCCAAGTTTCGGTCGCCTCCAAGCCTCCAAGTTGCAAGAATATTTTATCCCTTCATTAACAACCAGTCAAGTATACTCCAAATAAGCAACCCCACTAATTTAAATATCGAAAAGGTTTTTGTTCCTTGGGCTATTCCAGTGTAAGCAACAAGTCCCGTGTCAAGCTCAATTCTTATTTAGGACCATACGCAAGCCGCCTGGCCTTACGCGTGTTGGTGTCCAGTTTACGTAGTTCCGGTCTTGCTAAAGTGGTTTCAGTGGCAATGGAAGTCGAACCTTTCCATAAAGGTCAAGTCAACAGATGGGGCCATAAGGATATCTCGATCTTCAGACTTTTTATGTGATCACCTGTTACAGTCAGGAACTGGCCCCAGAAGATCTGTCAAGCGTCGATCTTCCGTTGCGCCCGGAGATCTCGAGGCTTTATTGTCTCAGGATCCTATCAAGTCGTTTCATTTTTCCTGTCTCATCACTAGGACATTTACCCAGTCCTCAGAGTGGCAGAACTCGGGACTCTGAATTAGAGGGCTAGAAACAATTATTTCAAGATTCTGCTAAATTTAGGATGACATTATCCTGAAATATCCTAAACTCGTCTAATTATTATCTAGGGAGACGATCCTATATTTTCTGTCTCCCTCTAGCTACTTAGTGCAATTGAACACAGAGTGTGGCATAGAAACATATTGCCAAGCATCGACGACACAGCATATGAACCAATGGTTTCAATGATAGTTTGATGCACATATAATCATGATCTGAGATGCATCGTACATGGGATACAGTCATATGTACTCCACACGACTTCATTGGTTTCAACGGGATACGAGACTTCATGCAAGCCACGCGTAAGGTGGATCGAGAGTATTTCCTGGATAAGTGCCTACTCACGTACTAATAGAGGCACGTGAGGTGCTGACGATTTGCGAATTGTTAAGACCAGATCAACTTCACATGTCTTGCCTCATGACCTCGGACAACGACCGTCTGTGATCACTCACTTGGCCTTCAAGTGCTGAACCACGTTCATGTCCATCTTCTCACATCAATGCCATCGGAATAAGCCTGATATAAGATCGGCCTGCCCGGCACACACAATTGTGAAAGAAAAACCAGTATTTCGCCTTTTGAACGCTGAATAGATGCATCGTGAAATTCTTCCTCTGGTCAGAGGCCCAACTCCCTATCCATAGACTGTTGTACAAGTATAATATCTGGTTGGAGATCTTCGTACACACCACATTCTGTGGTCTTTTATTTTCATTTCGTAATCATGCCCCTAAGCCACCACTTCAATTCCCATCGTCTTCGCTTGATAAATGACCGATCTGCAAAGTCCCTCCAGCGATAGGCCTGAAAGTCGGAGCTCAGTCTGCTTAATCTTTGCAATTTCATAAATGTGCTTCAGGGATAGAGTGCCGACAGTCTCATGCCCGGGCTTGCTGACACCCTTTCGCTTGCCCTTCTTTCCCATGGGAGCTTCGACGGCGTTAAGGAGAAGCCATGAGGTGTGCGGTGTTCGGACGTCAAAGGTAAATGATCGGTCGGGGCGGACGGTAACTCGGCATGGCATTGGTGTTCCAGTGATAATATGGGCAGTTCGCGCGTTGAATTCCTGAGCGCAAGTTAGCAAACAGTTGACGTCTGAGCTCATATAACACTGACCTTACAAAAGTCCATAGACTTTACACCCTTGGAACCGAGAGCAGGACCAACAGGAGGACTAGGACTAGCCTGTCCAGCTCCCACGATCAGCTTCACGATTTGATCAACGCCGCCTCGACCCTTTGACATGATTGTGGTTGTGTTGGGATAGGCGGTGTCTCGTTACGATGTTAAACGTTGATAGTGTTTTGCGAGCTGAAGAAATTCGAGAGCCAATGTCTCTAGCGTCCTGATTGGCCCACAGCAAGTGCCATGATGTCCCCACAATCGTATCGCCCCACCAGCCCATACATACCTTACTGTACCTAACTCTGAAAAAAAATCTCCAGTATCCTATCTTCAGCCAAAAACTTTCTCATCAGAAGAAACTCATAGCAGCCACAACAACATGCCCATCTGAGAAAAGATCTCGAGTCGCATCCAGTTTTCAACTTCTCTCACCAGACGAGACTTAGCGTCAATCTTCAAACTCATTCACCAGAAGAGACTCAGCAACCACAACACGATGCCTTCAACTCACGAACGCCCCAAGCCCTGGGACACAGGGGACGTTGACAAATGGAAGATCGACGCCTTCACTCCCAAGGATAATGTTGGCGGCACCTTTCTTGAGGAGTCTTCCTTCTCTCTACTTTTCCCCAAATACCGCGAAGTCTACCTGAAGGAAGCTTGGCCTCTGATTACCCGAGCTCTCGAGAAGCACGGAATTGCTTGCACGCTCGATTTGGTCGAGGGTTCTATGGCAGTCAAGACCACCCGGAAGACGTATGATCCCGCCGCCATTCTCAACGCACGCGACCTCATCAAGCTCCTGGCTCGCTCCGTACCCGCACCTCAAGCTATCAAGATCCTCGAAGATGGTGTTGCCTGCGATGTAATTAAGATACGCGGCCTGTGTGGTAGCAAGGAATCCTTCGTCAAGAGGAGGCAAAGAATCCTCGGACCCAATGGTTCAACTCTCAAGGCCCTCGAGCTACTCACAGAAACATACATTCTGGTCCATGGAAACACAGTCTCCGCTATGGGGCCCTACAAGGGACTGAAGGAGCTGCGACGAGTCGTGGAAGATTGCATGCAAAATGTCCATCCAATCTATCACATAAAAGTGAGGAGTTGTCAGCCATAACAATAACTTAGCCAGCTAACCCGTTTGCAGGAAATGATGATAAAACGAGAGCTTGCAAAGGATCCCGAACTTGCCAACGAGAGCTGGGATCGCTTCCTCCCCAACTTCAAAAAGAGGTCTCTCAGCCACCGACGTGTTCCCCACAAGGTCACCGACAAGACCAAGAAAACGTATACACCATTCCCTCCAGCTCCCGAAAAGAGCAAGGTGGACAAGCAGATCGAGACTGGCGAGTACTTCTTGGCCAAGGGCGACAAGAAGCGTGCTTTACATGAGGAACGCAAAGAGAAGCAGAGCAAGCGAAAGGAGGAGAAGGCAAAGGAGCGAGAGGCCGAGTTTGTTCCACCGGAAGAGGGTCGCCCCAAGAAGAAGCGCAAGAAGTCGGAAGAGTAAACAAAAAGGAGCATCATATTATGTGGATGGGCAACTGGTGTGAGTTGTTTCAATCTCATGTACAAGCTCTCGAGGTGTATGATACCCTGAAAATCTCGGCGTTCTTCATGTCTCTGTTTAAGGATTAATAGCTAAGAAAAATGTGCTTTCAATTTCTGATTCTACGTTGGTGAAGAGGCTTTGTATATGCCTTGTTGATTATAATATCTAGAGCTTTGAGGGCGACTCACTTCCTGAATCCCACTCGATTACTAGCTTACCAAACTGCTTCCCCTGATCCATGTCTTTGAACAGGTCATCAATCCCTTGAAGATTATCGAGCCCCTTGATCGTTCTGCTGATGACGGGTCGAATCTTCTTCTCGTTAACAAAGGTTACCATATCCCGAAACTCCTTGCGGGAGCCCATCGTTGAACCCTTGAGCTCGATATTCTGCAGATTCGCGGCCATCAGCCAGTCCATCTTGGGAGACACGGTCATGCCGTACTGCACAATTACACCGCCAGCCTTGAGTAGTCGTACAGTCTTGCCCACGATTTCACCGCCTGCACCATCGATTACAGCATCGAGATATGGCCTATCGGCTGGTAGCTGTGCTCGAAGCTCCTTGTCCCAGGCTTCGTTCTTGTAAATGACTCCACCTTTGGCGCCCATCTCCTTGGCCTTTGTGATCTTAGCTTCGTCGCCGGATGTGACGAATACATTGCAACCCATTGCTACACCGAACTGAAGGACCTGGAGCGCGACACCGCCACCAATGCCTGTGATAAGAATGTTTGAGCCAGAGAAAGCAGCATTGCTCTTTGTAACAAGAGCGCGCCAACCCGTGACACCAACAAGAGGTAGAGCTGCTCCCTCAGCGGGTGTGAGGTGTTCAGGAGCAGGCTCAACTTCTTCCTCTGAGACTACGATGTAGTCCTGAGCGGTACCGACCTCGGTGAGTTTGGAACCACCTGTGACAGCAAACTTGCGACTATCCTCTGGAGCGGCAGGGTCTGATTCCCAGCCACGCATGGGAGTGAGAATGACCGGCTTGTTGAGGAGGTTCTTACGGGTGACATTGCTTCCTAAGGCGACCACAGTGCCATAGCCATCTGCTAGAATTGGGTTGGTGAAGGAAATGGCTGGGTAGAGATGACGGCGCATAAAAAGATCACGGTGGTTGAGTGCCGCCGCGGAGAGGTTGACAAGGACCTCATTTGGACCTGGAGTTGGCCTTGGAACTTGCTTTACTTGAAGTCTGGTCATATTAGCAATTGGCTCTCCATGTACAAAGAAGGTAGTTCTGACGGATAATAGACCTTTCCAGGCTTTGCGCCTTCGATTTGCTGTAGGGTGAGAGCTCGAGGCATGATTGCGGCTGTGATGTCGCCAATTGTTGTTGGTCGAGTATTTCTGATAGATATGGAGAACCTTCGGTAATAGCGGTTCAAAAAAGGTTCGATCTCGGCTATTGAGTGAAGACTTGTTGAAACTTGCAAGTTAGAACGACATAGAGATCTCATAGCCATTGGCCCCGCATCGTAGACCTCGGCATTCAGATGCACCTAAAGCAGCAACTATATACGGCCGATCTGAATGCTACAAGAGCTTTGAAATCAAAGTCAGTGTTTTGATTAATAATGTTAAATGCGGCTATTATTTCTTTTCTGGGGTTTCTTAAGATCTAACTACCAAGCTATCTTCTAGTCAACAATTCATGATTCTTGGTGAAATCGTGTGATAGAATGAACATGAATATGTGAAGTAATGGATAGAAAAGGTTATTCAGATAAGGTTTCATACACAGCGAGAGCGGTATGAGAACTAACTGTTTACCTTCTTACTTATGACAGAAAAGAACAATGAGAAGTTCATTTCGACTCAGCTGAAGAGATATGCAGTAACTGTTCGCTGGCATGAGCATAAGTGTAATGCTAACAGTGTACCCTATACGTCTAAGTAACTGAATTATGCCCTGAACTGTATATGTTCTGTCAAACTTTGCAATCATTGATATACATCTATATCCATGGATGTATGTATCGGACTTTAAGAGATGTCCTGTGCTTATGAGGAATAGTAGTCTCGTCTATGGTCTTTCACTACTTATCTCAAACAGGACTATCTGACTGTATGGCGTCAACCTCACTAACGCTGGCGCTAACATCGAAATCTTCTTGCGTTGATAGCATTCCTCAATTGACATAGCAATTAAGGATTGTTAGAGTAACTATATTCACAAGCTTGACATGGACTCAGAAGATTATAATAAGAATATAAACCGAAGCTTGCTGGCTTGAAATGTTGCATTGCTGCACGCACTACGCAACCTTACTCTGTATCTAGATGCTTACCGACGCTCCGAAAACCGGCATCATAGTTATATCAAACTAACAAACATCAACACCAACGCTGTTTGAACCATCAGCTAAACGCCGCTGAAATTTTCACATGGCCGCATTATTCTCGGGCGCCGTCTACGGCGCCTCTACGATAGCCGCGGGCGTCTATTTGCCCTCAACAATCATCAATCAGTTCAAGTTCCAGGATTGGCATATGCTGCAAACCTCTCTTGGTGCGGTTGCAAGCAGCGCGTGAGTAGTCACACCTACAAAGACACGAGAAGAAGCTAATACTTGATAAGTATCATATATAAAGTCGCTGAAAGATACGGCTACGTTAAGCTTAAACCCAGAAGTTCATCACCGATCGGACTCTTTGGACAGTATGACGGTAACGTCATAGGCGGATTCCTCCTTGGAGCTGGCATGGCTCTTTCAGGATCCTGTCCAGGTACTCTGTTCGCACAAGTTGGAGCTGGCCTGAGGACTGGCTTCTATACTCTTGGAGGAGCTATTCTTGGTGGCTTAGCTTACACAGGATATGTCGCGCAAGCAGCCAAGACTCAGAGAGAGAAAGCGGGTGTGCAGCCCGAGACGGTAACTATCGATGAGAACCTCGGGCTTTCCAACGATACAACAGTTGCTCTCTTCGAATCTGTCTGCTTATCTATCATTGGTGCTTCTGTTGCCTACACTACTGGCTCCGACTGGTCACTTTTCTCAGCCGGCGGTGGCCTCTTCATCGGTCTCTCACAGCTCTTCTCTATTCTTGTCCGTCGCTCTATGATCGGCATATCAGGCTCATATGAAGAAGTCGGAAATCACTTCTGGTGGCTCACGCGAGACGCGCCCTGGCCAACAAGTCGACAGAACACCTTATTCGCCGTGGGAATGACAAGTGGTGCTTGGGTTCTTGCAAAGGTGCTCCCTTCATTCGTCAAGGGCCATGTCGTCGAGACAGAGCCGTTGCTTGCTGGAGTTGGTGGATTTTTTATGATTGTAGGATCAAGGCTGGCGGGAGGATGTCCTTCTGGACATGGCGTTAGTGGTTTATCGTTGATGTCGACATCAAGTCTTGTCACTATGAGCACTGCGTTTGCTGCTGGAAGCTTGGTTGCTCCATTGTTTCATTAGACTAGGTTGGATATACAAAATTATGGTTGCCTATATGAAACATGACCTGACTCTTTGTTCTTGACCACGGAGGAGTCCTGTAGTGCCGGAGCAGAACATCTATTCCTTCTTATCCCCACAGCCAATTCTCGCAGTAACTTCAATCTCAATCTTCATCTCCTCCTTCATCAATGAGGACTGGATCATGGTTGCAGCAGGACGAACATCGCCAAACCACTTCTTCAACACTGGCCAAGTCTTTGGGAAGTCATCGCGGTCAGGGAGGATATAGTGAACTCGAACGACCTCGGAGACCGAAGCACCGGCATCTTTCAGAGCAGCGGCGATGTTGGTCATGGTTTGGTCGGCCTGCTCGGCAACATCTGACGAAATAACTCCAGTCTTATAATCATAACTGCAATAGGTAGTTAGCTCTATTTCGAATTCTCAGGAAGAGTGGAATTGCTGACCCAGTCGTGCCACTGACAAAAACCCAATCGCCAGTCACGACAGCTCGTGAATATCCGATGAGCTCTTCAAAGGCAGAGCCAGAGCTGATGTTCTGACGGGAAGTCATTGTAATTGAGGTAAATATTATTGATATACAGATAATATCAAAGATGCAATGGAAAGAAGGCAAGGGCGCATTTTGAGGGAAGATATAGGAGGCCGTGAGTCACTTACACCAGGCTATTCCTATTGCTTGCTGGGGTGGGTCGCTTGACCAATTCGAGGAGGCGGAAGCTCATATATTCGCGCGCAAGAGGTAGGTATTTCATTGATTTCATGACAATCATAATGCCAGTCCACACTGTAGTATACATATTTTACACCATGCACTTAGACATGCATCCAATCCTTTAGCCAGTGAGCTCCTTGACCATCTTGGCCAACTCCTTTCTGTCGACATCCTTGCCCTCGAGAGCACCAGACAATCGCTTCATGACATCGCCCATGATGGACTTGGCTTGGGTGCCAGCAGCCTTTGAAGCCTCAACAGCATCCTGCACCATAGCCTTGAGCTGAGCCTCGGTCAAGCTCTCGACTCCGCTGTTGGCAAGGTACTCATCCAGCACCTTGATCTGATCCTCCTCCTTTTGAACAAGATCCTCACGGTTGGCAGCCTTGGCCTCAGCGGCAGCATCCTGAGAGCTCTTTTGGATCTTGCGGATCAAAGCAACGAGCTGGACATCTGTCTTGATGGGAGTTGAGGTCTTGGAAGCGTTGAGGTTGGCGGACATGATAGCTCGGAGAACGGTCAGGCGAGGAGTATCCTTGGCACGCATGGCGGTCTTGAGATCGGCCTTGAGCTTGGACAGCAGAGGAGGGGGTGCATCTTCGGTAGGTGTTGAGTAGAATCGGCAGACAGAGACTCGGTTGATGGGCTGACGAAGAGTAGGCTGCGACATGCGCAGAGCCCGGAATAGTTGCATCGATTGTTTTGCTGACATTTTGAAGGGATAGTAGCTGGATCGGTGTTATCGGTGTAGAAACTGTTTGGTGACTCGATATGACGATCGCGGCTCGTGGTTTGGTGTTGCTACCGTAAAGCTTAAGCTGATGTCGAACGACAGGTCAAAATTTCCCAAGCATGCAATTGGCAACTTTGATTGGCGGTGTGACGAGCTCCAGCAATTCTTAGTGGAGGCCAGTGAAGGAACAGCAGCCCAAGCTACCAGGGTCCCCAGACTGCCAACCTTCGCGTACGAATCTGGGGGCTGCACGACCAGGCTGTCGGAGATGTTATGATGGGATGACAGTTGAGAGCCATCTCGGCAAGTTTCGTTGAAAGATTGCTTCGAATGAAGTTTGTTGATTTCTCAAAGTGATCGACAGCAGAGCTGCTAGCTGGCCACTCATCATAGACCTCCACTCTGAGATGGAGGTGCATTATCTCAAACACAAAGGACCAGTCATGATATCATTTCAGTGACGAATACCCCCCAGTATCAACACCATGATATTGTTCTCTCTCTTCTCAATCGACGTCGTCCAACATGATCTCGGTAACGCTAAATCACCTGATCATTGGTGCACCCGCTCGCCAACGCCTTAGCAAGGATCGGGGATGATCCCGTTGATATTGCATTCCGCTAGGTGCTGTAGGAGCGCACTAGCTTCACCGGCCAAGGAACAGACCAGGAGGCGGCTCGAACGTTGTGTGTCGTAGATGCAGATCGACTATTCTGTTTCGAAACATTTCAGCTGTCTTTGGGTTCGAGAGGTGGTCGAAACTCAGGTGACGGACGGTAAGGTCAGGGTTGTGGTTCCATTGCTAACCGTTCTCTTCCCTGAAACTGGAACGAGATCTCATTCTCGGGTCGCGTCGTTGGTGGAGATGAGGAGATGAACTCATGGGTAGTCAGGCCCGAGACAACGAACCAGGGTTGTATAGAAGGGGAATGGTGATTTAATAGACACTGGACTAGATTATCGTATCCATCTTGTCATTGAGTAGTACGACTTCTGAGATGTCACCAGCATGTCTCTTCCACACACCGTCTGTCCTTAGTCGTCTCCCTATGTCATGCTCATCGTGATATTGTGAGGTCTCGGACCTGTTGCGGCCGCTGGTAATAACTCTCTTGCACATCGGGCCCAAACTGTCGGTACCGAGTGTCCATCCACCAGTCATTACGAATCATTCCCTGGAAATCATAAAAGGGACGAGCAGCCACTTCATGGGTGTTGGTAGCGGTTCTCTTTCTTTCTTTTCTTGCCTTAAGTCCGAGCACCTGCACGTCACTTCTCTTTCCATCCGTTGTTACTTCCTTCATGCCCAGTCAAAGCCAGGCCATGCTTGCCGTGTTCGGCAACGAATCTCAGGATTTTCCTCCAACCTTCCTCTATTATCCACTCGATGGCGCGCCACTGTCGCTTCCCTGTCCAGCCAACAAAACCTTGTTTCAACTACAAGATCGAGTAGTGGCATCTTGTTCCATCCCCCCTTTGCATATACCATTTACTATCCTTCCATCCAATCGTGGGCGCTACAACGCAGCACAAATGCCTTTGGGACGCCGTAAAACTTTACATCATAACCCCTGGCCGCACAATATCTCGCGATTGACCGAGGCATGTCTCAATGGCTCAAAATGAGACTTGATGGCTGTTACCGTCGTGGCTTTCTACCAATACAAACATAACTGCCATGTCATCTGTCAGAATAACACAAGACCGTGGAAACGGCCTAGGGAAACTTACACGGGAAAGTAGGCCTACAAATCGTTAACAATCAACTCACATCAGGATTCGCCCCTTTTTGAGCCAAGAACCGAGAAAACGTACCTTGAATGCTGGGTTGCTGGCTTCGCTCCTCGCTTGAGCTATCAAGAGTTGGAAATCACTGAAAGACATCCTGTACAAGGCTCAGTCAAACATTACTCGGACAGATTGTAACCGACATACCCAAGAAACTGTGTGAATGGGTATAATGCTAACGAATACAATAGCTGGTTCACGTTATCGGTATTAGATCGACCTATGTCATAATCTCGGGGGACTACACTACCATCAGCCTCAACACATACGATCTGGTATCAAAGCAACCTACCACTCGACCAGCCGCACATTGGCAACGTCAAGAGTCTCGACTCGACTTCCGTAAAACCTGCGCTTCTCATCCAGCTGGCTAATTGAAGTGGTGCCCGCGGATCTTTGTATGGCTGCTGGCTTTCCAAGTATTGTCTGGACCATTGCGACAGGGCGTGGTCTACTCGGCAAAATTGTTAGGATGCAGAAGTTTCCGTGTCCAGGAGACTAGGGAAATCACCTCTACTTAGCGTACCATTGTCAGATTGGGCGTTGAAGTATATCTCGACCATCTGACACCACCCGCCTGGCTTCAATACGCGGAAAATGTCTCGAATATAGCTTCGCCAGCGATTCGCATGGATGCCCCCGGCGACCATTTGGCTATGGACAACGTCAAAGTGGTTGGACCGAAACGTAAACCTATTCCGAACCCAGGTTAGCATGGATCACAGGACTTGCTCACAGCTACTTGCCTCCCGTTAAGGTCGTCAACTTGGAGCTCCATATTGTCGGGAGGGTTTTCTGGAATCATGTGCGGGCTGACATCGATGCCAAGGACCTGTGCAAAAGACTTAGCCACAAAATATCTCATCTCAGATCCTTATCTTGGTGGTTTAAGAATCGAGTCAGGCTGGCCCGGTTGACCATGGTGATATCCAAAAACACCTCCTCGAGACTCGAGGATGGGGCCACAAGAGCATACAAAATCAAGTTGCCTCAAGCTCCATGATGGAACACGGTGTATCGAATTTCGCCTGACTCGGATGGCCTATAAACACTGCCCCTTGAAAGGAAGACTTGCCAATGGCCTAGGGGAAACTCACTTCGGCGTCAGGATATTGTGTAGCGACTTCGATGGCCCAATCTCCTGGACCACAACCGCAATCGAGTATTCGTCGTGGCGACCTGATAGGGGGGAATATGAGCCTCCCATCAAAGAGCCTGCTGAGTACTCCGTGCATCACCTCGAGGCGCGAGATTTCGTCCTAGTTCAGTGACTTTTGTTACTTTCTGTCAACCACTTCGATCCTGGATACAGATCTTCAACTTACCTCATCGATGGGTGCAAAATATGTACCATTCGTGAGGGAGTAATGTTGATAAGAGCGCCCATAGTGTTCGATTGTCTCGGTGAACGTCTCGTCCAAGGGCACGGTTCCATCCCTTTGCATGGGGGCTTAGCGAAACTTCCATATCAAGAAACTTTGGTAGTCTTACTCTACATCCATTTTCTTTACCGTCGAATTTTTGGACACGAAATGCCTCTCAATACTACAAGTATGATGCAAGCTTGCTCGGGCGACGATAGCCAGGACGAGCAGAGCTGCCTTTTCCAAAAAGGATTTAAACAATTCCTAAGGAAGACATGTGGTACCCAAAAGCGCGACCCTAGCCTAACGTATAAGAGCCACCCTGGTGCTAGGATGCAGAGTGCAAAGACGTAACATGACTATGGTGGCTTTTGCATCTAGCGGCCTTGCGTACCATTCAAAGGCGCAACAGGGCTTCTCGAAGAATGCGGAGATGATCTAGCAGAGAGCCGAGACACGGGCCGGCAAAGGACTGCTTCCTGAAGGTCCAATGCCGATCTTGACACCCCAGAGCTCTGCCGTTCAACTCATATTGGCCCTGTTACGGAAGAATAACGGCGAACATACCACCAGGGGCCATTTCACAACCGCAGTATCCTATGGAATATGACAAGATGACGCTGGGAGATTCAGGCAAGGCATCAACACCTGGGTATAGGTTAGAGGCTGGCTCTTTTGGCTATTGATGGATACTAAACAGGGAGCTCGAAAGATTCTGAACTTGAGATTCACAAATTCTTGACACTCTCACCAAGACCTTGGATATCAAAGTAGCCATCGATGGGTAAAATGGAAATCACTAGTCTGGGTGCCCTTGATTGCCTCATTAGCATCCTTTTTCCATTCATGGCCCCATGCTTCGGTCGACGAGACAGGTTCCACTCGAAGTGGAGAGAATGGTTTGCGGCATGTTATTAGACATGATTGCAGTCAACTCTACTCCGTACAGGTGCAGCTTCTGGTGGAGGGTCTCATTCTCGCCTTACTCTGTTAGAACCAACCAATGCATCCATTTTGAGTTGGATGGAATCCTTCCCACCATCACGCTCAGGCACCCGGTTGTCGGGACTTGTGCAGACTCCGTGGATGGCTTGAGACTATGTGCCTGCCATGGAAGGTGGCGCCCAATGACTTCGAACCGTTTGACGTCGATAGTGAGGCTGTCCTACCCCAACGTCGGTAGTGATCATCAGCTAGACAAGAAGGATACGCGGTTTGTCACATGTGTAACAGCGTTTTTGGTGAACAAAGTAAGATCATGGTTTCACAATGAAAGCTCCCCGGAGCAAGTCCAATGACAATCCATGTCAATACCAATGGCATGGACCTGGGACAGCCTTCGGGATACGGGCCACCCAAAATTGCTGTACTCTGGTACAACTTGGTGTCTTCGGAGCTCGCGTACGACTACGGTGGCCGACAACACTTGCTTGACCGGGAGATTCGCTGATTATATGTATAGGCGAGTCAGGCGAATGGCCCTTACTATCTAGCCCTGGCGCCTTCTTGCCAACGAGAATATGGTTGCGCTAAGATTGCGACGCAGACGACGAAGGAGCCCAGTCAGAGCACTTCCCTATCACCAAAAAGCACCCTTCGATGGGTCTCAACGATACTGGTTATGATCCACCTCAACAGCACCGGGATCTTTTAAAGCCAAACAGCGATAGTTCTCAGACCAGGAACTGGACAATTCATCTCTTCACCGCCTCGTGTATCCAGCAGTGTTTTATGCAAAGCCTGAATTCAGAAGATTCCTAGTGGCAGAGGCGTGTAAAAGGGAGGTCTCATGGCCGCATATATGCTGGTGATGGGCCGCTAAGTTGCATTGGATGGGTTCTCGCGGCTGGCGTGAATTTGCTACCCCCCTTCGGCTAATTCACTCTCTGGGCTTCGCAATTAACATCATACGACCTATCGAATTCTGAAAGGACATCTTAACGAAAACTGGGACGAAAGAATGCCACTCGCCCAACGTCGTACCTCTACTAGTGTCGATGTACACATTGACGGGCCGTTGCAGGTTGTAACGCTGCAGGTGGTGACGAGCCAAAGCTCTCTGTCAGCTCATGACACGCAGAGAAAGGAGCTCGACGATGACAATCAATGGTCCCTATTGCCGCATCCTTATATTAACAGGGGTAACCTGGGAGAGCTTACTTGATCCGGTCATAGGCTCACAATGATCAAGTCTCACAAAGGGTCTTGTGGATACGGAGACGACGAGAAACCCTACCAACGAATGGGAAGTGTCCACGGTTTGCGAGGTTGCGATAACTTGTAAGTAACGATCCGCCTGTCCCATGACCGCACCAGAGATCACGCTGGGTGCTTCGGAAAGGAAGGCGACAGCATACTGAAAATCTTGCCAAATGGCGTCCTTGGCTCCGTCCAAGACCCTTAAAATTGTGTGGCATCAATAGCATGTTCTGAGCATGTCGCAAGTGACACCTCGCAAGTTGGAACGTTCTAACTGTCACACACAGCTTCGGAGGGTCCAGTGGCTCCCTTACCCACACGCAGCCTTTCAACAGCCGCTACGGGCCGCCATCATGGAGTCTGTGGGGGGATAAACATAAAGCACCGAGTCCAAAAGGCTGCCAGGCTGCACGCCAAAGGAGGATCGTCAACTGACTGTTACCTTTCTGACTACGTGGTGCGGCCTCATATGGATAACTCCGTCACTCGGATAAACTTAGCCGCGGTCTGTTCCAATACAAGACATGGTGGATTGGGCAGGACACCGACATGCAAGATTGCAGAGCAAACAGAACTCAGCTCTGGTAGCACTTTGTCTGAATCACTATTGTCAACTAACCGATAGTAGAACGCTTATGCGCTACGGCTGATACTACAAAGACAGGGGGAACCATGCTCAAGCCATGGTTTACCGACCCAGACTCTCGGGTTCTGACCAGAAACCCGGGAAATTGGTGGGCGTGGTTATACGGGCACTGTTCCGCTAATCCGTGGGATTTACCACACCATTCGGTTTCTATTCCTCAGCACAGATAACACAGTTTGTACGGCATTTTGGAAGGCTCAAGATCTCAACAGTATCTATGAACTAAGCCATGGATGCTACAGCATGATGTCCAAAAAAAGATTGGGCTATAGCCTGTATCCATATCCTTCTATTTTGTGGTGGGCTATCATAACGACATCTGAATTTTACCATCATAACCCGTACGGCTTCTTTAGCCCAAAACTCCCAAGACACCACCGAATACTGCACCGGGATAAGCACAGCAAATTCCGAACCAGAGCCTTTGAACCATACTGTACAGTAATGACATGTCAGCTCTTGACCCCGCTCTGCTTGCACACATCCTCGCTTGGTTTTCGAGTTCTCATGCAAGTCAGCTTGGATTCTGTGGCTTGCTTGCAAACCTGGGCGGCCTGTTTTCTCTTTTCGTAGCGATGGTACACTGGCTTGCAGTGAGACAAGTGTTCCAAAAGGACCATTGTGTCTCTGGGAAAAAACCTCACGGTGACCAGCATTATGCACATAAACCCCGAACCAGTAACGCTCGACCAAATATTCGAACAAGTTGCATATTGACCAAGAGGGGAACAGCACGGATGCAACAGGTTACCCCTGGATTTATAAGATCAAGGTGGCCTTAATAAGGGATGCAACCTCACGGAATGACATATTGGGAAGGCCACCCTGTGAAGTGACGTGACTGCTGAGACCTTGGCAGAGATAGTGTATCCAATGCCTGCAGTCTTTGAAGACAGACAGCCGTTCAAATCAAAAGCAAACAAAATGCTGCGGCCAAGGTCAAGGCCCCTACCAGCAGGTAAAGACGGGGTTCCTACTCTTGACGGCTTCGAGCCGCTCAACAATGACCTTGCGTTGGTTGCCCATCTGCCCCTCAGCTGCAGCATATCCTAGGTCACCTTCTAGGTCGTCGGTGTAGTTCTCATTTTCACCATAATACTGCTGTGCGATGGTGTTGCTGTTACGACGGGCAGCAGCGTTGGCAAATGAATATCTTCGTTGCTGTCGCGGTGCCTGCTGGCGTGCTGGTTCATACATGTTGAGTGCACGAACAGGACCCTGGTAGCTGTTCCTAAACCCAGCTGCCTGGACCGTGGGACGCTTGGCTATATCTCCACCGTTTTGTTGCTGCCCCGCTGGTGCCAGGAGGTTGGGTTCGCTTGGGGGCACCTCATCTGGTGACTGAGCAGTCTCGCCTGTCGGAGATGAGAGCTCAAATCTACCTGGATGAGGCATATCGGCGGGTGCACTGGCCAGACCGAGAAGGTCCTCGATTGGAGGATTATTGGTCGGAGCCGAACTAGCAATGTCGGCCTCGTCCATGGATTGACGGACGTGGGGGTTGCGGCGGACTTCCGAGGACGTATTACGCATAGGAACAGCAACAGGCACGTCAACTAGATCATCCCAGACACAAACTCTCGCTCGGCGGGTCAGTTCAAGAGGGCCATGATCAGGAGTCTTGAGTGTCTCAACGACGTTCCAGGCCTGACCCTTCATGACGGCGACTTGCTTAGCAAACATGCGTTCCTGGAAATCAACATCCATCTGGAATACCCTCTTTAAAGCGAGAATCGTCTGAGTCCACCATGATGTGGATGTCAGCAATGGTAGAAAGTGATCCCGTGTCTTTTGAGAAAATGGCCTTCCGATGAGGTCAACGGGGAGGAAAAGCCAGCCAAAGGGGAAACTGACAACACAAATTAGCATACCTCTCACAGCGTTGATATATGTCCTTACCTTCTCCAAGCATCAGGGTGTTTCCAGGGCCATGACAGTGAGTTGTCGATAGCTCCAATGGTAATTGCTGGCTCGTTTCCTGCTGGTTGTCGGCTTGAGGCGCTCATAGGTCTCTGGGTCTTATAAGGATATGACGCCCTCGTAGCACGAGGCCCTTGTTGTGAAAGATCAACAGGTCGAGGGCCCTCTTCCTCAGCGACGGGTTCCATGTTCATTTGGATGGGGTCTGATGCTATCGAGGCCTTGCCTGTCTCCCAATCAACCTTGATCATCCAATTGTCCAGACCACGATCTGTATTTCGCATAATGTAGTCGAGAATGACCAGCTTCTCAAGCTCTTCCCGCAGAGATTCTTTCAAGTTGTCGGTCCATATGAAGTTATCAGGACCCAAAAGATTCGCGGCTTGGGCAGCTTCTTCGTCGTCGCTGTTGTATCCATCGTTCGGCGAGGCGTTTCCTGATGGACGGCAGCTCTCCGTCCATCTCCTCTTCTTCTTACTCTGACCATCGTTTGTACGGAATCCTGACCAGTATTGATCCGGCCAAGGATGTTCACGAAGGAACACGTTGGCATCCTTGAAGCCCTTGAGGAAGACCTGGAAGCTGCCGGGCTTCGCGGGGAGAGGCTTCTTCTTGCGATGGAACTTGCGGCGATCCCAGAATGGATAGTGGAAGGATTTGGAAGCAAGCCATACAACGTCTGTGTATGGAACGAGGTGTGTTCGTAGTTGGCAATCGAGTACGTAGGCAGCTGCTTCGCTGACATACGAGAGATTAGGAATAAGACTACAGAAACGTTAGCAATGATACGGGAAGCCTTTACGAAGATGACATACCAGGCTCTTCCAAAGCAGCAGGGGAACAAGTTTCTGTGAATCCACTTGTTCCATTTGGGGTTTCCTGCAGCGTATGGCTCCTCGTCCTTGGGTTTAAAAACACCGACAATTTTGCCATCAGGATTTCGTGCAAAGTAACTACCAGAACTGCCTTGAGAAATCATACTTGGGTGGATTTCTTGCCGAATAGCACTTCGTACGCTTTCCACGATGGTTTCAAACTCTGCTCTGGTCATGACACCTTCCTGCGGCGCCGCAATACTCTCAGCGGTCACCGGTCGAACACCCTCGGGAGGCTGGAAGACAGAATAGTGAATTTCAAGGCGCTCCTCTTCGCCTTGCTGGTTCTTCCCCTTGCGCTTGAAACGCGAAGCAATCTCGTCTGCCCATCGCTCCAGACGAGCATTGATGGCCTTGAGGTCGACACCGGCGCTGCTTCCTGAACGATGGCGAAATTTGGGTTGCGATGACGAGGCAAATGATTTGGGACTAGCCATGCCAGAACGATGGCGCGGTTGAGTTACGGGGGCATATCGTGGAGCGGCCGCGGGCTGTAGAGATGCGTAGGATTGGGAGAGGGGATCCTCATCTGAGTCGTCGCTGATGTCGTCGGCCTGTGCGAGGCGTTCATAGCCTGTTGTTGCGGGTCGTGATCGAGGCATGTTGGCGACGGATGGGGCTAAGGCGGATGAAGACGTAGAGAGTGGTTGGGGCGGTATTAGACTGTTTTCAAGGCCATTCCCTAGGTAGAGGCTGAAGTTTTAGGAGTTGAGTTCGTCGATGGAGAATTCGTTCGGATACTCGATCGTGACTGCGTGTTGATTTAGGTTGAAAGGGGGTGGAGGGATAAGATTATAAATGGATGTTGTTGTTATTCGAGAAAAGGAGTAATATAGTTTATCAAGAAAGGGGCAGTGAAGAGAAAGTGGAAAAAGGGCAGTATCAAGAAGAGAAACGAGTCAGCAACAAGTGCTGGAGGCTCTTGTTGGCAGTGACAACCAAAATGAAGCTGGTTGCAGAATGACGATGTGTGCCTGTTTGAGGTTCCAGGTTGTGGATATGACGAGAGCTCATCATTCATCGAACTCAAAGCTTGTGACAGGCCAAAAATCAGCCAAACTCCAGTTGACAGCAGCCTCCACAACCAGTGAGCCCAGGCCTGGGAACTGGGGCCGGAACTGATTGGTGGATACTCACCCCTGAGCGGGTGCCGGACCTAACCAAGGCCTGGAAGGGAGTTGAGATCGATTGGCTTTTTAGTGATGATGATCTTTTGCTTGAGGAACGAGCATGAACTTAACATGGTTTCTTATTAACTAATGCGGAAGTTGTTATTTCTTTGCATTAGATCTATTCATGCTCATCCCCTTAATTTTTTAATTTTTTTTTTATCTCTTTAAATACACTAACTAACTACTATATTAGGGGCCGAGATGTCCGGATGATAATACGGAGGAACGGCATCACGGACATTTGAGTCCGCCGAACAACAGATCACGGCGGCCTACGGAGTATCTGTCCTAACCAACAATAATGTAGAGTTTATCGTATTATGGGAGCATCAACCCGAGAGTCTAAGCTACTCTAACAATTCCCATTCCGTTTCCCGTGACAGCACAAACGGAATTTACTTTCCCCTTTCTCCTTTAAACTTTCCACAATCAAGGAGCGTTAGACAGCGTCAGTAGAATAGTCTCGGCCCTAGTGTGACCTCACATATCTGCATCACTCCTCGGAACAAGCCAAGGTTCTTGGGGGTTTTCGTTTGACGGATGTTTTTAGAATATCTACGAACTGATATGATTGACGCAAGGAATCTTCAAGAACGCCACCACTTGGAGGCGAAGCCGCCAATCTAAAAGGACAGTCAGTACATACTGTACCTAGAACTAACGAGAATGGGTTGGGTTGTTTGGCAGCATTGGAGTGCCTGGGCGCTAACAAAACTCCTCTGATCGCGTGCAACTTGTGATGGAGGGTTTAGAAGCACGCCAACCTTGGAAAACACATGGCCAAACTGCTGATGATGACGGTTACAAAAAGGCAATTGCAGGCCATTATCTCATGAGTTGCAGTATTTGGCGGCCAAGTTGCTGATTCGAACCAGACATTTTGTAACTGTAACCTCGCAATCAGCTTCGGGATATGATACAGGCACAGATAACATCAGAGCTGATACGTCGGCTCGTACGTCATGATATGCATCGTCATGTTTCGTCAGCTCTAGTTTGGTTATGATCGTCTAGTTCAAGCTTCTGCGTCTGGGGTTGGGGCTTGAGTGAGTGAAGCCTTTCCATACCAGTTGTGTATGCCTTTTATTGGCGAATTGTCTTGGAGGGAGGGCCAAGCCAATCCGGTCAGTCATACCGGTACACCCAGGGATAGGTAGTTACACTGCAAAGGTAAGGTAGCGTAGCAGTCTGTCCAACGGCCTGCTCCGCGCGGGGAAAGCAATGGAAGACACCTTGACGCCTCATCGCGCGAACAAGATGCTGCTCTTCAAGGTTCGATCCTGCGATGTGAGGCTAAGCAACAAAGTTCGGCGCCAACGTGAGGCCGATCTTCTCTGTAACACCATCAGCTTATCAGTACGTACGTTCAGCTGTATCATACTATATGAAGTAAACGTAGTGCTTATAGCATGAAGTATTATGATATTGTCATTGCTTTGCATACGTGACAAGCATTAGAGAGCAGCAGATAAACAAACAAACAAATACAGCGTTTCAGGGGTCGTTATTCGTAAGCGAGTGCAAAAAGTGACCATTCCATCAGATGATTGAGCGGACAAACCATGAGATGAGACGCATCCCCAAGTCCATTTTTGCCTGGAAGTTCCATGTCAAACAACGGGGGCCATCTCCGGATGTCAATGCCGCACCCCACACTTCACTAACTCTAGCGTCTAGCTTCCTCGCTACGCTACGCTACACCCTCTAAACCAACCCTCCACCGGGTCCCATCCCTTGGGCCTTCAAGGTTTCAATCCCTTGGAACTACAGTACCATTCCCGAGTTGTTTGTCCCCCTTTTACATACTTTTTCTTCTGGTAATCCCTATTTATAAATCTCGAGTGAGGCCCTCTACCTCCCTCATCTTCTTGATCAACTGTCCAGGCAAGAAAAAAAAACGACCTTGACTTATATGCTCATCCCTGCCACGTCTACTCGCATTTGACCACTCAGTCGTTGCTCAAGTGACCCCAAACACCATAAAGTTGACTTGTTGACTCGATACCTTCGTTGCTACTTTGATCTGCCCGTCTCTGCTCTTTATCTTCTGCATATAACTTATCTACCTTATCTTGCCTTGACTTATCTGCGGTTTCACAACCACCCAACTCCAACTCCCATCACATACCACCATAAAGAAAGCACAACATGACTGCTCGAGTCGCACCCGGCTCTTCATCCTACACTGAGCCGCCAGCTATCGTTTCTCCAAATGCCGATCACGATGTCCTACGAGGCCGTAAGAGAGAACGAAGCATGACCCGAGGAAGCGTCCGCCCATTCCGAGCTGCTCCAGCAGACGAGTCCAGCAACTTACGAGGCCGCTCTCGTCGTCGTGCTGCTTCTCCAGCTCTGAGCTACACATCCCGACCATCCTCACCCAGAAGAGTGCCATCTCCCACAAGACGTCGACTTCTCCATGCTCGCCTCCGTCGAGAGCATTGCCCTTCCCGTGTTGCATCTCCTGTCGAGCAGCAACTCCAACAGCATAGACCAGTTCGACGAAGGCAGCGAACTCGGAGCCAGAGCCGGGGTCCTCGGTTGGAGATGGAGCTTTCAGCTCAGCATTCCACTGATGGTTTTTCAGGACTACGGAACGAGGTCCGAGCCTCTTCTTCTGACGCAACAGACGAGGCAAAGTCCAACACATAAAAGTGATAGTGCTTGTCTATTTTATCATTTGCTTTCAAATGCTGTTGTCTTGTTATCCTTAGGTGGATGTATGAAGACAAAAAAACGGAAACCAGACCGATACCCATATTCTTAATTTTTTATGTACGATGACCGGATGCTGCACTGCCTTTGGTTTCTTTTTCTGGGTTCTATTGCGCTGAGAGCTGGTTATCTCGGAGTTACCAGATTGTGTCATGATATTGGTCTCATTTGGTGTTTTTCATATTATTGGGAAATTGGATCTCTTCGAAATCGCCGTATACATGGATAAGATGGCGGCGCTATCAGATTTTGTATGATGCCTTTATTTGTATGAGAGAGCAAAAAGATATCCTGGATCGACATCCACCAGAATAAATTGATGAATATTGAAACAAGCGTCCAGTGATAGTAACTCTACTCTGAATGTGTTTGTCTTTGCCACTGTACTTGATATTTCTGCAGTCTTCAAAACAAGAAGGGTGACATCCAATAGTATGAATTCCACTAGGTACGATAATACTGAGGCATCAGTGAAAGATCCTCCGATGAACCACAAATTCTAGAGTCGATGATGGTTGTAAAGCACCCTGAAGGCAAAACGGCCGACCCCGCTAACGGCCATCTAGATTATTTCATTGGTCAGATAACATCCCTAGGCCATTTTCGATCGTGGATATCGGCTGATGTTAACGACTTCGATCTTTGTGAGGGCCGAGCTAAACTTTTTTTCTGTACATAGCGATTGGAGTCTTGTTGATTTATAGAACCTTTCTTTCTCACTTCTACGGCTCTGCCGTGTGTATAATACAACCGCTCTTTATCGGTTCGAGTTTGAGGTACTCCAATTCGGATCCTTGCTTTTTAGTTTTTGTCATTGGAATCCGTCCTTTCGTCTACTTGCCACCAAGCATGAACAACGTCTGTCCTTAACCTTTCGACAGCACATCCCCTTGACTTCAATGCTCGAGCGAACAGCTGCGACTTTGGAGTCGCGCAGTCTCCAGCGTGTAATTCACAAGACTTCGATTCGATCTCGACGATTACACACAGGCTTTTGGCAACATGGAGCCTCTGCTATCGAACTTTCCAGTTCCCTGCCTGGTTCGATGAGAACTGCTCGGGTGGCCGCCTCCGAACCGGAGACAAAGCAATTACAGTCGAATCTACTTGCTTCAGTCTTGGTCCTCGACTTCCTTTACCCAAAATTGACTATTCCTGTTTTACGCCGCCTCTACCCTGAACTACCCAACTCTCAGCATGCGCAAAGAACAGCAATCGTTCCGACAAGACGAGCATACTCCTCGATAATACCTCCGAATACGACCGACACGAATGAAGCAAACGAAAATAAAGAAAAGACCGAAACGACGACTCCTGATCAGCCTGAGCCATCGCACGAGAGGTCACATCCTTATGAGATAGCCGATATAGCGGAGGACCCAACTTTGTTTCCTGGTGGAAAACCAACGGTGGGCACCAAAGCTGAGCCAGAACTGCAGCAAGTACGGAAACTTCGACAGCTATTGGATGGAAAGGGTCGCCATTTTCAGGATGTTTGGGACCAGTACTCGGTGCTAGACAATGACCAAAGAAGTTTCATACGTGGCCGGGTAGTGCAGTATCTATCTCGCTCCCATAGCATCGTTGAAACAGGAAGGGCCCTCTCAGTATTCCGCCAAATTCCGCCAAATTCGTGGGATAATGACACCTTAACTGCAGGAATCATCCTGCTTCTACGGTCCGGGGATCTTCCTTCGGCTGTGGAGTGCTTCAAAACCGGATTGGAAACGAGAGGGTTGAACCACGGACTTGAATACTTAATGGCGGATGCGATCAACTCGAAAAAATGGGCGGCAGCTTTGGAGGTATGGATTTCATTCTACAAGGACCGCATCAAAAGAAAACCCGATGCATTGGCCCCGGATCTAGAACGACTTCAGCAGCTTGGGTCTCTTCCTTCACAAGGATCTCACTACTTCGCCTTCCGAGCCTATCTAGTTGGCGAAGGCGCAGAGCAGCATAAGAAAATCAAGGAAGACCCCGTTGCCTCGCTAGCCTTGTCCTCTTTCCGGAAGTTCTTTGCCAACATGGCACTACGAGAACCGTGCCGCCCCAAGCAAGCGGGGATTATTCTTGAGACTCTGAAGGATCGAAATGCATACAACACATACCTAAACACCATGTTCGACCGCTGGATG